AGTCAGTTCGGAGTGTTTTCGAGCTAACAACTGACATGAAACTCGGCTCGTATTCCTTTAAAATAAGCTTTTACATGATTACAAACAATAATAATAATATACGGTAACAACTGGGATCCTAAACGGGTTAGTCAGAGGTATTGACAATTGTCCATGTCAATGTTTTTAATAGATACCCCTGGATAATTCGTTACCTAGTTCCAAACTAAGCAGAGCTTATGTTATCGGTACTAGATAACTAATATAAATACTTTTTCATAAATATGTATCTACACGATATACATAAAAAAATACCAGACCGACACACTCTATCTTTTCTATTTGAGTATATAATTGAATTAGTGCTAATTGGTAGTTTGTATTCACACACTTAAACTTAAAAATGTAAAGTAATATTAAAATTATTTAAAAAAGCAACACGCAAGTTTCTTGCTCGTTCTTCTTGTGATGATACAGCTTTCCGAACGAGCGGTAGATTAAAAAAATGTAATGACTATTCAAAAGTGCTTCAATGTAATTATTTGAATAAATGATTTTCTACTCTACTCTCTCTACTTGAATACAAATGTTTGTACCGTGCGAGGAATCGAACCCTCGACCATCGGTAGTCAAGCTGTTTACTACACCGCTGCCCACCGAGGCTGACTAAGTAAAGTGCTAACTCAAACATTGCTCGAATACTATTTGTTTCATCAGCTGTAAGATTACATGCAATTTTAGTAGAATTATAAATGCGAAAGTTGTGTGTTGTTGTGTTGTGTGAATATGGATGGATAGATGAATGGATGTTTGTTACTCTTTCACGGAAAAACTACTGAACGGATTTTGATGAAAGAATATTATATTATCTGTGATGAAACTTAATATACCATAATCATCAGAATAACACATACTTGAGCTATAAATTTCATGGGTGAAACCGCGGCACAGTTACTAAATAAATATTTGACATTCCCATATTTCAACATTTATACAATATGACAAAGCTATCAAAAAAATAAAGGAGAAATAATATAGAATTTAATAAAAGAGTTCATGACTGTAAAAATGCTGACACGTGCTCGAATCACCCGAGTTCCGTGATTTGATGTATCGCAGTTGCACCACAGCATGATATACTGCTGTGGAGTTCCTGTAAATAACGATCGATTGTCACGTCTGAAGGCCTTTGTGTTTCAGTTTATTTTATTCAACTCCTACATTCAAATAAACAGGATGGAGGAGATAGGATTTCGTGGCAATAAATCGTGGTCAGACGGGTAAAGCCGCAGGCAAAAGCCATACTGGTAAAAATGTATGAAAATAAAACTACAGAGACAGATCAACTTCACTATAATAACAATATTAAAAAAATATAGCCCTGTTTACAGCTTATATAATTTCCAATAATACGCTTACTATCATTGAAATATAATAAATATATATATGTATATCAATTTATACTTTGTTTGTTTCACAATAGAGATATGAACATAATTACAATATATATATCAAACTTTTGAGGAACTAATTCAACATTTGAGGCCTACAAAATGTACATTAAAAGCACGATGACTTGTAGACTGTAGACTTTTTTAAATATCCATTTCTTTTTTCTTTTTATATAAAAAATTGACAACGAGTGTGCACTTTTTTCGTAATCCTTCTACAATCACAGTACCATACATTTGTGATCCTTCGAGCCGGATTAAACATGGATAAAAAGAAAAATATATACATAAAATAGTTCGCAATAACATCAAATAACATATACTTTCATTAATTTGACCCAGTCATAATATATTCGTAAAATTAAGCAAAATCACGGTATCTTAGCACGCTTATCAAATATCGGGAACTCAATAAAAATAAATAAAACCTAGTAAGATTCCGTCATTTTTCTTTAAATGTATGTATAAAATAACATTTTTGTATTCATTGGTAACTACTTAAATACATCAGTAAAATATGACAAAAAATAAAACTCTAAAGTAAAAATATTCTCAACATAGAAAGTTATATCTGTATCAAAATTAAGTAAAAATAATAATATACCGCGACTCCATCTCAGACAGAGTGGTCAAAGACGATATCAACAGTCAAAGTCATAGTGAACTTAATTTTCAAAATTCCGACCATTATGGTCTCACATATACTAATGGTAGCTACATTAAACAAAATAATATAAATCTATTAAGTCATGTAATCGACTTCCACAAAATAACACCTAATTCAATAATATACATAATTGATGCACAATGTATAGGTCATGTAGTGTAGATCAGTTTTGATCATGATCTTAAGGTTTAATAGACAGAGTATGGAAGCACTAAGACTAACAATAAAATTGACACCTTCTATATTATAAAGAAAAAATATCGCGCAATACAATCACAGTTAATATGGTATTTGTGCTATATAGCTCTATATAATTTTAAAGAAATATATATTGTAATAAGTGCTTAATATAATGAAGTCCATAATATACAAATTAATTTGACACCATTACGATTATGTAACAGGTATATAAATACCTTATTCGATATATATCACTTCACATAGTCCACTATAGAGTACATTAAAACATCTAAAACCATTTATTATAAAATTTAAAAGAAAATATATCCTAACAAAATCAAGTAATAAAGATATACTATGGGAACAACTATAGTTGATACTTTTTAAGATGGAAATATAAAATCGCCACAAACAAATTATAGTAGAATTTGTTTTGAATAATTCGCCAATATAAAATGTACTAGTCTATTAATATTACGCCATCAGAACGAGTAGCCTATTTAAATCGGCGGGTTATACAAAGCAAATACTATTACATAAAAAGATTACATTACAGTCAATTGACATTTGTAATCTTCCTGATTAGACTTTTATAAATATTTATATTTTCTACATATTGTTACACAATTTTAACAAATTTTCTATTTTTGTCAAGTCTTTTTTTTTGTTCGGATTTTTTCCTTTTCAGGGAAAGGCAAAGGTACTCAGCCTATACGGGCATTGTACAATGTCTTTTAACAATCAAATTGAAAATTATTGGAATATTTTGAAATTGGAATCAATTGATTTGAAAACCACATTAGTTTTTGTTTTTACTTTTTAAAGCTACTATATGTTGCTAATAAATTTGGAATGTCTATAATTTGGAATTTTAAAATTGTTCATATTTTTAAACCTAATATACCTAATATTTTCATACCTATATATAGTACAATATTCTCGAATGTGTAATTAAAGATAATGTATCTTAATTTAGTTACCCTTTATTGAAAATTATTAACCCAAATATGTGTATATAACTCTATGCATCTTGGCATTGTTACAAATTACCGACTGCTGGGTTATTTTGGGAATTTATTAGTTTACCTAATATCACTGATGAAATAACTGAAAATATAAACATTTGTGCAGACAATGGTACAAACAATAACAATTTATAAAACAATATAAACAACAATAACAATGATATTCAATCAACAATACTTGGAATGATATTTGAATTTTCAAATCATAACAATAATGAAATAGCTCTGACTCATTATATATTTTTATATAAACTTGGTGTTAGTACAAAGATTTTCTCTGCATAAAACAAAAAGTATATTGTAAAGAAAGATTTAAATTTTTGTATTTCAAAAAGTTCTTGATTGATTTTTAAATATATTTGAAGTATAGAAATAAATATTATAAACGTGTAACATTAGACTATTATATGATTTTCTTTGCACAGTATGCCTAGAAGAATATAAGAGCAGATAAATTACTTTTGCCAGTCATTAAAAAAAGACGACAAATGCAGAGGTATATTGAACTTAACAAGTCAGAGACAATACTAACAGCAATGTTTTTTTATTCAATATTTTAATTATGAAATTTTCAAATAAAAAAATTCATCTGGACAAATATTGGTCTCGAAAGACTCGTATACGAATACTACATACACACACATATCCAAAATACCATTATATTTAAATTTATATCAATGCCACTGGCAGCTAAAGGTCAATATTCACTGCGTCATACAAATACAATTTGTTCCTAATATATATTGTTTGACCATAGTGCTGTAGTTACACTCACATGCCGATCCTAAATATAGGTCCTTGTGATAAAGTAATTGTCTATATTCTAACAGGAAAACTATAATAATAATAACCCTGGACAATGCACATAGCTAGTCCCAAGATAAGCAGAGCTTGTGTTATAGGTACTAGACTGATATAAATAGTTAAATACATTGTTTTGTAAATACATACATTATATTTATAGAAAACACCCAGACCGATACAATCATACTCGTGAATACAAATGTTTGTACCGTGCGAGGAATTGAACCCTCGACCGTCGGAAGTAAAGCGGAATGCTAGCTGAGTAATATCTTGCATCTATACATAATTATGTATGCATATATTTGTCACACAGAATGGCAATATTTATTTCTTCTCTTATTACAGCCCTTAATCATAGATTATGGACTGTAATACTTAAACAAATAAGAATTTTGTCTGTATTGCCCTGAATTTGTTACCGGTTTGCAGCTCTAATGTAAATAATTGTTCACTTTGATTTGTTAGCACTATTAATTGACTAGCCATTTAGTACAACCATATGTTGAAAGAGTTAATTGTTTTAGGATCATTATGTATAGCAAGGATGAGCAACCCACGGCTCGCGGCCGGCTGCGGCCCGTTAAACAAGTTTATGCGGCCCGCCAATTTCTGTAATTGTATTTTTTTTTCTACTTTCTCTATCAAATATAAAAAAAAATTATATTTCATTATTACAAATAAAGTTTTGAACATTATTAATAAGTACCATTAAATGTGCGGTCCGCCTAAAACTTTTACAAATATAATGTGACCCATTGATTAAAAGGTTTGCTCACCAGTTGTCTATGGTATATGAGTGTCTAACCTCGCTGAGTGTAGGTCCAACCATACCGTTATTTTTCAAGTTTAGTTGTCTCTGGCTTCCCACCCTGTACGTAGTGATAATTGACGAACCTCCCACCCTGGGTGAGCTGGGCGCACGTGTTGGTGAAGTGGCAAGCGAAGAGTAGAAGATTCCGCGGTTGTACCTTCCACGCGAATCTCATGAACATCATCGAATACAGCGTGAGAGCTGAAATTTATATAAAAAAAATAAACAGAAATATCTTGGTAATATTGTTACGAGTATATACGAGCTACTTATTAATTTGTGATTTTTTTATTTACTTATTACTTTGATGAATATATATAGTTGTAATAGGTTAGTTGTCAAATACTGATTGATATTATTGTAAAAGAAAATTATAAAAAGACAATACAATTCTTCTGCTGCAAACATACATATTATTTATTAGTAAACATATCATCTCGCATCTCAACAGAACAGAACCCCACCACAACAAATATTATAAACTCTTTCACACAAAAGCTATTGAACGGAGCTTGATGAAGCTCTACAGTGATATAGCTTATACATCTGAATAACACAGACAATCAATTTCATGGGTATGAAACCGCGGGCACAGCTAGTATGTGTATATATTTACTAAAAGAAACAAAGCAATATCGCAGTCCATTGTTTCACGTTCCATCTTCAAAAAGATTGTTTGTATATGTTATACATAAGGGTTAAAATAATATGTTATACATATATGGGTAAGTGTGATGTAGACAAAGTTGCGAGGTGCAGCTAGTCTTATATAAAAATTCTCGCATCACAATCTTAGTTGCCATACGTATCTTATACGATTTTGATGAAATCTAAGGTTTGAGAATTGGTTTCTATTTTTCATAAATACCTAAGTAATAACTGTAGCCTACCTATTTTTTTTTAACAATTTTTATTTTATGATGTGCCATTAAACATACATGTACTCCTAATTTTTCGGCCTTCTACTACCAACCCTATTTTTTATACTGATTTTAATTCCTATATGGCAAAACGTTTGCCTGATTTTTTTATAAATCGCCAAGATCATTGAGCAACAGTTACTCACGCGCATTGTTTGCGTATATTTAACTAAATAAATATTAGACAATATAATCTATTTAATGGGCAATAATTTTATTATCATTTAATACGTTTTACGAATTGTTTGATATCTACAAACAAACAGATACTATTTGTCTGCCTGGGGGCGTATTATGAACTCTTTGAAATCCAGTCAGTTTCCAGGCAGTTCAGTTTACGGCCTTAAACTGAATTGTTCTTTTTCGTATTATGAGGGTCCAAATTCAAACCGTATTCTGCCTGGATAAATTTTCTCGCGCTGCGTTCGGATACGCATACATTCGTTGCAACGTTAAGTCGAGTTTTTGTATGTCACTTTTTGGACAAAATATTAATTAAATAAATGTAAATTAAATATAGAAAACAGTAATTAAGATACAACGGTAGAATTTGTGTAATATACAAAAATATTCCAGACAGTTTAATGGTCTTTTTTAATAATTCGGATTTATTTGTAAAAAATATTTTCATTGTAATATCCAAACGAACTTTGTGCATCTACTTAAAATTCCGCGCAAAGTACTTAATTCCGATTTTAATGTACAACTTGAAACTTAGCCTTTCCATAACTTTATACGCAAGTTAAATTTAATAATTCAATTATTGTGAAAAATATACCAAATGTAACGTAAGTATTCCTAACATTTTCTTAGTAATGTTTTTTTAAAATGATGCAAATATTTAAATGTTTATATTTGTATATTTATCTACCTAATTGTAGATCACGGACTGAAACCTCTCGCCAACGTCGTGTATCGTACCGGTAATTTGAAATTATATGGGATTTTTAAAATCCCATAGGGAAATGGCAAGTGGCTTTAATAAGTACCATACCAATCGCTTGTGTGAGGACGTCGCTCAACAATTAAACTCCTTAGGAAAAGGGGGTTTTAAAGACTGGAAAGGATTGTCAAGTTTAAGTGTTATAAGGTAACCATCTGAATTTTAATTTATTTCATTTAATAGGAATCTCAGTAAAATCTGAAATACATGTATCTATGCAAATATATTGAAGTATCTGTTTGTAATTTTGAAGTTCACCATACAACAGCTTTTCAGTAAATGCATTCATATAGAAGGTAAGATAAATGACATTAAACAAAATATATTTGTCTGTCCGTTTGTTTGTTCTTGCTAATTTTAAACTTAGAAACAGCTGGACCAAATTTGAGGGATACTTTCACTGTCATATGTAATAAGTTGTGTAAAGGAGTAACTTAAGTTGCTTTTATTTGAGATATTTTATTTATTTTAACAAAAATTAGGTATGCCATATTGACAAAGTCATAGGTAATAACTAGTATATAATACAATTATCATATCCCTTTAATTATAACTACCAATAAAAGACATAAATAATGTACCTATATCATTTATTATAAAAACAAATAATTAAAACATTAACCTATTAACAATATTATTATTTATAAATGTTTCAATTTCTTAGTTCCACAACTAAACAACATGGGTTTGTCTAGCAGCTAGACCTTCATTTAGTTCTCTATAAGAACTCAAAGTACATGTAGGCATCTAAATCTAGAAGCCCAATTGTGCTCTCAATGATATTCCATGTTCTTACAGTGTAATATGCTTCTTGTGGTCCTGGTATGGGAGTATACTTCTCTAAAGTATATCCTGGATCTCCTAAAAAAAAAACAACATATTATATACTATAATATTAATATTTATTTACAAAAAGTATTATTTCATTAGAAACACAGCACAATAACTGTTGGTGCTGATACATAACTATGTTTCTAAATTACTGAAGTTTAGAGCTTAGATGTAATGATGTTTGTAGTTTCTTATTAAATTTTGTGCTTACCAAGTAATCATAAGGATTTATTCCAGCTTAAGTCCTCTAGATGTTGCTTAATGCCTCTGGTTTGCCCAAATGTCATGAGTAGCTCCAGTTCCAGTTGGCATCCATACTTATAATCTCCATGTCAGCATTACTAACCTAAAATTTTTTTCCAGATTAATTACATAGATGAAGATTATTTGAAACATAAGAGAATAATTAATAGATAAATATTATTTGAAACATATGAGATTAATTACATGGATACAGATTATTTGAAACATATGTCTAAGTGTTATGGTCATTTAATATTTAAGTAAACAATTTATTGTTAGTATATAAGTAGCTTTAGAGATGTATAATCATTAACATATTTTGCATGTCTAAAATCTTGTTTATTGTTAATTTATACAATTATATTAAAAAAAGATATTAAAAGTGCTTATATTATTAAACATGTTTTTTCATTTATATTTCACTTACCAATTATATATTTAATGAATGGTATTGTTTTCTACAGTAATATCTCTTCTTAGTTTACAATGGGGTGGCATGTGTACAGTCAAATACAGCCCAATAACCTAGCATTCCAAATTCCAATTATTGCCGATGAGACTGCACATTGTTTACTTGTATACTTGCTTTCTAGGCTTTACTTGTATGCATACATTTTACCATATATATTATCACTATATCATATGGTATGGTACATGGTACTCATAGATGTATTTGCAACAATAACAGTTGCTAATTGTATAGAAATAGATACCTTTGAATATTTATTATCTATCCTTTACTCAGATGTCCTTGGAATTTTATATATGTATTTACTTTTGGATGTTGGGTAAATGCAATAAATCGGTTATTTGCCATTGGCTGTGCTAAAGAATGAACAGCAATATCACTAATAGGCCGTTGATAAATATGCCTGTAGCATAAATAATAATCCTATTAAAACCTGACATAGTCAGCTAGTGATTTAGTGAAATAATTACAGTACATTATACCTTAGTTTCCACTGGTAGGTCTGTAAATTTCGATGATACCGGCATATGAGTTCGCACGCATATTACGCACCAAATCTTTATTTAGATTATAACGTTTTCTAAATTGTTCATTTTTATTGGATTGGTCGCGTAATCGCCGTCTTTACACTTTCCTTACTTTTTTTTCGTAGGGTGCACACATTTCCAAAAACTCCAATACATCGAGTTCATCACACATAATTAAAATTAAAACGAAACAAAAACAATCGAAATAACTGCACAAACATGTTATAAACATAATAAAAACTGACATAGAAATAGAAATAATAACCAAATTACAATAATGAAGCTATAAATTAGAAAACAATTCTATAAAAGCTAATATGAAGCCACCGTAAACTGAATTGTTTTTAAACGGTCTTTTTGACAGTTGTGTCCGCTTAGATCTGTCAAATGAAACGCTCATAATACGAAATAGCCGGTCAGTTTTCGGGCAGAAGACGTTCAACTGTCACGTGACCGCTGACTGGCTGGCTAATAGCGTTCGTAATACGAAATCGCCAAGCAGTTCAGTTTAAGCCGTAAACTGAATGGGAATAAGAGTTCATAATACGGCCCCTGAACTCTCACTAACCTATGTAACTATAACAATTTTATATAATTTTTTCTTCGGACTACTCTACTGCTGTTGGCCGCAGCTGGCCTTTACAGCTTCATCGGGCGCCTATCGCGAGTCCAGATGGCACTCCAATTTTATGGAGCGGCTGAAGGCAACTCCCGTCTGATGGATACGACTTTAGTCTTAGGGCACCGCTAGGAGTTCGAACCTCTGCTCAGACCGCCGTAATTTCGATCCCCGTTTGAATTGGACGGGGGATCGATCGGAGGGGATTATGTAGTGTTGAAAATACGTTTGTGAGACGACCTCGGTTGTCTAGCTATTTAGCACACCGCCTTACTTCCGTTGGTCACGGGTTCGAATCTCCGGCGGCATAAACATTTGTGTTCATGAGTATGATTGTTTGTACCAGTCTATGCATATTATGTACGTATTTACAAAAAACTCTATGTATTTATATCAGTTGTCTAGTACCTCTAACTAGAGGTAGGTACTAGATGGCGCTGTGTGAAATATTTTTTTGTTCTTCTACAATTAATTGTAGTACTTTATTACTATGTATCATCCAATTTTAAAAACGTTTAATACTTTAATGACTGATATCATAAAGCATGCAATACATATTATAACCTAAATATCATTAGTCTAGCCGCAGACTGGACGATCGTTAATAACTCTAATAATAATAACCCTGAACGATTCACAGCGCCATCTAGTCCCGAGCTAAGCAGAACTTGTGTTATGGGTACTAGACAACAGATAGAAATACATAGGTGCATTGTTTTGTAAATACATACATATACACATAGGAAATACAAATATTATACTCATGAATACAAATCCTTGCACCGTATGAGGAATCGAACCCGCGACCATCGGAACTGAAGCAGTGTGTGCCTTTTTTAACGATAGGGTTAAATAGGTTCTTAAGGACTGTATAATAGTTTTATCTGAAGAAAAATGATAATCGCTGTTGATAAAAACCAAGGGAAAAAAGATTTTTAAAACATATACAAAAGACTAGCTGACCCAACAAACGTGGTTTTGCCATTAACATTGAAGAACTAATATCGCTATAAAAAAACAGGGGTTGATCGTAAATCGGATTAAACAAATAATTAAGAGTATCCCTTATTATTGAGGTGTATGAAAAATAGATGTTGGCCGATTCTCAGACTTACCCACTATGCACACAAAATTTCGGAGGAGTTCGGTAACAAACCAGCGACACGAGATTTTTATATAGATGTTCCCGGCAAACGTTGTTTTGATTCTCATTTAGGGGGATGAAAAACAGATGTCCGATTCTCAGACCTACTCAATACGCTCACAAATTTTCATGAGAATCGGTCAAGCCGTTTCGGAGGAGTATGGGAACGAAAACTGTGACGCGAGAATTTTATATATAAGATATATAATAACCTAGATAGACCTTAAAGAATTTTTATGTAAATTCATTTTAATAACTCATCATTATAATATTGTTAATAATGTCATCCACAAGTTGTCTCGTCTGATAGTTGCCACAAGTGGCGTAGTGTGCGGCCACACTTATATTACGGCATATCATAGAGTAATAATTTGTAACTCATGTATCACACTGGAGTACTGTTAAGTATTGATAAGAACTTGATAAGCGCTGTGACAACGTAAGATGGAACCGTGTCATAAACGTGATCAACACATAAAATGGATAATGGAGTGTTTATATAAAGAATATTCCTATTATTACTGGTACAGCTCACAACCTCCTTTGCATTTGTAATTTTAAAGTCGTATCCGTCAGGCGAGAGTTGGCCTTCAGCCGCTCCATAAGTCCTTCCGCGGGTTTGGAGTGCTATCTGCACTCGCCCCCTATCTGGTGAAGCTGCAAAGGCCAGCTGCGGTCAACAGCATTAGTGTAGTCGGAATAAAATGTAATTTAAACAAATGTTACTTTATTGTTTAGATAAAGATATTTGTATAATTAATTACAGTTTATAATCACAGGATCATTTGCTGTTGATTACAATCATGTAATATAATTGCCAATACATAGCTTTTAAAAATGTAATCCTTATCTAGACAAATAAATTAAAATTAAGTGTTGTTTGTAATTTTAAATTAACAGATCTTCAGTATATGCATATGAGTAATGATGAGTATATACTTACATAAAAAAAACCATTTAATAAATTTTTATCTGTCTGTCTGTTCTTGGTAATCTCTGAAACAGCTGGACTGATTTCCATGGGACTTTCAGAGCTAATGTTATAAGTATAAGCAATAACTTAAACAATTCATGGTAACTAGCACCAAGGTAGTAAGGTATAATAATGGTCGTCAGTATTCTTGTTTGTGGACTATTATTGTACTTATAACATAAAATAACACAAAAATATTTAAAAAATCATATATCATTGATTAAATAGATAATGTCTTTTTTCAAAATTAGAATTGCCTCTTTTTATATAAGTCAATTAAATTAACCACGCCGTCTTAATCATTATCTAAATACTTTTAAAATGATATATAATACTTCTGTGTAAATAAAAAAAAACTTTAAATGCTTGTCTTGTAAAAAAAATATGTACATTTTGAATGCAAAAACAATGATTTTTCTATTTAACTGATGATATGTTGTTATGTTCGGATAACAAATAACTACTAAATAGTTCTGATATAGAATGACCTTCTAACATTGTATTATAAATTATACATTACTATTTTTTTTTCTCTTGTGGTATGGTTCATTCACCCCGATTTACATTACTATTCTATATATTAAATTACCAGTATGTTTTAAAGTTAGGGATACAAAGGACAAATATATATACTGCTATATGTGCAATGGAAAGGGATGGAAAATCCAAAATAAAAACCTCTACTGTCCTCCCTGCAAGGCATGGTAGTAATAGACCTATGATCTTCTTACCACTGTGATATAAAGTATGATACCTCAAATATGAAATTTATAAATAATTTATACAAAAAAATATGCTCACCAAATGTCATTTTTCCACTAATGAAACTGGGATCCTTCCTAGTATCCGCTATTGCTGCTAATGGTATACCCCAATTAGCCACTGGACCCCAAAAGTGTGTGCTGAAAGGAAATTATTAATATTTTTATTAATTTATATTATATCACAATAAATATTTACATCAATAGAAATAGAGTTTTATAGATGATAATTGTTATGATAGACAAAATATTATAGATGTTAACTGTTGAGGAGAAATCAATTTTTAACTTTGTAACATACTCAAGTATAAATTGTACTTACATAGTAATCAGAAAAGAAAAATCATATAAACATTTATACATAGTAAAAATTTAGAATCACATGACATAATTTCTATTAATTTAGCACATGTAAAATTAACATTTTAATTCAATAATAAATAAAGTAATATATCAAACTTACCTCATTAAATAATCCCTAAATTCTTTACTTTTAAGCTGATTCAATGCACTCTTTACTAAGGAACCCATTTTGCTGAAAAGGATATAGTCTAGATAGAGAGGAGCTTCATTAACATGCTTTAAAATTCACAGCAAATATATTAATTTAATACCATAATCAAATACATGAATGCAAACAAATTTAAAAATTACGTGCGTTAGACCAAACCAAATTTGGATATTAATTAATTAATTAATTATTAAATAATAAATTGTTTAATCAACAATAAGCAGTAAAGATGTCAAGGTTATAATCACGTAATACAACACAAAGTAATTTTATGAATAAAAGCCACGGTTAACATGAAAGAAACACTCACTTATTAATTTCTTATACAATATTAAACTGTTCAGTTACGAATAAATTATAATATGTCGGGGGCGAAACTCCTTCGGTCAGAGTTTCGATGAGTTGGTTCAAATTTTAAGTTTTGACTTTTTTCAAGTTCATTCAAGTCATTTACTTCACTCAAATGTAATGGATTAACAGCTGTCATCCTTGACAGTCCGTCAGCTGGGATCTACTTAAATCCACACTTAACGTCAACGTCTGTGCAGCTAAAAGCGCCAAATTCAAATTTTTCAAAACTTTTCGATGTCTAGTGTGATAGATTTGTATTGGGCAGTTCAGCAAACCTGTAACATAAATATAATATGTATAATTATAATCAGAAACATATTTAATTATAATTCGTAGATAGGGCATCAATAAAAGAGGAAAGTAAAATATATATATAGTAAAATATATTCACAATGAAGTTAGACTTCATTTCCTATATTTACGGTCCTTTATTTCCTAATGTTTTAAAAATAACGAGGAACGTACAATTTTCAGTTACGATGTATGCCAAAAAATAATAGGTTTCGCATTCGGAACCGAACCGCTTGCTTTGTAGTACAAATATTGTAATTATCATGTACATTTCTACAATTAACATATGTAAATAGCTACAATTGGTTTTATTTTTCCTTTACCTGCCGCTGCGTGTGCCAGACGAACAAGTTCTGAAATATTTGTGGCACTATAATAGCCAGTAAAGCCTCTATGTTGAGGTATTGCTTACTGTTAAGAGTATTAAAACGTACTAACGTTATAATCAGAGTCATTTAAAAAACAATAACTTTACATTGGTACCAGTAAGAATCAAATTCGGAACTTATTTCAGACAGTAGCTGGTATGGCAGGTAAGTTGTAGATATACGACCTAATTGTCTGTGTATCGATGACGATGTCGTTGCTTAGCATCTTGTTGATTTAATCTTTTTATTCTGCTTATTATATTTATTTAATAATTAATATTGCTTTTTGTTCTCAACTTAAATACTTACCTATATATATATAAAAAACTTCATAGAATAAAAAAATATAATTGACCAATGACATTCGCTTCACAAAATTACTAGACAAAACAAAAAGTGACTCACAATCCCATTCACAAGTCCAGGCCATAAAATGTAACCATTCATCCAAAATGTGCATAATCAGGAATTTAAATTTTCAAACTCACAGTTACAGATGAACATGAGTTTCTTTAGAGTACTAGTAATAGTGTATATGCTTGTATACATAACCTTATACTTTGGACTAGTCGGAGCTTTGGTTTATGTCAGAAACATATATTTATATGACTACAAGTATGTTGCCTATAAGTTAATTGTAGTAGCTAATTTCTGGGGGAAGGAATTATAAGTAGTTAATTACCAGTCCCGTCTTTGCACGAGTGACTGGGTGTACATGTATTATAGATATAAACCTTCCTCTTGAATCACTCTATCTATTGCTAAATACTGCATTAAAATCCGTTAAAAGATCTAAGCGAATAGACAACGGAAGCAACTTCATTTTATACTATGTAAAGATGAGGCTTATAGGCTCCTTTGCTAGCAAAGTATCCACATTGACATCCACGTGACTCCCTCTTAAAACTATCATAGTTAATTATTAATTACGGGTAAATTCGTCACGATGGGCTTTATCCTTCTTCAGCCTTATTCTGGTCTTCCGCTGGTGGAAAGGTTTCATATTAAGGTATAAAAATAAACTTTGTTAATTTTATACTATCATCTCCCTATCTGGCTACAATATCCACATCACCACACGCAACCATTACTTACCAAGCTGCCCTCTGCCCTAGGAATTTTCTAGAAGGTTAACGAGACATAAAGTGTCGATACGACGTTTAGTTCTACACAATGTACTTATATTTTAGCATCAATGAACTGCAAACATATGGAGAGAATCAATAAAAGATACAATTACAATACATTTTTTATTTCAAAATAAAGGCACTGAAAATGGACGGCAGCGGATTCCACTGATTTCATTAATACATTGTAAAACAAACGATAATATTAAATACAATTCACAAATATACGACGTTTCATTCTTAATGTAAGGTACAAAAATATTGAGATTCAAATATAGTCTAATATTAAAGGTATATATATACAAACTGAATTCTCTACACAGTTAAGTATACACGGGTAAAATACAGATAAAACAATACCAAGTTTTATAAATTTAAAATTAATTCACATTAGTCAAAATAATAGTGGATAGAAAAAACATTATTGCTTTAATATTCTGTGTACATATTTTTCTTTGTGTAAATATATACATACGTGTATTATTTATATGTATATACATTTAGCAATGGTTTTTTACATGTATATACATATAAAAAATGATTGCTAAAATAAAGATATGATTCTAAAATAAAGAAGGCATAAATATTCACATTGACATTCTATTTTTGTTACTGGTGATGATGTTATTCATAGATCTCAATAAGTAATAATGTATTAGTAGAACTTAAAAATAACAATGTTTAGATAGTGGTTTGTTCTTTAATATTAAATTTGACCTCACGTATACCTGCATACTATACTACTTATAATTATTTAATTAAATCATATAAAAATGCATGTAAATGAGATTCCAAAAGAAAGTATAGTGCGTGCGTACCGCTATATTTAAAATGATAATATGAAACTTATTTATAATAGTCTTATATATTAATAATAAATGCACAAACATACTCAAGACTGGTACCGATATTACAAAACAACGAATTTTTTGCTGAGTCGAGAAATCATCGAGTACCGCTTTATCTATAATAGCCCGCGAAATTAGTATGTAATGAGGCGATGCATTTATTATAATTAGATGAAGATAATGTTTTTATACGGTTTGGTAAAATAGCAAAAAACCGCATAAAGAAATTCATTCTTATTTATTTTATAATCTGATTTTCGGCGATATTTCACATGCGGCTATAGTTAACCGGAACAAATATTACCTTATGTCATTCCTCAAACCAAATGCTAAATATATACCAAATTTGTGAAAAAAAAATGATTGTTTAAATCATGAGAGCATAATTTTCTCAAATAACACACAAAAAAAATGGTAGCGATCTGAAAATACTCATTAAAAAAATGTTTTAAATTGGTTTATACATGACAAATAAGTGAGTAACAAACATTAAAAAAAAATACCCGATCTTCTCACCCATTTTTGGAGCCGGATTAAAAACATACTAACTTTCCTTTCATTTACAAATTGAGATGGAAAAGTAAAATGCTAGAATCTATTTGTTGCTACCACTTGTTAAAATTAACCAACTACATTGGCATACAAGTAGTAATTAGAATAAAGAATTATATAAGTTTATATCAATTTTTTTTTAGCCCGGACGAAGTGACCAGAGTAAACTAACATGTAAATAAATCATTGAGCTACTGATAAAAAACTATTCTATTTAAACAGCTGCCAATACAGCTGTGTAAACATAAGAACAATCTCAGTCTTCGAATGGACGGCGCAATTACTTAATAAAAAAATACATAAAAATCGTGACATATATAAGTGAGGCATTTATTAATTAAATTTATACTTTAATAAGAAAGAAGCTGTAATAATATTGGAAATACTTTTTTTCTGACTCTTATGCTGTTGGCCGTAGCTGGCCTTTACAGCTTCACCAGATGATTGGGGGCGAGTGCAGATGGCACTCCAAACTAAAGGAAGGACTTATGGAGCGGCTGAGAGTCAACTCCCGCCTAATGGATACGACTTTAGTCTGAAGACACCGCTCGTACCTCCGCTCAGGGCGTAGTACTTTCGATTCCCTTTTTGAATTAGACGAGGGATCGATCGGAATGTAATATTACAATTTAAAAATGCTTGATTCAATACGTCATAGTTAAATGTGTCTAAAAAATAAGCAGTTTTAATTATATATATCATCATCATTACCTTGCCTTTATACCATTATTTGGGATCGGCACAGTATATCATCCTTTTCCAGTTTTAATTATCTATGTATATATATAGTAAATTCTAAAAAAGAATATATAAAAAACCTATACACTTAAAAGTTGCCTATATTATTACTGGTTGCTATGTCTAACAGTATTTTTTTTATTTATGAGGTTTTACATTTGATCTCCTTTCAATACAGCGGTTGCGCTATCGGTGTACGCTCGCTAGTATTAGGAGTGAATCGCAAGTTAATAATTTTGTTACACTTTTACTGATGTGACTGGGGCCGACGGCATGCAGCGCAATTATACTTAGTATAAAAGTACTACCAACCACCGACCATCAGTCACTCAAAGTTTATGTCTGGTTAAATATTTTTAGTTTTTATTATTGTATTATATAGTTTGAAATATTATGTAGTTTAGTTCGCTGATGATATATGTATATAATAAACGTATTTGTTGTGATAGCTTATCTTTTGTCAATCTTTTCTTAATAATTATTATTTGTAAAGCAAATTTCCTGTGTATATAAAACATACCTATATTAATCTAAAGTATGTATCAATATAAGAGATTTCCTGTCAGCTCGACTCCTTGTTCCGCGAAAATTTATGAAACGCATACAGAACTAACTACATATGTGAAACAATTATAACCTTTGGAATAAAAGAACGCGATATTCCATTTAGATTACGCGTTCGTCTTAATAAGAAAATATGTAAAAAAATCAAAAGTAATTACCTAAATTACAGTAAATGTTTTGGTTTACAGATCGATATAAAATATAAACATATAAAATATAATATATATGTATATATACTGATACATCCATATATATTAATAATAAAAGGCTTGTTCCCTTCTATACTAATAAGCCCAAGCAAAGTAAAACGAGCAGCTAGGTTTTAACATTACAACTGTGCTCTGGTAGTTATATTTTGGTAATATATTTTGAAACCTGAAAAATAATGGTTATATTGCGAAACTTCGACTGTAATTCTTAAGTTGCATATAGAATTAAGATCTCAAGTATTTTACATGTCCTATAAAAATCATATTTACCGCCACAAACTCAGGGTTCAATTTTCTTTACCTAATCTTCAATAACAGGAACAAAATCGCTACGACGATTGCAAAACTGGCCTGTATGCCAGCTGCGCCGGCCAGCCTGCACTTGAACATGTCTATACGTGTCTCCTTATCAGCTATGATGTTCTGGAACTCGGCTTCCATTATCTGCCCGTCGTAATATGTGATGGGGTCCTCGAAAGGATACTCGTATCCTTGAAGACATTCACACTTGTAACCACCTGCTTCGAATCCTCTTCCAAGAATGGGTACACACTGGGAACAAATATATTATATTAGAATAAAGTAGAAATAATCAACTCTAGGGGTATTAGTAGTAATAAATACGAAGTTTGTCTGTCTGCCAGTTTGTTACATCGATCCCCAATTCAATTAAAAGGGGATAAAAATTACGACGGCCTGAGGGGTTCGAACCCCTAGCGGTGCCCTCAGACTAAAGTCGTATCCGTCAGGCGGGAGTTGGCCTTCAGCCGCTCCATAAGTCCTTCCGCGGGTTTGAAGTGCCATCTACACTCGCTCTCTATCGTCCGGTGAAGCTGTATAGGCCAACTGCGGCCAACAGCATTAGAGTAGTCCGAAAAAAAAACTTCATGGCGTTAATGAAATTTGACTTCAAGAAATACGAATCATAAAGGAATTAAAATAATTAACATTGTCCAAATAATGATGGGGTGGACCACCCTTACCACTTAGAAATTAGAAAAAACTTCACGTCCTATTCTGTAAGTAAACTGTTTAACAGCAGGAAAATACATAACACATATTCTAGTTCATTAAAATAAATTAACAATTCCATAGTATGATATAGTATGAAATAATATACTTACATAGGAAGAACCCCTGTCACATTTATCTGTGCCCTTAAAAGCATTTGGCACTTGATATTTGTCTGGACATTGATTGATATCCAACAATGTTAACGGCATTGTCACCGCTACGACACCCCTGTAATAAAAAAAAAACATTAATATATCCGGCTCGAAGGACCAGTTCAATCTTATTAATATTATAAACGCGATAGTTTGTGCGTGGCTGCATGTTTGTTACTCTTTCACGCAAAAACTACTGAACGGATTTTCTAAAAACTTTACAGTAATATAGTTTATATATCAGAATAACATATTCGCTATAATTTTCATATGGGTGTAATTATTATAAAATAAGCCTAGTCCTAAAACAATTTTTTTTTACAATAGATTCATGAAGGCTTAGACAATTCATTATTATGAAAATCTACACAGAATTGTATAAAACTAAGATTACTTAATGGATTTACATTATCTTGTTTAATTCCGCTATTATAAGCACGTGTTATTGTTAGCAGGCGAACTCTGAACGAAGCTTAGTTAGGCATTGAATGGTATCCGTTTATAGCTTGGAAGCCTCATTTTGACTGTACGGCTACGAAACTATGACACCACTTTAGTCATCGCAGTTTGCTAATGTATAATTTGCAATGTGGATCTCTTTCAATAATCGTCGGAATTTGATCACCAATAGAGAACGTCGCAACGCTTCCAGTAGCAGTGGTCAGATTTCCGCAGTGAATATTTGCACACATGCTAATAATAGCGGTATTATCCCAAATAATATAAATTGATAAATAATGAAATAGACTTTCTCAAAATAACATCATATTCATTAAAATATAGACTTAAAATTATTTTGTAGTTAGAAAATAACAACTTTAGGCTACTTACTTAAATTCTAATTTAACTTTGACATTATCCCATCCAAAGAACGGAGATGCGTATGTGATAACCCATTGTTTTAGGTGTCCCTCGCAGTCGTAGTACGGTCTGGTCCAGTGGCCGTGATTCAGATTAGCTGCTTTGTACGACGTGTGATACCTCTCGTATCGTTTCAAGTATGTACCAGCCTCGCTGTCCCTTATCTTCATTTTAAGGAAGACTTCCTCGAGCCCATCAAAATTGGTAGACCATCGTTGCTTTAGAAATTGGAACCATTGCTTGTTTGTATAAACTTCGTCTGGAAATACCAGTGATTTTTTAGTTTAATAGAGCAACATGCAAGTTTCTAGCTCATTCTTCTTGTGATGAGTCTATATTCCTAATGTATGGTAGACTTAATAAAAAAAAAGAAGACTTCAAAATTCTTTTTCTATTTCTATTTCAGACCTATGGTCCCTTTGTACCCTGTAATTTCAATCCCAAATCTCAAACCTAGCTTACACAGTAAGCTTTTTGGAAGCTATACAAAGTCTACTTCTCATTACAAAAATAATTATAACAATATAGGGGAAATGAGATTGTCAGTAATGTGGACGTTCACGTTGACTTGCATGCAGTTCCCCGGAAAACCATCGTGATAATTTCGTGGGGAATTGGTCATGATTCTAACTGACCTGACTTCATATTTATCTTATCATACTCCACTGCAGCCCCGCTAGGGTAAACTGTTAGTGCAAACGGGTGCACAATTCCATACCATTATCATCTATTAAAAAAACTATAACTACATACATAGCTAAACCGTAATTTATACTTACCAGTCTTGTTCAATCGGGCCAAATCCTCCAACTTATATTTCCTTGTATTCAACTCAGTTTTATATGCAAATGGAGCGAAGAAAGTACGATTTGTGAATTTGTTTCTATCCCAAAATGTACCTGTAATACAATGACGAAAGAAAATTAATAAAGCACCATGCATCCATGCAAGAATAAAGCATCATTAGATACTATTCATTGTAATGTAATGTATTATATTTGACTGTTGATTGGTGTGATGGTTGATGTCTTGCGTTTTGCCCACCACCTTACTTCCGATGGTCGGGGGTTCGATTCTTCGCACAACACAAACATTTGTATTCATGAGTACTAGTAGTTATCTAGTACCCATAACACAAGCTTAATGTAGCTTAATTTAGGAATACATGGTGGTGGGTGATTAGTCAAAAATCACTTTATTAAATGAAAACACAAACTTATATGGCCCGGTGTCCGAAACTGGAACTAATGAAAAACTGCCAATGCTATATGAAGGCATCTATAAACTCCGTCAACAAAATAACATGACATACACACAAACATTCACTCATGAAACCTGTCCATCGCTACTGGAAGCTGATCTCAAAAATGCTACCGAAGGCGGTAAATAAACAAAACAATTGTCAAAGACTATACTTCTATACGCGTGTATGTCAAATACATGGTAATGTCTATAATGTATTATTTAATCCCATCAAAAACATAAATGTGTAATGATAGCCGAGTTTAATATTATAATATATGCCTTGATTGTTGACTTCTACGACAAAAGAGATGAGATCTAAATGGATGCCAAGTTCAATAGTCTGTCCTGAAATGTATTTATGACAATATAAAATATTATTTCTTCTTATAACTTAGCATAATATACTGTAGCCTAAGGTCTAACTTGGCCTTGATCAGTGATAAAAATGACGATATTTGGACGTTAATATCTAAATAACCGTTTGAGATATGTTTATGAAATTTGGAACACATATTTATCTCGTAAGTCTCAATATATGAACCAAATTTGATAGGTTTATGTGAAAGAGTTTTTGAGTTATGAGGGGGTCAAAAGTGGCTCCAAATGGTTCGTGTAAATATACACACGGTGCTGCTCGCCAGTTACTTGAAACTCGGCTTGACACGCTACCGCGTGTCTAGATTAATTGATTTAGTGTATTTTATGCATTTATTTAAAAATATATTAACATATTACACTACGCTATATAAACTGTGAGTGTGGGCAATTTCATACACCTCCGGGGTACAAAGTTTTTGCACAGGTGCACTCCGCTACATCCATTGGTTGACGCCAAACGTCGCGTTAATGACGCAACATCAAGCAATAAGAAGCGCCGCTCATTACGTGATATATTTCAGCATTAATCAAAAGGGTGGACACTCCACACTTATGTCATTTTTTAAATGTAATATTGCGATAAACGCTGAGAAGAGGTCACAAGTTTGATTTATTTATCTCTTCAAATTACTTTCTTAATTTAAACATATTAACTGCTTCATGTATTAACACGTTAAAGACCGCGTGTCAATCGGTGGGTCACTCTGCAACGAAAGTAAATTTGACACATTGGGACCGGTGGACATTTTAATTGAAATAAATGTAGGGCTTAAATAATGTCTACCACAAATAACACACTAATACAATTAAAAAAAAATAATATCCGTAATTAAATAAAACCGGTCCTTGTGTGAGAAATAAGATTTTTCAATGCGATCTTCAACACGTTAAGAAGCCGTTCAAGTATTACGACAGCACTATATCTTTGCTTTGCTTATTTTGGATGACGTGGGGGGTAGGGGATTCTAAATGATGATTACTCATCTGTAGTTATTTACTTTTTTACGCCAATTGCAACCTTCACATTGTCTTTGCTAAAAAAGGAATATATTAATTGGAAAATGTTTACGTAATCATGTGGGGAGGGGGTAAGAGCTTTGCGTACTTTTGCTGACAAGGGGGATGGGGGGTAAATAATTGTAATAAATCTGCTTAATAATAGTAGAATATTTGAAACCGACCTGCAGACCAAATCTTGGAGTCGCCAAGCACAACAGCTAAAGTTTCACCAATCATCTGATCTTCGGTGAGGGGTTTATCTGCGACACGGGTGCCACTGAATACTTCCGTAGGATCGGATACCTGTTGAGAATATATAGAAATAGAAATAGAAATAATCTTTATTCAAATAAACTCATTACAAACACTTTTGAATAGTCATATTTTGATTCTACCACTCATTCGGAATGCAGATTCATCACAAGAAGAATGAGCAAGAAACTTGTGTGTTGTTCTTTTTAATAGATGTTTTTTATATAAATAATTACAGTATAACAAGTAAGAGGCACGTGATAATCAACATAGAAGTCGCTACGCACTCATTATTAGTGTAATCAGATAATATTGTCAGTGCTATGGATTTAAAGTTTTTCTATAAAAATATATAAATAAAATTAAAATAAATAAACAAATTTCTTGATATCGGGGAGAAGGGAATTGTTAGTAATGTGGACAATAATAGAAAATGTTATACTAGAAAATATTATACTTTTACACAATCTATAGTGAAATAATGGAGTTATTGTTTGTGAAATTTTATTTATTTTAAAAAATGTTTCCAACTACTAAATTATTAGTTTCCATATGTTCCTTATGACCTTCTTTTACAGTTATGAATATTAGACGGCTTCGGTGGTCTAGCGGTTTAGCACACCGCTTTACTTTCCGATGGTCGCTGGTTGGATTCTTCGCACAGTATAAACATTTGTATTTCATGTGTGTGATTGTTTGTATCGGTCTGGGTGTTTTCTATGTACTTTATGTATTTACAAAATAAATGTATTTATATCAGTTGTCTAGTACCCATAACACAAGCTCTGCATATCCTGGATCTCCATGGCGCTATGTGAATTGTCCCGAGATATTATTATTATTGGTATTGAACTAATTCTTTGCTTAAACGCATATATGCAGGAAATAGATTACCTGTAAAAACGCGCTAATGAAATTTGCCAAACGCAATGCCATTTTCGCTTGGTTCTCCATTTGCTCTTCCTTTCCAAACGCTATGTCTCCATTTAGAAAGAGATCTGAAGGGTTATATCTGAAAATAATAATTTAGTATTTTTTTTACATTCATATAACTAGAATGACAACCAAACTGACAGGTCAACTAATGGTAGATATCAACTTATTTTAGGCTATTGATTAAACATAAATAAAAAAAGGGTTGAAAGGGTTGAAAGTGATGATCAAAGATTGTATGAAAGTATTGCCATTTTTAAAGCTTAAAACCAATTATAGGCTGTTGATTACATAATAAAGAAAAAGGGTTGTAAGGGGTTGAAAGGGGAGATGAAAGGTTGTACTTGGATTTTTGGGTTACATCTTAATAATATTATAAACGCGAAAGTTTGTGAGTATGGATGTTTGTTACTCTTTCACGCCAAAAACTACTGAACGGATTTTGATGACACTTTACAGTTATATAGCTTCATCAGAATAACATATAGGATATATTTTTTATTGAAATTTAACAGGGGTGAAACCACGGGCACAGCTAATTAATTATTAATTAAATATTTTTTTTTATACGGGTTCAAGGTCACTATTCCACGCGGGCGATTTTGTACAGCTAGTAAATAATAAAGTCTTACTTGGAACAGTTGTAGGGTTGTACGCCACGTATGAAATTCAGCACCTCATACACGTTAACCTTCTCTGTATGGAGGGCGGACGGGCCAGGAGTAGCGTTCACGTATTCAGCGTGTCGATCCAAGTATAAATCGCGCACCCATCCTTCCGCGCGTTCCCATTGCACTGGCAAACGCTGCACCCCTGCAGGTAGACATTATTGATAATATAACAGAAATAAATTACATATATTTTTGACTATAATTATTTTTTTGAAATTTCTCATTTAAATTATTGCACCGCCAAAAATCTTTCTCTGCACCACTCATAGTTACGTGGTAGATGACAGAGATTAAGTGCGCCATATGTACACATTATTTTTGTGCATTGAAGTTAAATGAATAAATAAAAAATCAGTATTTTTTATATAATCGTAAATTTAAAATAATTAACTAAGCTGACTGTGTTGTAAGTGGTAACTGTCGGCTATATGGACAGCACTATGGATTATGTAAATTATTAACCGGGTCTTAACCCGAATATTTTATGGCAAATAAAGGTATTTACCTCTCTCGACAGTTCAGTCTCTTCGAAAGTTCAGTAGCATCAATTGTCAATAAGTGTACGGATACCGTGAGTGCTGTGTGTCGCGAACTTTCGTTAAACAATCTAGTGACGGTAGATGAAGAAAAATCTGCTGTCACCTATATACATTAACATCGCTGTTACTTCAGTCAGCTCGTGACCACGGCTAGTGCAACCTAGTCGAAACGTCGAGAGAGGTATATATGTTTATTTGCCATAAAATATTCATGTTAAGACCCAGTTAATAATTTAAATAATGTATATTAAACACGAAAGTTTAAAAGCACTATGGATCAACTGTTCATGTGGTGCCTATCATACCACTCATGCGTAGGGGGGAAACGGATAGTTAGTAATGTGGACTGATGACCCTATTGCTAGCAATGTACCATGTCAGGTTGTCCTCCATCCGATTCACCTGGAAACCATTACGATAAATTCCCGATGAATTTGTCACGATGGGTACCTGATGATCCAACCTGGTAATAACTGGAAGGGAAAGACTGAAGATCGTGCCCAGTGACGAGAGGACTATGTCCAGTAGAGGAATGCAGTGGGCTGATGATAATTAAATTAAATATGATCTTAGAGTAACTTACATCCAATCTCCAGGCAGTCGAAGTTATTGTAATACTGATCAGACGTGGCTCTCTCGATGATCTCGCCGAGGTAAGGTCTCCGCACGATGCTGGGCAGGCGGAAGCCGGGCGCGCAACGGCACTGGTAAGCGCCGCGGCGGAAACCCCAACCGTGAAGAGGTTCGCACTAAAATACACACTTCAACTTAAAAATGTAAAATAACAATGATATTTAATAGAGCAACACGCAAGTTTCTTGCTCGTTCTTCTTGTGATGAAACAGCTTCCCGAATGAGCGGTAGATTGAAAAAAATTTGATAACTATTCAAAAGTGGTTCAATGTGGGATTATTTGAATAAATTCTTTGCTATTATATTCTATTCTAATAATATCATTCTTAATCATGGTTATTTTTTTGGTTCGTAAGTTGGCACCACTGCCAATTTTATAAAGAAAACAATTCTGAGTACATTGTCATTTCAAACCCGCGGAAGGACTTATGGAGCGGCTGAAGGTCAACTTCCGCCTGATGGATACGACTTTAGTCTGAAGGCACCGCTAGGGGTTCGAACCTCAACTCAGGCCGTCGTAATTTCGATCCCCGTTTGAATTAGACGGGGGATCGATCGGAGTGTAATATAACAATTTATAAATGCTTGTTTCAATACGTTATAGTTACGTAGTACTTACTTCAGTGGTTTCAATTTTACATCGAGCCGTAGATGCAAATTTGTTCGGTCCTTCATTTCCCTGACTGGTAGGACATTGATTTATATCTATCCGATCATAATCCATTTCCATTACAACAGCTGCTGTGTATCTAAAATTAAATAACAAAATCTACAGACATTACCAATTCGCCTTTCACTGAAAACAAAGGGTTTTACAAAATACATTTTTTTTTCTATCTGCGATCAGTCCTTCCGCCTATAATCAGATACAAAATACATTAATATCTTTTTTTTTTACAACGCAGGAGACAAACGAGCATGCGGCTCACCTGATTGTAAGTGATTACCGCCGCCCATGAGCACCCGCAACACCAGTGGAATTGCAAGTACGTTTTTTTTTTTATAACACACGGGACAAACGAGCATGCGGCTCACCTGATGGTAAGTGATTACCGCCGCCCATGAGCACCCGCAACACCAGGGGAATGCGAAATACCATTGCTGGAAGGTGATTCCACCAAAAAGTATCTGGTATTAATCCGAACAATTCCCAGCGTGATATATAGAAAATGCACAGAGATGCAATATCTCGCCGCAAAGCCAATGGGTCGTTGTCAGCCTTTTAAAAAGGAATAACCTCTTTTCTTGAAGGTTTCAATATCGTATCGGTTCGGAAATACCATTGCTGGAAGGTGGTTGTGCGTGGCAAAAAGTTTCTAGAAAACCGACGTGTGGAGGACCGCCATTCATCCAGATGATCAGGCTGGTATTTTAGTTTCTGGCGGGTTTTTTTTTTTTATAACACAGGGGACAAACGAGCATGCGGCTCACCTGATGGTAAGTGATTACCGCCGCCCACAACACCAGGGAAATTGCAAGTACGTTGTCGGCCTTTTAAAAGGAATAAGCTCTTTTCTTGAAGGTTTCAATATCGTATCGGTTTGGAAATACCATTGCTGGAAGGTGATTCCATAATGTGGTTGTGCGAGGCAAAAAGTTTCTAGAAAACCGACGTGTGGAGGACCGCCATTCATCCAGATGATCAGGATGGTATTTTAGTTTCGGTACTTCGGTATTGGTGGTACGGTGGTGAAACTCAGCAGCTGGTATTAATCCGACCAATTCCTCAGAACATATCTATTTAAATAAAATCTTTAGGAGATTATATTAAGTATTTGGGAAACCTATGCCCTCTGTCCCGCATAGAGGTTTCCAAACCGTAATAAATGTATTGGTATTATGTATTTAATAATACGAATACATTTTTATAATATTCCTTGAATATCTCCAGTAAGTCCTTTTAGCCAGGTTCTTTTGGTTTGGGTGGTTACAAAAGTTCTTTTCGTTTTGAAACTTTTGATTTTCAAATAATAGTAATCCATTCATCATGACAGCCTCAGTGGTCTAGTGATTTAGCACACCTCTTTACTTTTAATGGTTGCAGGTTTGATTCCTTGCATGGTGCAAACATTTGTATCTAATATATAATATATATCAGTCTGGGTGTGTATGAATATTATGTATTTATAAGTATTCATATCAGTTATCTAGTACCCATAACACAAACTTTACTTAGCTTAGGACTAGATGGACTGTCTGATTTATCCTGAGATATTATCATTATCAGCATATGATATATTAGTTGATGTACTTACGTGGGATACTCAATGTGCCTGAACTGTGTGTGGCGAGGATAAATATCAGCTACAGGAGACACAGCTCCCATAAGCCACTTGTTCAGTCTTCCACAATCAAAGTATGGACGGGTCCAATTTACTGGTCCTGGATTCTGAAGAAAATAAACATGTTCTTATAGTACATTTGACAATTTTATGTTGTACTTCAAGTCCATGACCAATTAGTTTTAGGTCCTGCCCATGAGTCTGATAATTCAGTTGATATGGCACATGTGCTCTATTTAATATCAATTATATTATAGAACTTCAACAACATAATTATTTCTATTGTAGCATGGTTAATGGTTTTAATTATGTTTATCACTGCATGTCATCTATACATATGATAAAATGAGATGTCATCTTAATATTAAAATAACATTTTTCTCATGCATATGAATATAAATATGGTACATATACCAAAAAAATTTTTGGAGTGTCTGTTTGTAATCTTGAAATAACCAGGTAGATAATTTTTACTACTTTTATTTTAGAAAAATAAAAAAATTTTGGTGTATGTACCATATATATATTCATATAAATACAGTACATACACCAAAATAACAGTTTTTTACAATTTTTATCTGTCTGTCTGTTCCGGCTAATCTCTGAAAAGTCTGAACCTAAGCAGTATCTGAGGCTATCTTTATTTTAGAAAAAAATGTTGTTTTTGAGAAAAAGAAAGTTAAAATTAATATTAAATTATAAGAATTATAAATTCCACAGGAATGACATCGCATGTACAGCTAGTTAACAAATAAATTAAGATTATTTGTTCCCAGTATGTACTATCTAGTTAGTGAATATATAGGTAATAATTGTACTATACTAGTAACTTTATTTGATACATGGCTTATTAGTAACACAGTCAGAATGCAGACTAACTTATATTGAAGTCGGTTGATTTATGTGAAGATGTAAACAAAATGAAAGGGTGACAGGATTGACAGATATATAAGTACATGTAGGCACACTATGGAAGAGTCTACACTAAAATTGTGTGGCACAAAACACACCATCACAGTCCGCATACCTTTGCCACTTTACCACTGACCATTTGTGTTTTAAAAGTATTGATGATGATGATAGTGTGTAATGTAATGTGGACTATGTTTCCGCAATTAGCCTCTCATTTGGGCTGTTGTGCGTGTAGAGCCGAGACTAGTAAAGTAGCCAGCCAAGCTCCTCCCAGAAGCGCAGAAGACTCCTGGTGTCTTCACAGGCTTTACGGAGTGATGATTTATATTACTTTATTCATACAAACCTCATCATTTCCAGGAGGTCCATGAAATGTGAATGTCTCATTTGTATTATTAGCATATCTAATCTCTACTTGGTATGTCGTCTTTGTGTCATGTCTTTTATCCACTTTATCTGGTAACCAGAGGTGGTACCATTCATTTGTGCGGTAGAAGTCCGATGTATAATCTTTGGACAAACTCTCAGGTTCGAAAGCACCTAGATCCTCCACATATAGTGTATTCAAAGTTGAAATTTTCTGAAGATGAACAGGATCATTGAAATCATCTGCTCTGTATGCTCTAGGAGCAAACCTTGGCATTGTTTTATTGAAGAATCCTCTATATGAAGAAGTATATGACATATTTGGGGAGAAGTAGATAGAACTAGCGTTGATATAATGGTTTGAAGATACATCGGCGACAGCAGAAAGGAAGTAATACATCATCCCAGGATCGTACGTGTCGTTGATAGCTGGTCGGATAAACCGCGACTGGAGGATGTAGCTCCAGAAGAAGGCTCTGTTCATAGCCATATTGTGTAAATGAAGCATTGCGGTGCGGTTAGGAAACACTGGGTTTATATTGATCTCTTTCACATCAGGGCGGTGCGAAACAGAGTCTTCTGGTAAATATAAGTCATCCAAATATGTGATGAAGCAGTTATCAGGTGTAACTTTGTCCATTTTGCCCCGAATTTCGTCGAAAGCATCTCTTACTTGCCATTCGTATTGACCGGCCACACCCCACAGTAAGACGCATAGCGATATCACTAGTAAACTAATGTTTAATGCCTCCATTGTTAATCAAATATACATGCATATATTTCACAATTATAAATTCATATTGATTTAAAAATGATTCAGTTAAATTACATTTATAGAGTATAAAAAATGTACAATGGGAAGATTGTTGTTTTGAGATTCAAAATTTGAACATTTGACACTTGTGACACTGACGGTTCGTATTGTAGCATCGGCTTCGACCACAGATTAGAAAGGTAATACAGGCTATAAAAAATTGAGAACCAAAATCAATCTTTTTATGGAAACTAAAAATATTAAATATAATTTAACCATGAACGTAGCCATTATCTTAATTAATTCTACCATTTTCATTATAAAGCTCACTTAATTAATTTTTTTCAGGAACATAGAATTTATAAGAAATAGTGAAAACTGGACTTTATTTTCCTATGTATATAAAGTTAATAATATGTCAGTTGTATTTGACTATGGATAACCTATTAAGAAACCTCAATAGAAATAATATTTATTTTTAATAAATAACTAACTACACCTATATACGTTATTAAATATTATGGCTGGAACATTATTTCGTAAGTTACATATATATATGATGTTATATGAACAAGTTTAATTGTGTAACGAAAAATTTAAAATGATTATATTTTTTCAGGTTCCTTTTTTAACAATACACTATCACTTTATAAAATAAACACATCAAATGTCGTAAGTACTAAATATATTTTAATATATTACGCTTGTATCAAATCTGTACGTCTATATGCATCGTCGTCTAATTAAAAAAGTTACAAAAAGAAATCCTAATTGTATGTAATGACCGTGTTTAGTATATAACATTCATTTAGTATTTCAAAACCCTAATTCTACTAAACCTGGGTGTCTTATATTATTACAGAGAAGTTTACATACAGCTACAGTAGCATATGCAGCCAGGAAAGGTACTAGAGCTAAAGCAAGAGCAAAAAAAGTTAAAGTGGAAGTTACTAAAATTGGTTTCATCCCTCACAACCAAAGAGGAAGGGATAAGTATGTATATCTTCATAATTTTTTTCAGTTATTTGATGGTGTTTATGGTCCAGTGGTTTACCACACCACTTTACTTCCAATGGTTGCAGGTTTGATTCCATCCATAGTGCAAACATTGTATTCATGAGTATGGTTATTTGTGTAAGTCTGGCTATTTTCTATGTATATTATGTCTATATTTAAAAAAAAACGAAGTATTTATATCAGTTTTCTAGTACCCACATACAAGATCTGCTTACTGTGAGACCAGATGGCACTGTGTTAATTGTCCAAGGTTATTATTTATTTATTTATCATTGGTTTATCATTAGAAGTGTATCATGGTCTAGTGATTTACTTCTCTGTATTACTGTTGAAAGTTAGAGCTCATACCTGTCAGAAATAAAATCTCTGTCTATCAATTCATATTTCAAGTAACATAACAAGCCCTAATGCCTCATAGATCCCAAAAAATTGGATGTGCCAATTAGGGGAAAGAAGGATTGTCTGTAATGTGGCCTAATGACCTCACTGATAGTAATGTACCATGTCAGGTTGACCTCAACATAGCTCCCCTCGAAACCATAATGATTACCTAGTGAATTTGTCACAGTGGGCTAACTGACCTGACCTCATATTCATAGTTCCGTTAATACACCATACCATAATTATCTACTAAAGAAAAAAAACAAAAAGACATTCCTATTTTCAGATTTAGTTCAGGTCAGTAGACTCAGTACACTTACCACCTCGCAAACTTTACCTCTATAATAATAGTATAGATAAACAAATAATGATAAGACATCAGGTATTAATAAGACTGGGTCCTCTAGTGGTCTTGGGTTTACATCTGCTACCAGAATGCCATCGATCTAAACCTCTTATAATACAAAAAGGTATTTATAAATTTAACCTAAATTCTATTTCAGATCATTAAAGATTAATCTAAATAAGCATGCAGATGACACTCATAAAATTGAGTCAAAAGATGATGTATACCCTATGAAATACTACCGATGGGTGGTGTACACAGCGGAAGAAGCTGTGAAAGCACATCAGGAAACCCACCACCCCTCTATGTACAATGTGCCCGATGCACTAGTGTATGCACGGGTTGAAATTAATATGGAAGCTGTTAAAAAGGTATAAATTGTGTATTATTACAATTTTGGCCACATTTGCCCTATGCTGATTTTGTGGTGTCCCTTTGTACCAAATAGCTATTCTTTCTTTCTGTTCAGAAATAGGGCATATGGGCTATATAGATTAGAAATACTATATGTGTACAGTGGACTAACTACTGTACACTAATTTTGGCTGTACCAGCGACTTCGAAGACATAAGAATTTTAGAAAAGCTAAGTTGACCCATAGCACGTAAAACGTTGGGAACCTCTTATCTCTTTCATTTAATTTAATTGCCCTATTACTATGTTTAGTTACAATGACTACTTAAATTTCAATTATCTCATTACCGCTAATAGCTGGACGGTCTGTACGGACGACGGCATACGATTGGCGCATTAATTTCTATGCCCTGCCCTCTCATGAATTGCGCCAATCGAATGACGTCGTTAATAAGGTCGGGATAATGTGAGCCCAGGTTAAATGGGAGATATGGGAAAGTATCATATTTTTTTACTTTGTCAGAAATTATCATTTTTTTAACAAATATAATTTCTCTTATGAATAAGAGATAATGGAATAGCCCTATGTTAAATAAAGAACAATAAGATTCTATTATCATTCATTCATTCATTCATTCATCTAACCAATTATGTGACATTTTCACTTATTATGAGTATTAAGGCCACAAAACTGTTTTACAGAATAGATATGTAGATAGTTTCACCCGGCTTTGCCTACTGCCGAACATATTTCCGCGTGATGAGGAACGGACCATACTTGCTTTCTGCAAAGGACCTGAACTGATGGATGGTGCGAGAGCAGCTGGTGCCACCACTGTCGGTGGTCCTGAGCTAATAAAAAAGATACAGGTAAAAATCAAAATAAAAAATCACATATTCATTTAGGCCCTTATTAACTTTAACGTTTTGGATTAATATTTTTCCCCTACCGTCCAGTTCAGTGTACAGATTCAATTGAGTAAAACTGGGAAGAAATATCAAGAAACTTTTTTTTTTAAATAAACTGGCTAACCGATAAGTATATCGTAAACGTTTGTTATTTTACGACCTAGGCGACAGTTACTAGGCTGGCCATTTGCTATTGTTTGCCATTATATTCAAATAAAAAAACCTACCTTAATAGGACAAATCCATTGATAAATTTTATTGTCAATAGACAAAATGCCTTTTTGTCATTTTCTTCTCCTCTTTCATCTGAAAAGGTCATGGCCATAAACATTTGTTTTAACATTAGATTTCATATGTATGTATATAAAAAATGTATTTAAATGTATTACTACTACTCTGCTGGGTTTGGAACTAAATACTGCTGTGTTGAGTATTCATTGATATGTATAACTAGCTGTTCGCGTCGACTTTGACTGCGTGGAATTTAACTTTATTTTCCTAAAATAGAAGTAGCTTAAGTTATGCCTTATTACATCAGCTACCTACCAAAAAAAGTCCCCTCAAAATCGGTCCAGCCATATCAGAGATTATCCGGAACAAACAGACACACAGACAGATAAAAATTGTAAAAAATATTATTTTGTTGTATGTACCTTATTTATATTCATATACATGTAACAATCGGTTATTTCAATATTACAAACAGACACTCCAATTTTATTTATATGCATAGATTTATTTATTTCCCAGGATGGCACAATCAAATTATTCGAATATGACTATATCATCGCCCATCCCAACATCATCACAGAACTTGTCCCGATAAGAGGTTTGATGAAACGGCGCTTCCCAAACTTACACTCTGGCACTTTGGATACGGATTTGGTGAATTTAGTGAAAAAATACGCAGCTGGAGTCCAGTATCGTGTAGTACAGGACGAACACCAGAAGAATTATGGATCTGTCGAAGTGCCTGTTGGACGGGTAAATAATATTCATAACAACTTTGGTAACCCACACCACCTTAGTTCTCATGGTCATGTGGTTTTCACCAGCTTACTTCTTCTGATCGCTAGTTCTGTTTCTAGCACGGAACAAACATTTGTATTCATGAGTATCATTGTTTGTATCAGTCTGAATGATTTCTATGTATGTAATGTATGTGTTTAAGGTATAGCCATTTAACACACCACCTTACTTCTGGTCTCGGGTTTGATTCCTTGCACGGTACAAACATTTGTATTCATGAGTTTGATTGTTTGTATCAGACTCGGTGTTTTCCACGTATATTATGTATGTGTTTAAAAAAAACTGTATATTTATATGAGTTGTTTAGTACCCATAACATTAAGTCTTCTTAGCCTGGAACTAGACGGCGCGGCGCTGTCAAAATGTGTATTCTGGAATATTATTTCTTACTTCAAAATGATGTATGTCTGATCTTGAAATAGTAAAAAGTAATAAAATTTATTTAAACAATTTTAACTTTTAGTTAAATTACTTTTAATGATGATATGTATTAAGTACAGTAATAAAATCCATAAATATAATAAACTTATGTCATCAGACTCATTTAACACTGTTATCAACCTTCCTTTTCTTGATTTACTTCTGCATGGTTTTTGAGTGTTTTTACAATCATTTCAAGATTAATTTATTATAATAAATACCTACCATGATTGCAAATAGTGACACATCATATTTTATTAACTAAGTTTACGATTTTTGTACAGTTAAACATGGACCCGAAACTGGTAGCCGAAAATATTGGAGCCCTATTAAAAGACGTGCAGTCTGCGAGGCCAAAAAGGGATGGGCTCTTCATAACAAGGTATAATTTGAATGCTAGGTATAGATATAAAGTTTTTGTAAACAAGTGAGATGTGTTGAATTAATAAATTATTTTTTCTTGACTTAACTATTAATATTATAATATTTTAACATATCTTTGTATCAATATAACAATACATATATGACAGAAATTGTCTGTCACCTACCAACAGTAAGGCATGACAAAATTAACTATGGCTCGCATAGTATATCTACCAAGTTTTCTAAAGTGTTATGTTAATATCACTATGACACTTAAAAGATGATGTTTCAATTAACAAATTTTAAGTTTCTATTTTAAAGAATAAACACTATTCTTTATGGTCAATTTATGAATTATTTGTTCTATATAATTTCAGGTGTATAATAGTAAGCCCACCTTCAGCAGAAACGCTTAAGATTGATCCATTTGTATATGTAGACCGCACGCTTTCTAAAGAAGTTCAAGATGACAGTGATGATGAAGTTGATGCTGTTTCAGCTGCTGCCTGAAGATCAAATTGTTGTTAAGTTGTGTAGTATGAATTGTGCATAAATATATAGTATTAAATCCATTGTACAAGTTTTTTATTGTATACTTATAATAAAAAATAATATTTTATATCCTTTTATATTCATAATGTAAAATGTTCCTGATAAATGATCAAATAGTCCATCCGTTACTATCGTTGGAGTCTACAACTCCTGAGTAGTATATTCTTTGTTGTACGATAAATATCATAGATACAAATACCGTAGAAGGAGAATATACAAGCAAAATGAAAAAAACGTGCCACAGTACTTTTCTTTTCTGATCTATTCAATTTAAAATTAAAGAACTTTGCTTTTAAAATGTATTTTATACAAAATAATAGCTAATGGACATTTTGTCATCACAATAAACTATTACAGCGTTGTCTATGGTTTCTGTCAACAATAAATATTTGCATGTATCCGAACGTACAAATTCAAAGGAAGAGGGCGTAAAACAATCCGCCATTTTGTCTCTATGACAATTACAGAATTTAACATTTTATAATTATAAAACCCGAATTAATCGGCGAAATCTCAATTTATAAGTGATATTTCAAAAGCTGTGCAGTATTCTGAGATCCTGTGATATTTGTGTCTCCAACTATTTTGTTTACATTCATCTTGACGTTTTTAGTTGATCGAATTTGACGTCGATTAGAGAGCTCGTAGAATATCAAAATGGGCACAAGAGAGGATGAATATGATTACTTGTTCAAAGGTAACTTATCTGTTTTGTATTTAAATTAATTTGTAGAGTTTTCAATATGTGCGTCGTAATATTTAATCTGAAATGTACATTGTACAAACAAGAACCATTGTTTTACATGAGAATGACGTAAAAAATATGACCGATATTATTTTCTCCTTTGTTTTACTAGTAGAATTTACAAAAAATCAGTTTCATCTTCTTTGAAAATCTTAAATGCTAGTCATCAGCTTAATTTTGGCTAAATTTTTGTGTTTGTTTCACGATCAGCTGATTGGACAATAAGATATCGATTTCGCATAATTTCTTGATTTGTGAGTCACCTGCGACTGCTCTGCATGATCTAATCATACAAATGCACAATATTGAAGTATTTTTTTCCATAAAACTATTCATATTCATAGGTATGTGTTATGATATTTGGTAATGCAACAGTGTTCTTTGTTTCAGTTGTGTTAATCGGAGATTCGGGGGTGGGAAAAAGTAGTCTCCTCTCACGATTCACTAGAAACGAATTCAACTTAGAGTCAAAATCTACAATAGGTGTGGAATTTGCAACAAGAAGTATAGAGGTAACACTTTGTTCATTGTTTCACACACTGAGTGCTTGCATTTAGTTATTTACATAGTTATCACATTGTTTCCACAAAGATTCATAATTTCTGTTCAAAATGACAACGTTCAAACATTAATCAGGTTAACAAGTAAACAAATTACACTCTACTTTTACTTGTAAATTTTATCAATTAAATTACCTATATTTTTAAACAGATAATGTAAACTTTCAATATAATTCTCAGGCCTTTCACTGAAATAAGAAACGAGTATCTAATAGGTTAGGTTAACAAACTTTAATTACTTTATTTTTCAGTAGAAAGTATAATGTAATGCTTTTTTCTGTTAATAACTGAATAGAATATCATACATGGTTGATTTCTTTTGTTGTCAAATGTAGATGTTAGTTAATGGAGATCAGTATTATTTCTTTCAATTAATACTTATTATTATTTGTTTGAAAAGACTTTTATATTGTTTTTTTTAATGGACTAACAGTTTCTACCAAAGAAACTTATAATAAATTAGTCCAAGTGTGCTATGAGTTTACCACAATAGCTTCTCAGTTGACATTATATTTTGCTGACAATAGGTACTTCTAATAAACAGTGGGGTAAGATGATTGTTAATAATTTGAACAGATGACCCCATATCTAGCAATGTACCATGTCGGAATAAGCCTTCATGCAGTTCCCCCTGGAAACTATCATGATAAATTCTTTTATCATTTGTAATGAATACTGAAACTACTAGTATACACCCCTTCTGTGTTTTTATTAATGATTAAATGAACAGTCCTCCCAATACCCTCTAAAACAGAACAGTAATGTTAAAAATTGTATATTTGCATACACTTATCTAATCACTGCTATCTAGATAAAATACACTGCTGTACATATAATTGTTAAGGTCAATATGCAAAGATAATTTGATTAACAATGAAAGCAAATTCATATTACTCACCAATTAAGGACAATTGATAGAATCATATGTCAATGATATGGGTGTAGTGAGTAGTGTATTTATAGATAGGTTATTGATGAATTTTATGTACTATAAACTTTTGTATTAAGAGATGGTCAGAGTAACATTGGTTACAAGGTTTAGTCTTTTATGTGTTATCTGTGTATATGTGTACATAATGCTAGCCAACCTGGTAAACATGGTTTTGACAAATAATTTCTTTAGTTACATGAGTACAAAATTATTAAAGTACTAATATTTTTATTAATGAAATAGATGGGATACTAGAAGGGTGAAAATTTAGGGTTGTTCTTTATACCTCATACCTAATGCCAAAACATAAAATATAATTTTTAAAAGTTTTGTCCATAGAATAAAATCTTTGGCTTGTACTATCGTTATCACTTAGGGGTATGAATAATTGTTTAATTCCTTGTCTCGGACCTACTGAATATACACACATTATTTGATAAGAATATGTTAATCTACTTCAAAGTTTTGTTACATGAGAATTTTATATATTAGTAGAAATACACACACATTTTAAAATGGATGAGAATTGTATGGCTGCGTGTGCCAATAGTATAGGCTAGTGGGGCACCAGTGAATGATGATAATATAAGCATGAAGTTAGTCAGTTAGCCTATCTAGGCAGATTCACCAGAAATTACCTATGATGGGTTCCAAGAGAGACATGTTATGGTCGACCAGACATTGTATATTTTTTTCCCTTTCCTCTCTCACATAGACATGTTTCATGCTTATCATATTGCTAAAAATCGTATCAAAAACATTATTTACTATATATTTGTTTATAATATTGGTGTAGATGATACACCAATATTATAAACAGGGAAGATTGGTATTTCTGTATGTTGATACAGAATAAACTCAAAAGCTATTGGACTGGTTTTAAAAATTATTCTGTGCAGAAGAAAAGTGGAACAGGGTCCTTGTAGTATATATTAAGGTTTTTAATTTTGAATTGTTGTATATTTGTAAATAATTTTCATTTGATTTTAAAACCAATGTACTTAAACATAAGTGTGAAAATTAATTGATTCTTGAACAATTTGTGAAACTCTCATCTATTCACTATTGTTTTAATTGCCAATGATATATATATATGCTGATAGGGCATTAGTGGAGAATGATATGACGAGCATGAAGGCTGGTCAGGGTGAGGTAGATTGTAAGTCTGCTTGGATATCTCAGTTTCATCCATTTCAGTCGCTAAGTATCGTGCCTTGGATATTGCGTTTTGGTTCTAGGTTGCATATAAGACATTGAAATTATAGGAGGCATGACATCTAAGATCTCTGGAATAGCAATGCATAAGTATATCACGGGTTCATATGATAACGTAGTGTCCATAGTGCTATTCATAAATGCAAAGCTGGAAAGCTTGTTATTCTAATTGCATAAAAAACGTTCAGTGTCTTGGAGCGATGAACCGCCCCTTCGATCGATCCCCCATGAAACGGGTATCAAGGCCTGAGCCAACTTCGGCTCGGGTTTTCTTGATACCCGTTTGACGGGGTACCTAGCGGTACCCTCAGACTAAAGTCGCATCCGTCAGGCAGGAGTTGGCATTCAGCTGCTCCGTAAGTCCTTCTGCGGGCTTGAAATGCCATCTGCCTATCGTCTGATGAAGCTAGATAAAGACCAGGTACGGTCAACAGCGTTAGAGTAGTTAAAAAAAAACTATTGACTTTATATACCTGATAGTAATTGAACCTTTAGCCTCTAGAAATTCCCTCTGACCCGAGATCATAATACGCATACGATTAACATCTCGTAAACTATGTTATTTATGATTCCAAATTTCCATATGAATATTTAAAAAAAATAGTGTTTTTATATAGCTAAACTAGCTGTACCCGCGACTTTGTCCCCGTGGAATTTTACTTTATTTTTCTAAAATAAAAGTAGCCTAAGTTACTCTTTATTACATCATCTACCTGCCAACAAAAGTCCCGTCAAAACCAGTCCAGCCATTTCAGAGATTAGCCGAAACAAACAGACAGACAGATGGACAAAAAAGGGAAAAAAAATATTTTGTTATATGTACCGTATTTATATTCATATGCATGTAGTAAAAAACGGTTAATCCAATATTACAAAGAGACACTACAATTTTATTTATATGTATAGATAAAACTTGACATTGAAATAAAAATAATCTTTATTCTAATAGACTAAACATATAAGCATATTTTGAATAGTCAGAGTTTTTTATTCAACCATTCATTCGGAATGCAGATTCAGCATAAGTATGAGCAAAAAACTTGACTGTTGCTTTTTGAAGCAAATGTAACTAAATGAGCATTTTATTTTGAAACATATTTTAATTTGATGACGTAATTTTAGATATAATAATAATACATATATGTATATTTATATATTATATCCTCCTTGTCGTAAATCCGACAACACCCAGGCCCATACAAATAATCATACTCATTAATACAAATGTTTGGAACGTGCTAGGAATTGAACCCGCGACCATCGGAAATAAAGCGCTGTGTTAAACCGCTAGACCATCGAGGCCATACCGAAGTATATGTAGTGACGTCATCATATCACAGTCATACCTACGTGGAACATTGCGTGGAACTTGCCGCGTCGCCGGTAGGACGCTGTGTTGTATATGACCACATAGCACTATATAGTTAACGAATTGTACAATAATAATAATAATCTCAGAACAATTCACACAGAGCCATCTAGACATTAAGTTAAGCTAGCTAGAGCTTGTGTTATGGGTACTAGATAACTGATACATATACGTAGATATTTTTTTTTGTAAATACATACATATTATATATATATACATAGAAAACACCCAGACCGATACAAACAATCATACTCATGAATACAAATGTTTGTGCCGTGCGAGGAATCGAACCCACGACCATCGGTCGTAAAGCGGTGTGCTTGACCGCTAGACAACCGAGGTCGTCTATATTTATATTATTTATTCTTACATTCATTCATAAATTTAAGAGCAACGCTCTTGTCGGTGGACCTCATGCCACTTTCTACGATCTTCCGTCATACTCTTTAAGCCTTGATACGACACGATTACAATTCTGTCTTTAATTTGTTTGATGTAACTATGCCTTGGTCTTCTTCTCCCCCTCTTTCCTTCTATCTTTCCCTCAATAATTACTTTCAAAAATTTATCATGCCGTATCATTCTATTACAAACAAAAGTAAAAAAGTAATCGCGTCAAGTCGCGCATATTCTAAGTTATACTCCAATAATGTAATTTAAAATTGAATTATATAAAGAAACTAGCTGTCCAGGCAAACGTTGTTTTGCCTTAAATTAAAAAAAAAAAATTGAGGTGTACCACCCCTAACATTTAGGGGCATGAAAAATAGATGTTGGCCGATTCTCAGACCTACTCAATACGCTCACAAAATTTCATGAGAATCGGTCAAGCCGTTTCGGAGGAGTATGGGAACGAAAACTGTGACACGAGAATTTTATATATAAGATATAATATTATAAACTAGAAACATTTTTCCAAAGTTTTGATATAAGCTATGGAACTGTAGAGCATCCTGACATAGGCATGTTTATGCTTCAAAGGAGTCTTCAACAACTATATAGAATTTAGTAAAAATTTTATTACCTAAATAAAGAATTTTGATTTTCACATCTTGATACTATTCGCTCACTAGCTCTAACACGCGGATTTACTCGCAGTTACAAACTTTACCTCTTGTACTTCTTTACAGAGTATAAAATGAAGTCGCTTCCAATGTCTTTTCGATTAGAACTTTTAAACTACGCAACGGATTTTATTGCAGTTTTTAGTAATAGATATATTGATTAAAGTGGAAGGTTGTGCGAAGCTAGGGCGTGTAGCTAGTATAAATAAATAACTTGAAAACTGACTACGTCCAGTCTCAAATTCAGCAGAGTTTATAGGTACTATAAATAATAAAAAATTGACAAATATACTTAAATGCAGTTTTTTTAATGTATAAGTAATATTCATGTAAATCTATACTTACCTAATGTGTTAGACACTATAAGTACCTAGATGTTGCCATAATCTTACTGTGTAAATCTAAGTAGAACCGCACAACCGAGGGGTGAGTACTGGTCTATTGAGATACAGTGCCTAGGTTCAATGAAGTAATATCTGTACATGATTGTGGCTTACCAACAAACACTGACCAATACAAACGACCATAATCAAGAATACAAATATTTGTATTATTTGAGAATCGAACTCACCACCTTCGGGAAGCACCTAAGACATTGCGGTATAGCTAGCAGCAGTGTAGCTAACTAGACTTGAGTACACTTCCTTGTCACCGGTGAAAAATATTATTAATTCTGAGTCATAAATGAGTGAATATTAAATATTTAGAATATGAATACACTCAGATTGTGAAATCAACTACATGCCGACGGTTTCTCGATATTACAGAATGGGTAATAAAGTTTCTATACCGACAGTTAGTCCCGACACTTAGTCGGGGTTTTCTCGAGGGATTTACACCATGGGGTTTTTGAGAAGGGTATTATAAGGTTTCTTGTAAGTCAACGCGTGACGCCCCTAGTGTCTCAGGCGTCTATATGCTACATGCATATGAATATAAATACGGTACATACGCCTGTCTGTTTGCTCCCGGGAATCTGGAATGGCTGGACCGATTTTGACGGGACTTTTATTGGCAGGTAGCTGATGTAATAAGGAGTAACTTAGGCTATTTTTATTTTAGAGAAACAAAGTAAAATTCCACGTGGACGAAGTCGCGTGTACAGCTAGTTTAGCTATATAAAATATCATTTTTTTTTTAAATATTCATATGGAAATTTGGAATTGTAAATAACATACTTGCTTAACATCTCGTATGCGTATTATGATCTCGGGTCAGAGGGAATTTCTAGAGGCTAAAGGTTCAATTACTAGCTGGTATATAAAGTTAGTTTTTTTTTTTCGAACTACTCTAATGCTGACGACCGTACATGGTCTTTACAGCTTCATCGGACGATGGCCAGTGCAGATGGCACTTCAAACCCGCAGGACTTAATTATTTCCACGCGAACTACACGGGTACAGCTAGTCTGAAATATAAGTAACAAGTTCGCCAACTCAGTGTTCTTGATGTATTGAAGCATTTGAAGCTAACAATATGTACATTGTGTCGTCAGTTGCGGCGGCTGTCACGTTCCCCAGTCTCCAGTCAGACAGCCGGTGATTAAGATGTATCTTGTTGCTGTCTTGTCGTGACATATCTTCACTAATTGTGAGATGTTATCTCCCTGACATTCTGTCACTGTGCTTACAAAACAGACTTTACTTTTGTACTATAGCACATTTATAAAAAAACTAGGTATGTGTGAAATATATAGCCGATGTGTTATTCTGATGTATAAGCGATATTACTGTAAAGTTTCATTAAAATCTGTTCAGTAGTTTTTGCGTGAAAGAGACAACCATCCATATTCACAAACTTTGGCGTTTTTAATATTAATAAGAATGTTAAAAGGTATTCATCGCCTGGGTGGTTTATCGGTTTAGCATAACACCTTATTTCGGAGGGTTACGCATTCGATTCTCGCACAATACAACTGTTTTTAAATTATTCAATTTTCTTAATTTCTCCTTCATTATGAAACTTCTACAAACTACTAGAAAACATTTTTTTTCCTTTGTCACTCCACGCATCGACATCTAGTCCTAAGCTAAGCAGAGCTTGTATTATGGGTACTGCTAGACAACTGTTGCAAACACACTTACGTCATTTCACGTCGTTTTACGTCTGTTCGTCCCGATGTATGCTTAAATGTTTAAAACTACGCAACGGATTTCGAAGCGGGTTTTTTTTTAATAGATAGTGATTGAAGAGGAAGGTTTATATGTATAATACATGTACATCCGGGCGAAGCCGGGGCGCGTAGTTAGTATAATATATATAGAAAATACCCGGATCGATACGATTATATTTATGAATTGCACAAATGTTTGCACCTTCCGAGGAATCGAACTTGCGACCATTGCAATAAAACCGGCATCATAAACCTATCAATAACGATGCACCTTGTTTTGTTATTAACTTGCATGCATCCTACATCCTCAAATGACGCATTTCAAGTCATAACTTATAAATAACTATTTTTGTTTATGATTTGTACTAAATTATAGTACCTAGTATAGTATCATCATCTACTTCCTTATCCCATTTATTTGTGGTCGGCGTAATATGTTTTTCTCTTCCATTCATCTCTGTTTGCGGTCATCTCGTTATTTACTCCCTTTCTCACCATATCTTTCACACAGTCCATCCATCTCTTTTTCGGGCTTCCTCTACCCTTATAACCATCCGCATTCATATGTAACACCTTCCTTAAGATATGATCTTCATTCCTACGCATTACATGTCCATACCACGATAGACGATTACTCTTTAACCTCTCCGACACCGGCGCCACTTTCATACTTCCTCTGATGTCTTGATGTCCTCTTTATCTTGTCCATAGTACCTAGTATAGTATATCCTAAATTAATTAATCACGACCTAATTTAACTTGTAAGGATTATGTATACCGCCAATTCTTTGGTAGCAAGTACGCATTGGTATTCGGAAATGTAAACTTGTGAAAGGTTCTCGTCCCCGTTCGTCACATACCAGTGGTCGCCAACCTTTCAATAGACAGGATCAATTTTATTGAAAAAGGAAGTAACGTGGGGCCGTTTTTTACAATTTTCATAATGTATATTTATTTATTTATATAGATATTATATGTGTGTAATTCTCTATTCTCCCAAATTAAAATTTAAAAATTAATCTATATTTTTGTAATTATAAACAAACAAGCTCATTTGTAAAGAATAAGAACTGAGTTTCTTCTCAGTTTAGTTCTGTCAGTTCTTCTCAGCTCTTCACTGATGGTACATTTGACATATTGTAAGAGTGTGTAAGTGTATTGTAGACATGAAGAAAGATATTTTGATTTTATTTTTTATTTAATAAGAAAACTTTCATTTATGAAAAGTCCTTGACGACTGCTTATGTATTTTATTGTTCTTGATGGCCTCCGTGATCTAGCGGTTTAGTATACCGCTTCCCTTCCGATGGTCGCGGGTTCGATTCCTCGCACGGTGTAAACATATGTATTCATATGTAGCGCCGATACGCTGCCCCCCTCTACCAGTAATCCTTCTTCATGAAGGTGGGCAGCATGTTGGTGGGGACCCGGACCACAAACGCCTTGAAACTCGCGTTCTGACTCGACTCCAGCTGCGTCACCCTCAATATATGTCTATTCTTTGATTACAGGTGGACGGTAAAACCATAAAAGCTCAGATATGGGACACGGCGGGACAGGAGCGCTACCGCGCGATCACATCGGCGTATTACCGGGGCGCTGTGGGCGCGTTGCTAGTATACGACATAGCGAAGCACCTCTCATACGAGAATGTGGAGCGGTGGCTGCGTGAGCTGCGTGACCACGCCGACCAGAATATACTGATCATGCTTGTTGGCAACAAGAGTGATCTTAGGCATCTCAGGTGAGAACCGCAATGTTAATGGGACACAGAGGTCCCAAACGTACGATTATCTATAAACTCTACCTCTGCCGCGGCAATCTTAATGACTAGAGCTAGACTTTTTAGATAATTGTATGCGTAACCTCTGTATCTTCTATTTTTTTTTATTATGGAAGATAATAGACTGATGCAATCGTCTAACCCAACGACATATGCCCCCAGGGCACCAGTAAAGGATGATAAGATGAGTATGAGGTCAGATCAGTTAGCCCATCGTGGCAAATTCACCAGGAATTTATTATATCACTATTGGATTGAGAATACGGCTATTTTAATGGGACACACTTCAATGTGACCATACCTCTAGTAACATAGAAGTGTAACATGTAAGACTTTGTAGATAAGCATATGCGTGGGACCTCTATGTCCCTATTTTTTTTATGATACTGGAATTGTGCATCTATCTAAGCTAACGGCATATGCTAGCAAGGTACCAGTGGAGGATCATGGGTGTGAGGTCAGGTCAGTCAATCGATCGTGGCAAGTTGACCAGGAATTTCCATGTCATATCCACATGTTAATATCATCATGACCATCTTGACAGTTAACACAGCTTCTGTGGACAATTTTATAATAATAATAATAAATAATAATAAACTTTATTGGCCAATAAAACTAAATATATCTAATCTATATTTACTATCTACTATCCATATTTAAATGAGAAAATGTAAATTTTTCTTTTTTTACAGGTCTATACCAACAGAAGAAGCAAAAGCTTTCGCGGAAAGGAATGGCCTTAGTTTTATTGAAACATCAGCTCTCGACTCTACTAATGTGGAACCCGCATTCCAGAATATTCTAACCGGTAAGTCAATGCACATTGTTTCGTTCATTATGAGGATTGCCGGCAATTTTTTAGAACTCTCTGATAATACCTTCTCATGGTTTCGTGTAAATCACTAGCTAACAATATCCCACGGCTCTGTCCACATAAAATAGTCCAGTCTATATTAATCGCTAATGTTATATATAAAATTCTCGTGTCTCTGTGTACCAAACTCCGAAACGACTTTATAGATTTTGATGAAATTGTGTGCATATCGGATAGGTCTGAGAATCGGCCAACATCTAGTTTTCATCATTTCAACCCCGATCAAATGATCCACCGCTACATATTTTTTATAATTACTTTAGACATCTTTTTTTAAATTTTATTTTGATTTAACATTGTAAAATACACACAACTTCAAATTTACACTCTTTTTACGATCAACCCCTGTTTCTTAATAGCAATATTAATTTATATAGCAAAACAACGTCTGCCGGGACAGATAGTAATAATATATAATTGTAACTAGGTAAAATATTTCTTTTAATGCCGTCGATTTGGTGTAAAAACAAAACTTGTAATAAATCTTATCTTACCAGTTTGTAATATTAGTATAAAGAACTATGAACGACTTACACAGCGCTATCATTACGCAACACACGTCCTAAATTGAAAAAAAAGTAGGGTTAAGATTTAAAATGAACCGGATCCGCAGACGCCCGTAACCAGTCATGTGTCCATTCCGGGCGACAAAGATGCCTCATGCCTTCATGTCCCGTATTTTCTCTGCAGTATCTCATCTATCAAACAAGCAAACTGATAGCAAACTTAGGTCGGCTTACAACAAAAATTTGCAGATTTTGCCAAACTGAAGAGGAAACGCCACTACCACATCCTATGAGGTTGTAGCTCAATCATGCATAAACTAAATATCTCGTATATACACTATCCTGAGATATAAACCATCGCTCCTAAGAATATCCTTCAATTCTTGTCCCTCACGGATCTAGTTAGCGAACTCTGAACATTAGAAATTTTAAGGCATGGCACTAAAAAGGTGGGAAAGAACTTCTAACTTACAGATACAGTCGTTAAAAAAAAAATTAGATCACGGAACTCGTTTATGAATGTCGAATATGATTATTTCTGTAATGTTATTGACTTGATAACGATAATGCCATTAACCGCCCGTTACAGACTTATTATTAGTATACATTATTCAGTGACCTTAAATTAGGCGCTATTACTGTACTAAGTTCGAACAAAGAGTATATTACATGTACAGAGTGGATGCTTTTCAGCCAGTGCTCATTGTGCGAATGTGAAATTTGCATAGAAAAGCGTCAATTATTTTATGATAATATTGTTTATAATAGAATAGAAAATAAAATCTAATATTCAAATTAATTTAATTTAAGCACTTTTGAATAGTCATAGTTCTTTTTAGTCTACCGCTCATTCGGGAATGTATCTAATCACAAGAAGAACGAGTAAGAATATTACGTGTTTCTCTTTTAAATAATCGTTTAATCTGCATGTAACTTTGTGGAATGTTCGCGATATTTCTCTTACCGTTTAATTTTTTTTAATAATTAGGTATAATCAATTTAGAACGTTACGAATTAATAATAATAATATTTCAAAGGGAGAGAAAACAATAAATGAGTGAATAATCTTTTACATTAGTCAGAAACTGTGACAAAAAAAAGTAGTTTGAAAGTATATTATAAAAAATCGTCTAATCGTTGTAAGCAATCTCTTACAAAAGTTATATTATTTATAAGGAAATGAAAGTAATTAGGATAATACGTGTTTCATTTGTGTTAATAATAGTCCAAAATTAAGGTTAGTGACTATAAGATCTTCAGCGATATAGAAGGTTGTCGTTAAGCCGAAGTTTCAACTCTGACCTTTCCAGCTTGAGCCAGTGTTCAAGTTTACACTCTGTATATTTGGTACTCTGTGGTTCAAGGCAGGGCATCGACACGACAGACACACCTTCTTGGCAACTGACGTATAATGGTTCCGTTATTATAGCTTTTAGCATCTTTTATTATTGACGTATGCCAATCCTATTTTTAATTTCTTTGTCTATTATTTAAGTCTGTGGTTTTCAAACTTTTGCCACGCTTTGTTACGTCCTACTCGAGATATGTGTATAATGTATAATAAAATATAAATTGTACATTAAAACGTCTTATATAAATTAAGTAAAATTGAAATAAAAATCTTCTTACAACTCAAATAAAAGTCTATTCGAAAACTATATGTCTCTCTCGATCTACTTTCATATGTACCTGACTTAATATAGACCCGTCAAAAATCTATTAATACATACATAATATACATAGAAAACACCCAAACTGACAGAAACAGTCATACTCACGAATACAAATGTTTGCACCGTGAACGGAATCGAACCCGCGACCATCGAAAGTAAAGCGGTGTGCGACAGGCCGTCTATAATTTGCATGCTCTGTTACGTTATTCTGCAACGCTCGTATATATTTGAAGAAGTATGCAAGTGAAGTGCATTGCAAAAAAAAAACGTAACAGATTTCGCCAATACTCGTTCTGTTTTGTAAACAGTCCGCCCACAAATCGTTAGGTAGCTTCGATATAAATTCCACAAATGCTGGCAGTACTAACGATGTTATTTATAAACTGACTAGCTGTTCCCGCGACTTCATCCGCGTGGAATTTAACTTTATTTTTCTAAAATAAAAGTAGCCTAAAGAACTAAAAATTATTTTGTTCGTCTTAATTTATATTAACTTAATTTATAGGTTCAAACTAATACATTTACATCCTACATCATCCCTTATTTTATCCCCATGGGGGTTGAATTTATCAAAATCATATTTAAGAGAACGTCTTCATCATAGTAGCTCCAATCTTTAATTTCAGTTCAATCAGTCGAAAATCTAAGAAGATTCATACAATCTTTCTATGGGGATGCCTACGTCATAGTAGCTTTATGAATGCAAAGTCTCAGCCCGATCGCTTTAAAATTGACAAAGTTTCATACAAACTTTCATCCACTATTTTATCCCCTTGGGGGTAGAATTAATCAAAATCCTTTCTTAGCGGATGCCTAATTTATATACATCTATCTGCATGCCAAATCGTCGATACCGATCTGTCCAGTGGTTTGGGCTGTGCGTTGATAGATCACTATGTCAGTCACCTTTGAGTTATATATATTTAGATAATTGCAAGTACAAAAACAAAACACGTATTTAATCGGATGTATTTATGTACTATTGCCCTGGCTTCGTCTGCATTATTCGACTGGGATAAAAGTAGCATTCCTCCTTGTACACATACCAAATTCCAACGTTTACGCAAAATGATTCGTTAATTCACGGAAACCAATAACTTTACTTTCCCATTAATATGATTTTATTCCCTTTATGAACATATGGAATCCCGCTGTATTATTCTGTTATTCCGTCCTAATATATATAAATATTCGTGTCTCCGTCAGATGCGCGAACGGGTGCGACGTGATGCCCGACGTGGAGGTTGCGAACGCTGATTAGATTTTTTGATTTTTTTTTATTGCTTAAGTGGTGGTCTGCCTATTCGCCGCCACCACACAACGCGCGGCAAAATAGTATTATTCAAATCTGTACACCTCGAAAAAATACGAGCTGAGTTTCTTGTCAGTTCTTCGCCACCACACATCATTCGCGGAACTGACGGTAGATTTGACATATCATAAGAGTCTGTAATAGACCTACATGAATAAAGATATTTTGACGTTGAATTTGAATTCCATGGTAAATAAAGGTATTTACCTCTCTTGACGTTCCGACAAAGTTGCGTAGCGTAGGGATACCTTGGAGTTTTTAGTGAGTAGGAGTCTAACAGAACCCGCTTGTCTCCCCCGAGGCGGGCGGATCTCCATAAGGGATTTTCTCCAAGTACAAAAAAAAGGATATCACGCAGACGAAATTGGGTATTTATTAATTTATATAGCGTCTGATACAATTAGTTTTATATTAGCTGTGACCACAGCTTGTGCAACCTAACCGAATCATCGATACCGTTATTTACCACAAAATTATTTGTATTGAGATTTTTATAGATTTAGTGTATTTTTTATGCAATCGTCCGCCCGTCTCCATGAGGGATTTTTTTCCAAGTAAACAAAAAAGGCGTGGTCACAAGGTGACTGGAGTATTGTCAATGTCGGTAGGTGTAAGCAGTTTGCTCAGCTACTGTCACTAGATTGTCCAACTAAACATTGGGACACAGATCTCACGGTATCCGTACATATATTTGACCAACGCCATTGAACATTGTTTAAACTTATTTATAACTGGATATCACGCAGACGAAATTGGGTATTTATTAATTTATATAGCGTCTGATACAATTCGTTTTACATTAGCTGTGACCACAGCTTGTGCAACCTAACCGAATCGTCGATACCGTTATTTACCACAAAATTATTTGTATTGAGATTTTTATAGATTTAGTGTATTTTTAATGCAATCATCCGCCCACCTTCGTGATGTCGTCGGTCCATCTTGCAGGAGGGCGCCCGACACTCCGTCGTCCCACACGCGGCCTCCACTACATAACCTTTCTATCATCGCCGACTCGGCTGATATGCCTGCCACTTCAGCTGACATACTTTAAGAGTTATGTCGTCCACTTCGGTCCTCCTTGTTTGAACATATGGTAATCCCGCTGTCGTCTGTTTCCGTCCGCAGAGATCTACAGGATCGTGTCTCAGAAGCAGATGCGCGACCCGCCCGAGGGCGACGTGATCCGGCCCGACGTGGAGGCGGCGGACGCGCGGCCCTCGCAGGCCGACAGCGTGCGCAAGCAGTGCTGCCAGTAGCGCCGCCACCACACACCACGCGCGGCACGAGCAGGTACCTCACACCTCACACCTCACACCTCACACCTCGACAGCGTGCGCAAGCAGTGCTGCCAGTAGCGCCGCCACCACACACCACGCGCGGCACGAGCAGGTACCTCACACCTCACACCTCACACCTCACACCTCGACAGCGTGCGCAAGCAGTGCTGCCAGTAGCGCCGCCACCACACACCACGCGCGGCACGAGCAGGTACCTCACACCTCACACCTCACACCTCGACAGCGTGCGCGAGCAGTGCTGCCAGTAGCGCCGCCACCACACACCACGCGCGGCACGAGCAGGTACCTCACACCTCACACCTCACACCTCGACAGCGTGCGCAAGCAGTGCTGCCAGTAGCGCCGCCACCACACACCACGCGCGGCACGAGCAGGTACCTCACACCTCACACCTCACACCTCACACCTCGACAGCGTGCGCGAGCAGTGCGATATCTTAACACTTTGACACTTGATACCTAGACACCTTATGACACTTGACTTGACAATTACTGTTTTACATTGGAGGATCCTTGTGTGAAGGAGAACCTTAAAAATGTATATGTAAAGTCAAAAAAAAAACACCAATTAAAATTTTAAAAAAATATTCACTAACTATGGCACTACATCTTAAGTTCTCCCCCGTCTCCATGAGGGATTTTCACCAAGTAAAAAAATAAAAAAAGTTTAAATCTATGCTCCACTGTTGCCCCTCAAACGTAAACCGTTAACGCAGGTGAAGGCACTATTCCATTATAATCCCTTAAAATTATATATGTTTGTTTTATATATATAAAACTATGCTAACCAATTTGTCTGTTTCATTACAGAAAGTCCAATGTTGATACTGAAGAGAGAAATGCGAGTGGCTGGAATTGTAAACCCAATCTTCAAACGAATCATTCCTAGGCAGTGGTCTTAACATCATACTAGTGTTGTCAGCTCACAAGTATCTAGTCCACAATGTATATTATTGAGTTCCGACTAGACAGACAGAAATTATATATAGATGTTTCTCTGCGTCGTCGAGCACAGCGGCTACGACAGGTATTTAATGCTGGCAATACCACTCACACGGTTAAGAGCGGCTCATGTAGATAGCTTTGTGTAATTATTGTTATTTAGTGTCTGAACTAATACAAAAAAAAGTATATCGTATCGTGAACAGAATTCATATTATCACATGGTAGATTCCAGGCTTCGGTTATAGCAAGCAAGCACCTACGTTAATCTGACGCTTACTTTAGTACTGGCAATATACTGTGAAGTTACAAATATTTTAATCTGTGGTAAATTTTTGCCTATGGCAACCCTAAATTCTAAAATTACTGTAAAATGTTAATCATAGATTTATATAGGATATTTTATACATATTTTTCAATTGTAATAATTCTCTGTAATATCAAATTATTATAATTTAACCAGAGCTGATTTTATTTAAAAAAAATACTATATTTACATTTGGACAATAGTATGGTAAACATTTGTACCTTGTCACAATAACAATATATTGATTATTATGTATAAAAATATTTGGAGTTGTTAATAATGCTACTGTGAAAAGGTACTAAATATATATTGCTCATATTATACATGATGGATGGTAGCGGAAGTAATGGCCAATTGTCATTGAATTGGTGATAACAAAATCGCAGAACTATTATTAATTAAATAAACATCGTTTAATCTTTTCAAGGTTATACAATTGTACTTATAGAAACGAGATATTTATTATGATAATATTCAATCGAATCAGAAATTCCTCTATTCGATAATTCCTTCGGTAGAAATGGAAATCATAACTTAATGCACTTTTGAATAGTCGTATTTTCTTAATCTACCACTCATTCGGAAAGCTGTCTCGTCACAGCAAGGAGCAAGAAACTTGTTGCTATTTTAAATAATTGTAATTTAACTTTATAATTTTTAGTTCAAATTTGTGAATACAACAAATAAATAATATTATCACGGTAAATATCTAGTTTATATAATACTAGCTACTCGCACCGGCTACGCACGGGTGTACATGTATTATACATATAATCATTCCTCTTGAATCACTCGTATCTATTGCTAAAATCTGCGTTTACATCCGTTGCGTAATTTAAAGGATGTAAGCGAACAGGCAGCGGAAGCGACTACGTTTTATACTATATATAAAGATAATGTATATAATTTAAAAATACTGCCAGTGTTAAGGTACTCGTCATTTTAATACGACGCTCCTCCTAGTTCACTTGCGTAATATGTTGAATTTATAATTTCTATTATGGGGAGATAAAGTTTAATTTCGACTTAGGTAATAATTCATATTATATATCTATTTATTTAGTGAATTTATCGATGGCTGATTAAGTGGAACCGGTTCTTCTAACATGCCTTGTATTTTATATAATTGTTTTCCACACTGAGCAATAAATTCGGCTGATAACGAAATATTCTAGTAAATGTGTCGAGTGTCACACAAAGGGGCTCCCCATGAATTGCGTCATACGGATTTCGTGACCTTTTTGTCACAGTTGGTCACATGTGTGATATTTTTTGCATAACAATACAAACGTCACGGTCATACTGATAGAATTGATTTTTTTTTTGTTTATGGTTAAATTTTTGAGGGTTGTTTAGAAATAGATTTTGAGGTGTGACGTCACGAAACGTATGACGTAACTCAGGGCCCGCAAACAATAACTTCATAATATTAAACTGTTTTTGTATTACACTAGCGAGTAGTTAAGTAACGAGATAGCTTTTTTAATACAACATATGTTTCGTTTTGTTTATTTACGTATATTACGTGCCTTCGATGGATAAGATGCCCGTTGCATAGGCAATGTTTGTTGCGAACCTGTTAAAAAAATGCTATATAGTTTTAATGATTTTGTAATCAAACCTCTTCGTATCGATTCCTTGACATTACTCGATATCATCTCGTATCCAATGCAAAAGACTCGCAACAAATGTTGACATAGTACAGTTAAAAATATAATGTCCATAGAAATATTCGTTATACTTCAAAAAGTAAGTTTTCTATGTATAATACGTGTATTTGAAAAATGTATGTTTAAGTATTTCTATCAGTTGTCTAGTACATTAGTTTGGAACTAGATGGCGCTGTGTGAATTGTCCTTTATTATTATTAAAAGATTTGCAATAAATAAAAGTACAATAATAAATTTAATTAATAATAATTATTGACTGTTAAAAAGTACTAGTTACACAATTACTATGGTAGTCAAAAGCAGCGAAGATCGCTTACTAGGTCCAGTTAATTGATGTATAGTGAATATTTATATGCACACTATATATTTAACTGTACTGTATTTAAACGGGTACATATAGGACATATATGTTTATTGTAGCTTTCATTGTTTTCATGTTGATCGGCATTAGTCAGCGGTGCGCTATCTCGCCAGGATTCGGTTCCGCGAAGTTGCAATAAATTAACGGTGACATCGAGTTCATTACGGTCCATTATGTGAGTGTATATTTGGCGCCAATAATTTAAAATGACAGCAAAATCGGCGGCAAAAATTATATGAATAAAACCATAGACAATAAACACGTGGAGACTTAGTGTGAGTACGCAAAATTGTTACGGAGCAAGTCACATTCTACATTTATTTGCCGGTTGTTTCCATCCTATGGTTATGAGATGAAATTGTTATTTATAATGTTATCTTTATTTCAATCATTAATTAATAAGCACAAACTTAAGTTTAAGTTAACTTAAGTTGATTCTTATGATTTTCATTCTCATAATGCTCCTTTTGCATATATAACTTATAAGTTAAGTAGTAAATAAACAATATATCCGACTAATAATATAATTTACTGCTTTAGTTATTTCTTGAATCATATATATCACTGATATTGTTCCCTATAATGTTCTGAATGTTTCCAATTTTTGTGGGTAATTGATGAAATGGCAATTTTTTTATGTTTATTGGTATATTTATGATAGTTCAAATGTACACTCGTTATTTTGGACAGACAAGGTCAGCGAGCGTTGGGCTCCGCGCCAGTCCCGGATCTGACGGGGACTTCGTATGTCGTCTTGAATGTATTTAATTTCAATGTTATACTACTTTGGACTTATGTACTATTTTGGAGAATCGATTGTAAGTCGTTTTAGTCGATCGACAAAATCCTAACACTGAAATATGGCGTTATTACACTTTGTCGTTTAGTACTGGATTTAAACTGGCATGAAATGCATTATACAATTAAAACTGTAATCAGTAATCTGAACTTTATACAGAATAGGCAATTATTTAATATGTGAAAGATCTTTTAAAATAATAATATAGTTTACAAAAAATACAGTTTTCCATATTACTCTATGGTTGCAATTCAAACTATGCCACCATAGCGATTGAATGTAACGTGTGTGGCCGCCATTAGTTATAAGGCAGGATTCCATAGATAAATGAATGCTTGTAAACGGCAAGTGTAATAACGTCATTAGTTTTGTAGGTCCGCTAATTAGTCGTGTGTTAGTCCCCTGGGTCCGGGCCTGCCTCGTGCCATGTATCATTCTCACCAGAGTTTATGTTAGTCAAGCGTTGGTACTAAGGCCTACTCCATTGGCCCCGCCGTCCGGCGTCCGGACGTCCGGGTGTCCGAGTGTCCGGGCGTCCGGAGCGGGTCAAGAGAGATGCGGTGTTCGTTGTATCTGATAAATTATATAATTGTATTATGGTCATACATATGCATGGTTATTTTTTTAGTGCCTATCTGTAATTACTTTATTAAAGACAAAGATAATAAAATATAATGTAAATTTCTATTTGTTTTCACTTTTAACCCTACAACTACAACTAGTTTATAAAGTACTTAAAAGTATTTTAAAATGAACAATGTAAATAATTTACATGGAAACATGGTAAGGAGTGCAACACGCAATTTTCTTGTTAATTCTTCTTATGATGAGTCTGCGTTTAGAATAAATGGTATAAAAAAAACTATTCAAAAGTGCTTACATTGAGCTTATTTGAATTAAGATGAATTATATTTCTAATAATGACCCGCCGAGTAATTTCTTCAGTCTATATTTGAGATGCTGAGAAATATACTATGTAGGTACTAATACAAGATGTATAATAATGACACATTGACATTCGAAGATTCACACAGCGCCATCTAGGACAAGTATGCAGAGCTTGTATTTGTAATAGACAACGGATATATATATTTAATTATTTTTTTGTAAATACATACATAATATATATTGAAAAGATAGAACAATACAATCAATCATACTCATGAATACAACATTCCAGGAATCGAACTCCACGTCTGTCGGATGTAAAGCAGTGTGCTCACCGATATACCACCGAAACCGTGATAATACGTGAAGCAAAAACTGTAACTCTTACCACAGATAACATAATGTTACATACTTCTACTATGTAATATATTATCTGTGCTCTTACGAAGATTGCGCGGACGGAGAAGTATGAAATTTCACACACTTTGTTTAATTTACATATCTTTTTAAATTATAGCCTATGTGTTATTGTAATATATATGCTATTTACTGTAAAGTTTCATCAAAATTCGTTCAGTCAGTTTTTGCGTTAAAGCTTAACAAACATCCATACATATTCACAAGCTTTCACGTTTATAATATAAATAATATATAGAGGAGAGCAGAATGGTAATATATTATTTAAATTATACATTAAATTAATAAATATTACCTACCAAAACAACATAAGAACCTACTTCTGATAATAACAAACGCAACAAAAAAGAACTATTAAAATCGGTCCAGTCGTTCACTCGTGATGCCAAAGGAAATAGGTAACATTTATTTATTTATTTATTTTATTTATTAAAACTTTATGTATAAAATTCTCGACTTAACACCTTGAATTTTTTTCCCAGTCAACCATTGGGCAAACAGAGATAATTTATTCAAATAATCTAAAAAAAATAATTTAAGATCACTTTTTGAATAGTCAACATTTAATTGAATAAATAATAATACATACATATATAAATATCTACATAAGCTGTCTCATCACAAGAAGAATACACATACAATTATAAATTTATACAAATGTGTGTTCAGATACATCTTTTAAAGGAATAATTGTAAGATCACATTTTACAAGTCTGGGAAACGTGTGAATACAATTTGGATTTGAATGTGAATTTATTTAGGCTTAAATATAGTGTTTAAAACACAAGTGAAAGATTTAGAAATCAGTCGATGAGCAGGAACGTGGAGATAAGACGGACGAAGTTACAGATGTCCCCATGAAAATGAAATTTGGTATTCTCGGGAGAGTTCAGTATCGTATAGTAATGAATGAGCACAGACGAACATCACGTTGCGAAACCAATTAAGCTGAGAGCGGTAAAAAGAGACATGGTGGTATTTACGGAGACCGAAAATAAAACGTATGCAATTATTTATTTAGTATATGTATAAAATTCTCGAGTCACAGTTAGTGTTTATACATCTCCGAAATGGCTTGACGGATTTTGATGAAATTGTATGTATATTAAGTAGGTCTGAGATTAGGATTATAACAAAGTTTTTGTTAAGGGTGGCTCACCCCAAAAAAGTTTTTATAAGTCTTTCTATAATTTTAAAAATATTTATTTTATTATATGGTATTAAAAATACGTACAATCCTAAATTTTCACCCCATCTATCACCAACTTCTATTTTATAATAGCGATTTTAATTTATATGGCAAAACAACGTTTGCCGGGACAGCTGGTACATATATATATTGTTGGTGAATCAAGTAATCAATGTTTCAAAAGCCATAGTGTGTAACCAACAATTACAAAATCGATAGTGTTCACATTCCGTTGTGGCCCTCTTTAAATATTTATGTACTGGAGTATTGATTGGACTCTTGATGGAATTGTTTAGCTGTAACCCTTAACTGTGCAACACAATGAGTGAATATAAATGAATTATAAAGTAGGCAACATGTCTATTAGACTAGGGCTCTCACTGGACACTAAGCATATGGCGAAATTAGGCCTTAGCTTAACATTGCCAAGTAGAATAGGAAACGCTACACATCCTGTGGTTGTAGCCCACTCATGTATAAACGAAATAAGTAAGTACTCCTCTGAAGTATACACTATCTTGAGGAAATAAAAACCATCGCTCCTTAGAATATCCTACAATTCCTCAATCACGAGTACAAGTAACTTTGAGTACGGGCGAGCATAATAGATCTATACAAGTCGCAGTGTTACCAGTCTTAGCACCAGACAATAGCCGAAACCCCTAAATAAAAAGGCAACATGTGATATGCTTGATCGAAGGAAAAACGACTCGTTTTGAAGAAATAGTTTTTTTTCTATTTCTGGCTTGGCACGTTTGTGCATTTGCCAAAGATAAAATTAAGGAAACATGTTTACAAATACTTAGTGTATGTGTGACATACAATATAGTTCTGAAAATAATATATTTTTATATTAAAACGGTGATCGAGTGACTAGTGATGTGCCAGTGTCACCAACAACATGTCTATAGTAGGTAATACAAAACATAAAATTCAAGGCTACCAAAGGTATTGATTTCCTGCATTATATGTATTTACCCTTGTAAATAAGTGTGATGGGGTGTATTTTTATAGCATGACTCCTGCACACGACCTTGCGTCAAAGTAAATATTATCTTATCTGTGCTCTACAGTAAAGGGCCGTTCATTAATCACGTGATGTTTATCCAGCATTTTTAATTCTGGCCAAGTATCGACCTATTAGCAGAGTTTATACAAAAGTTGCGTAGATGGTAATCTCTCACTAATTTCCACCACTCATCTACTTGCTTTGTGTGCTGTTTGGCGTGAAGAGGGAAGTGTTTTTGTTGACACTTCGGGATGGATCAATTTTTTATTTGAGTCTAGTTATAGGCACAAACGATGATGTATCGATTACCTTTTCTTCAATTCAGGTGACTCGGTTTTTTCATGGATGATAATGGAATGGTGCATCCGCCTACGCTTACCGTTTACGCTGGCGGGGCACCAGTGGAGGATGATAAGATAAGTATGAGGTCAGGTCAGTTAGCCTATCGTGGTAAATTCATCATGAATTTATCACAATGGTTTCCAGGGGGAACCATGTAGAGGTCAACCTGATATAGTACATTGCTAGTAATTAATAGAATAGAATAGAAAATCATTTATTCAAATAAACTTAATTTAAGCACTTTTGAACAGTCATGACCCCATTACTAGCAATGTACCATATCAGGTTGACCTCCACGCGGTTCCCCCGGAAACCAGCGTGTTAAATTCCTGGTGAATTTGTCATAATGGGCTAACTGACCTGACCTCATGTTCATTTTGTCATCCTCCACTGGTGCCCCGCCAGCGTAAACCGTTAGCGCAGGCGGGTGCACCATTTCATTATCATAAAGAAAACCGTCCTGTTTTCCCAGGACATGCCCTAGTTTTGGAAGTCCTGAATTGGCATTGTATTTGGCAGCGACCTGGCTTTTTAAAATATGATCGCCTCTTAATTACTGATTTTCAAGAGTATATTTATCAAATACCTACATTTTATTAAAAACTTGATTATATAACTATTGCACCACTATTACTGCGTTCTGTTTTTAAACTGGATAGTCCTGGTTTTTTTTATTTTGGGCTTGGCAACCCTACATTTTAGCCGCTAAAAACGGTTATTGTGGCCTATGAAACCTTAATATACCCTATATTAAGGTTGATTCATCTTGAAAGTACCTAATTTTTTAAAATATTACCAATATGAATCACAGTATTCGTACCTACTACATGATTAACACTACTAGCTTAAAATTTTTGAAAATCATCGTGACCAGTGAACATTGTAGCTTTATTATCTGTCATGTCCTGATTATATTTCAACTCATGAACCTACGTAAGTAAAGTAGTTATTTTTGTGTGATGTTTTACTGGATTACTATCTTTTAATTGTTTATGTCATTATTCTATACTAGCTGGCTCGCGCAACTTCGTCTACACCACACTTGCTTTATATATATCACTATATATCTCCCAATTCACATAATAAGTCTTTAAATCATAGCATATGTATTATTCTGACGTATAAGCTATATTATTGTAAATTTTCATCAAAATCAGTAGTTTTTATGTGAAAGAGTAACAAACTTCCATACATATTTACAAACTCTCGCGTTTATAATATTACTAAGATTCATTATTACTTGCATAAATTGTACTTAGTGTTCATTCTAAAGTTGATAAGATATTCGTTGCTATATTGGTATCTAATCAACGTTTGGTCCAAGTGAGAATTTATTGATATTAATAAATAGTTTAATCGGTGATTTCTACTTATGCGAGCGATTGGGAGAAATCATCACATTGCATTCATTCACATAGAAATAATAATAATAGTAATAATATCTGACTCGAATGTATAAGATGTAACTTTAAAAAAATAAAATATAATCTATTATTATTATAATATGTATTTTTATGTCCGTAAAGACTAAAAGTGAGAGCTATATACTCGTAACATAAATAACCATACCATCTTTTATGTACTACTTTTATAACAAATAAATTTCAATTTAATTTCCCGCCCAACTTCGTCTGTATCATACTTAACATTTATCGATATATGTCGCTCAATTCACATAGTATCTCTTCAAAGTGAAACAGTTTACCTCCTAATTTTTTGAATTCAGTTAAACAGAAACAACTACTTAACTAGAAGTATATATATTTCATTTCATTTCACATTATTAACATAATTTATATGTATTTTAGATCAATATCATAATATTCTTTTTCATGTAGATAATAACTATGTATAGTTTGTATATTTGTATATAAATGGAATAGTTGGTATACATTTCATAATATAAACTGGTTCATTTATAAATATTACTTTGAACAAAATAAAAAAATATCAGAATCGGACCATTAAGAAAAAAGTTATTAATGAAAAACTATTGGCTCTCTTGGGGTTGGGCTAATCGAATTTTCTTATATTCTTCCATAGCGCTCTTCAGGTGTTCAAGTCCTGCCTCATTTATTTCCTTATATCCGGGAATTTCTGCCTTCATTTTCTCATACCACCTAGACACAAAGTACACATTAGGTTAAATTTTAAGTATCCATTATCAGACTGGTTAACACTTTAGAAGTTAAGGTAGATCGCCGTTTCACATCCTATGTGGTTGTAGCCCACTCATGCATAAACGAAATATCTCCTTTGGAAAGTTTACACTCTTTCCCGAGGAGATAAAAACGATCGCTCCTAAGAATATCCTTCAATTCTTGTCCCTGACGGGTCTAGGTAGCGAACTCTGAAAAGGGCGAGCACAATAGATCTATGTAGGTCGCAGTGCTACAGGTGCTACACATCTGACAATAGCCCAAACAATTCAATAAAAAAAAAATAAGGTAGATACTACTAGTGGTGCACGTGTACCCACATGCTTCCACAATTGAAATGGGGAAATAGATCGCCCTAACGACGAGATGGGGCCTGCCCTACACCGTCTATAGTCTAATGCCGCCGGAGCCTCGATACTTAGGTACTAATTAAATCGGCAACCATTAGAAGTAAGGCGGTGTGCTAAAACGAGGCCATCAAAATTGACTAAATCTTTAATTTATGCATTAATTTATATACCATTAATTTTATGCAACCATTTTAAAAAACTCACTTTTCCCCACTATCTATGTCGAGATGAACCCAACACTAACATGCTCACATTTCCCTCAGAATATATGAATCCAACTTCCGTCTCTCGGATTAGTTAGCTTTGTTATCGGTGTTTCGATCACCAGAAAGTCAACCAGAAATATAATTTTACACAGTTATTTTTCGTCGGCCAGATTTGAACTCACACCATAAGTCGAGAACCACTAGATTTACCTAAAATGATGTTCAATTTGTGAAAGCATATAATCTATAACATTAATTAAGACAAACCTCTTGATGTTAGAATACTTCTTGAAGTCGAAAACCGACAACTCAAAAGTGGAGATGGTAGCTACCGTTGAGAGGTCTGCGACAGTGAGCTGCGAGCCCGCCAAGTATTCTTGGCCCTCCAGGAATGTGTCCAGGAACTTGAGGGCATCCTCTAATTCTTTCAATTTTTCCTCATCCGGTGGACCGCCAGAAAAAACTTGTGCATACTAAAGAAAGGCGTAATATATAGGTATTGTTACATTAGTAGTATTGTAAATAAACTGGCAATTGAGTTACTTGCCCGTTGATCTACTGAACTGGACGGTAGGGAAAAATTAATAATATAAAAAAAATTACAATCATAAGCGGCTAAAATGTCCTACATAAAAAAAATATTTTATATTTGAATTTGAATTTAATAATATTATTATCTTGTCTGGAGTAATATTTTATTTTATTAAATTGTATAAAATAAATTATTGAACAGCACTATTTCTCAAAACAAATTTGATAGATAGATAGAGATAGATAAAATACTTATTGCCAACATTAACAAGTTACAAAGAATACACAAAATAATACAAAGCTGGCAATAGGTGTTGCCTCAGCTGTTGCTGATACAAGTACAACCACAATGAGGTGGACCTATACAGCACTGGTTTTCAGGCGGGCCCCGCTGGTCTGTAGTGCGGGTTTATCTAATCGATATATTATACACACATGCATATAGATAGATAGATAATCTGAAGCATAAGTTATATTACTTCATCAAAATCCATTCAGTAGTTTTTACGTGAAAGAGCAACAAACATACATACATATAAACTTTCCCGTTTATAATATTATAAGGTAATGACTTTATTCATTGTATTGCTTTCAATATATTTTTAAGACAGATCCAGGTTATTTAATTATATTATTCATTACATACAAGAAAATTTCATTATATTCTTGTAAGTTTAATTAAATAATTGTGAAGAAAGAAAAATATTTTATTCAGTGCAATGTAAAAAATACAATATAAACAACAAACGAAAAAAAAAGAGCAAATAAAATGTACATATAATTAAACTTAATTTACCGTGTAGATAATTAAAAATAAACATAAAATAATCATTTTTTACATCCAAAAATGCACTGAAATGGCTCCACACAGCTGGTTTTCAGTGGCACCAAAAATATATATATAAAAGGGGGAAGAGAGAGAGAGGGCACTATTTAAAATGATAATAATTAAAACAAAATTACAACTAATAAATACAAACCAATTACATACATATACTAGAAAGAACAAAATAGAATAAAATAACATTAATAAATATAAACATTAAATATATATACAACTACTTTGCCGTAAGATTTATAGGTTAAATAGTACATAGATAATATATAGAACTCGTATAGTTTTTTAAAGATGAATAATGATAGATTATTCACCTTTAAAAAACTATGCAAGAAAGATTGAATAATGAATGATTGTGTAAGAAATTCTGAAAATAGAAGATTTAAACATAATACAATACTCACGTAACATTCAGTAAAAGCTATATATAATGTTCCCATGTCAAAATATAGCCTCTGATTAACAACGGCTCTGGCTTCCAGGTCTTCAGGGTAGAGGCCTGTATCTTTGCCGTATTTGCTAACCAGATACGTCATTATGGCTCGAGACTCCCATATTGAGAAACCGTTGTCGACCAATGTTGGAATTGTGTGTTGAGGATTTAACTAAATGAAAAAAAAATGTTCTATATACATTATTAATATAAATATCATACCAAATAACAGTTAAACTAGATAAAAAGAAATATTCAGACAAATCTACCGGAATGCTTTCGAGTTTTTAAGAATATCTCAATCTTTCATTCCACTCTTGTACATGATTACAAAAATACAGATTCATTATTAAATTCATTAAAAAATGAATCTGTAATTAGAATATTTTAATGTAAAGGCTACCCGCCCATGCTTCATACGGGTGTACATGTATCACATATAAAACTTCCTCTTGAGTCACGCTATCTATTGCTAAATAGAAATAGAAATAGAAATAATCTTTATTCAAATAAACTCATTACAAGCACTTTTGAATAGTCATATTTTGATTCTACCACTCATTCGGAATGCAGATTCATCACAAGAAGAATGAGCAAGAAACTTGTGTGTTGCTCTTTTTAATAGATGTTTTTTTTTATATAAATAATTACAGTGTAACAAGTAAGAGGCATGCGACAATCAACATAGAAATCGCTACGCACTCATTATTAATGTAATCAGATAATATTGTCAGTGCTATGTATTTAAAATTTTTCTACAAAAGCATTATTATCGTTAACGAATTCTTCAATTTTATAGTAAGCTTTTTTGCAAAGGAAGTGTTTTATTTGACATTTAAATCTTTTTCTGGCAGATTTATAACAGACTCTGGTATTTTATTGTAAAACCTTACGCAATTGCCATAAAAGAAAAAACGCTGAATTAAAGTCCGTTGCGTAGTTTAAAAGATCTAAGCGAACAGACAGAGGAATCGACTTCATTTTATACTTTGTAAAGATAATAAAAACTATAAACAGGTTACCTATGTACGCCTGAAACATCAGAGGTGTCACGTTACATGTACGCGTTGCCGACCCTTAAGAAACTAAATTAAATATACAAGTATCTAGTACCTTTATATACTCAGGGTTTAAGTGTTCGCCTTTCAATAAATTAACTACTATTTGGTTGACCTCCAAGTTGAGGACTCGTGCTGTGAGGAGCACAGCTCTGCACGGCGCCGAGCCCGGCATCAGGTACACGTCGATGGTCATTTTGTTATCTGTAATAACGATATTTATGACGGCCTCGGTGGTCTAGCGATTTAACACACCACCATATATACAATGGTCGCGGGTTCGATTCCTCGCAGGGCACAAACATTTGTATTCATGAGTATGATTGTTTGTATCGGTCTGGGTGTTTTCTATGTATAATATGTATGTATTTACAAAAAAAATATCTGTTTTTTTATCAGTTACCTAGTACCCATAACACAAGCTTTAGCTGGCTTAACTTTGGTCTAGATGGCGCTGTGAGAATTGTTCTGAAATTTTTATTATTATTATCGACAGCATTTTGTCAATTTGTTAGTACGAGGTTTGCAATCGATCATCAGGTTGGTATGGCAATTTTTTTATACTACTTGATGGCAAACCTGGTCATATTACCTAATATCTAACTGTATAATACACAAATAAAATTTCATTTATATTAAAAAAAAAAACATTTAATTTCATTTAAAAAAACATCATTTCAACAAATGAAGTAAGTTTGAAGATTTGAAAAGAGAGTATTGTCATCTTGTTTGCCTTCATGTAAAATATCAGTATTTCCTATATGCATAATAATAAATGTTTTTTTTATTTAATTTTATTTTGTTCAGAAATATATTTTTGTTTATCTGCTATTCTACGTTATTTACTTGTATTTCACTAGTTACTCTGTTAAGGTGAGAAGTTCGGAGGAAACTTTCCACACATCTTCACACAATATCTACAAACTATGCCTCCACTGTTAGAACAATATTATGTTATCTGTGGTTAGAACAGGGCGACCAATCCAGAGCATTCATGGCCGCCCGCCCGCCATCCTTACTCCTTACTAATATTATAAATGCAATGAATCTGTCGCACTTTCGCAACAAAACTATAGAACCGATATAAATGAAATTTGGTACACAGATAGTCTAAACCCTGTGAAAGTATATAGGCTAATATTAAAAAAGTGTTGTAAGGGCATAAGAGGGAGGAAAGTTGTATGAAAGTATCGTCATTTTAAAAACTTGAAATTTCTTTTAATGTCTGTTGTTTAAAGATAAATAAATATGACATTTAAAGTTTATTAAAAAAATTACCTTTAAGAGGGTAAAATAAAATAGGTGATGAAAGTTTTTATGTAAATTCGCCATTTTTGAAGCTAAGACGATGAAATTTTAGATTATTATACTTCAATTATAAATTATTGTTTTTGGTACTGGTCCCTATTCTAAATCGCGGGTACAGCTAGTCTTTAATATGTAGGTTTTACTCTGATTTAATATCAATGTTTAACGGGAAATAGTTTTTATACATCTTTGCGAGAGTGCTTTTCCTCAACCCACACGCTTAAAAGCAGCTGATTCATCACTAAGCTTTATAACACAACTTCCTTAACCAAAAAGTAATTGATTAAGTATGAATATAAAACCTTCTTGGCCATCTAAGTATATTTTACTTTTTATTTACATAATGATTTTTTTTAGTGTATGATAATGGAATGGTGCACCCGCCTGCGCTAACGGTTTACGCTGGCAGGGCACCAGTGGAGGATGACAAGATGAGCATGAGGTCAGGTCAGTTAGCCCATCTTGACAAATTCACCATGAATTCATCACGATGGTTTCCAGGGGGAACTAGTTCCCATTGCTAACAATCCCCTTAACATAATGCTTCGAAATTCGAAATTTGAAAATTATTAATTACAAAAGTTTGATACATAACATGGCGTTATAAAAATTACTTTTTATTTTATAAATTACTGAATATTAAACACTAGCGAATAAGAGAGGTTTATTATTTTTTGGATCCGTTACACAGTAATAATTGACGAAAAGCTAATTATGAAATTATAAATGTAAATTAAATGTATACAACGTCTCTGGCTCGCGGTCTATTGGTACTTAACTACCGTGAAACTGTTGGGGTACAATATTATTTAATACAATACACACACGTGTTAACAGTTAGCAAGTCAAATTAGGACTACTGCTGTATGAAAGGTAAATAAATATTATGTTATTAAATTTGATTATGAATTGAGTCACAGGTAAAATCAAGTACATGACTTTGCATTTAGCTATTATTATATTTATTTAGATTATATAGCTTTATCTAATAATATAAAGATAACGTTAACTGTTGGATATCGAAATCTGACCACGCGCAATCGTATTTTAGTTATCAGGTTGAATAACTGCCCTAAAAAATAATACCTAGAAAGTAAAATCTCACTAATATGCGAAAGTTTGTGAATATGGATGGATGTTTTGTTACTCTTTCACGCAAAGACTACTGAACAGATTCTGATAAAACTTTGCAGTAACATAGCTTATTCTTCAGAATAACAAATATAATTTAATAAGATATTATATACATTGGGCGATGTATGTGTGATGCAGACAAAGTTGCACAGATCAGCTAATATTGTTATAAAACCATGAAGGTTGTATATTCATACTTGACCACAGTTTTTCAAAAAGTGTATAAATGTAGTATTTATAAGCAGTTGCTTTTTTTTATAGATGATAATGTAATGTTGCACCGTCTGCGCTAACAGTTTACGCTGGCGGGGCACCAGTGGAGGATGATAAGATGAGCATGAGGTCAGGTCAGTTAGCCCATTGTGACAAATTCACCAGGAATTTAACACGATGGTTTCCAGGGGGAACCGCGTGGAGGTCGACTGACATGGTACATTGCTAGCATTGGGGTTATCAATCCACATTACCAACAATTCCCTTCCCCCTTGTGTCCAGATGTTTGTTTAAGGGACAGTGGCCCGTTATTGTCCCGTTATTCTTGGTGAATTTGTCACGATGGGCTAACTGACCTGACCGCATGTTCATCTTATCATCCTCCACTGGTGCCCCGCCAGCGAAAACCGTTAATGCAGGCGGGTGTACCATTCCATTATCATCCATAAAAAAAAACAATCCCCTTTCCCTCTATATCAGCAGCAGCAGAATGACTACTGCTTGTAGTTGCTATACTATATACATCATTTAAACTTTACATAATAATAGTATATAGTATAGTATAGTATAATATAGTATAGTACTAATAATGTCCTGTGCCATATATTATAAATTTTAACGCTATAAAAAAAATAGGGGTTGATGATAGAAAGGTGAAAATTTAGGGTTGTATGTATTTTTTAATGACACATAGTAAAAAATATTAATAAAAAATTTTGCGTACTTGCTATACTATACACATTATTTAAACTTGACATAATACTAGCTGTCCCGGCAATAATGTCCTGTGCCATATATTATAAATTTTAACGCAATAAAAAAAAATAGGGGTTGATGATAGAAGGGTGAAAATTTCGGGTTGTATGTATTTTTAATGACATAGTAAAAAATATTAATAAAAAATTTTGGCCAATAAATTAAAAAAATAATGTTAGGTATGGACAACCCTTATCAGTTAGGTGTATGAAAAATAGTAACTGATTCTCTGACCTACTGAATATGCATATAAAATTTCATAAAAATCGGTCAAACCGTTTCAGAGGAGTATGGTAACTAACATTGTGATACGAGAATTTTATATATAAGATTTAACATAATAATATGCCTCCGATTGATCTCCGGTCCAATTTAAATAGAGATCGAAATTACGACGGCCTGAGTCGCTTCGAACCTCTAGCCCTCAGACTATCCGTCAGGTGGGAGTTGGCCTTCAGCCGCTCCATAATCGCGGGTTTCGAGTGCCATCTGCACTCGCCCCCCATCGTTCGGTAAACCTATACAGACCAGCTGCGGGCAATAGCATCAGAGCAGTCCGAGAAATAAAATAATATTATTTACTTAAACTTTAAATGTATTAGTACGATTTGATAGTTTATATTCACACATTTTAACTCAAAAATGTAAAATTGCAACAATTATTTAAAAGAGCAATGTAAGTTTTTTCTCATTATTCTTGTGATGAGTCAGCTTTCCGAATGAATGGTATATATTATTATATTTATAGTAAATGCTTAATCGTTTTAGCACAGTTCTAATCAACTGGCACATTGTTTAATGTTCTTTGACTTCTATGAGCATTGTTATTACTGTACTGCACTGTAAATAATTACGTATAGGAGGCGATCGAGAACCATCTGAGAATGTTTTAACTATCAAGGACAAGACGCTGCTCTGATTTTTTCTTTTCTTTCAAACAACACTAACTAGTCTTAAACTAAGCAGAGCTTGCTTTATGAGTACTGGACAATTTTTTTTTAATATATACAATATGCTAAGAATACATCCAGACCGATACCAAAAATCATACTCATGAAAAGAAATGCTTGAACCGTGCGAGGAATCGAACCCGCAACCATCACCATCAAAAGGGTGTACTAAGTTGTGTCATTTTAAAAATCCTATATAAGGAGTCTGTTGGATTTTTTAAAGTAACTTAAAATAAAGATGGAAAAAAAACAACAACAATACTTGTGACTCTACAACGAGATTTTGTTTATTTTAAAACAATTTAAATTACATATATTAAATGTGCGGTGTAATTAATAAGATCATATAAGAGACTTTTCATTTGCCTTTCTTGAATTCTTCTAGAACAGCTCTCATATTTTCCAGCCCGGCATCGGTGATTTCTTTGTATCCTGGAATTTCCCCCTGCAATTTCTCATACCACCTAAAACAAACAATATGATGTATTCCATGAAAGCTATAAGTAACTAGCTGACCCGGCCACGCGTCGCAGTGGCAAAGGTTCTTGAAGTAATATTGCGACTATAAATTGAGACGTAAGCTATCCTATCTTTCAAGTTGTATCAAATGGCACACAATGTGCAAATCAAATTTGCAATCGGTTCAGTAGTTTAGGAGTCCATCGCGGAGAAATAACGTGACACGTAATTTTTATATAGGTATAAAGTAAACTCGCTGTTTGCGTCTGTTTCTACATTTAATTCTTCTATTGATTTTCAGTATCATTTCAAGAAATTCTTCCGGAAGGTAATATAATAATAATAATCTCAGGACAATTCACACAGCGCCATCTAGACCCAAGTTAAGCTAGCTAAAGCTTGTGTTATGGGTACTAGATAACTGATACAAATACATAGATATATATTTTTAAATACATACATATTATAATCATACTCATGAATACAAAATGTTTATGCTGTGCGAGAAATCGAACCTGCAACCATTGATAGTAAGATGGAGTGTTAATGCGAGTACTTTCACGTACCGGTGTAACATTAAATAAGATTATCATAAATATATTGTAAGAAAGACTATGCTTCATTTTCACAGCTTTTACACACTGCGAGGAATCGATCCCGTGACCATCGGAAGTAAGACGGTGTGCTAAACCACTAGACCAACGAGGCCGCCAATATATTATACTTAAATATTATAAACACGAAAGTTTGTGAATGCCGATGGATGTCTGTCACTCTTTCACGCAAAAACTACTGAACGGACTTTGATGAAACTTTACAGTAATATAGCTTATACATCAGAATAACACGTAGGCTATAAATTTCACGTCAGTGAAAACGCGATGCTAGTATTTAATAAATTCAGCAAATTACACAGACCTGTTGATATTGGGGTATTTCTTAAAGTCAACATCGGATACTTCGAAGGTGGATATTGTGGCTATTGTTGATACGTCAGCGACGGTAAGTTGTGGCCCCGCCAAGTATTGCTGCCCCTCCAGGAATGTGTCCAGGAACTTGAGAGTGTCCTCCAATTTCTTCAACTTCTCCTCATCTCGTGGAGCATTGGACATGACTTGTGGATACTAAAACAAGTTTAAACAGTTTATATTAAATCAAATCAAATAAATTTAAATTCAAAATATATTTATTCATGTAGATCTATTACAGACTCTTATGATATATCAATTCTACCGTTAGTTTGGAATGATTTCGAGATGAAGAACTGACAAGAAACTCAGCTCGTATTCTTTTCATATAAATGTTGTACATGTTTATAATAATACAGATTCCTTTTTAAATTCAATTTTGGGAGAATATAGTGACCACCAGCATATGCTATTGCAAAAGCAAAAAGTCTAATCAATGTTCGTAACCTGAACAGACCAGTCCCCACAAGCAGCACCCATTCACACGTATGACGGATAATAAAAAAAAACATTTATTCATGTAGGATATTTTAACCGCAAAATTGAAATGAACGCTAAATTTTTTGGATTATATTTTTTTCCCTATCGTATAATCATACTATATAAGATATAGATATAAAATATCGTATATAAGATAACAAACACTGAGGCAGCGAGATAATGCATCTTGGTGCATTTTCTACAACATATATCACATATATCACGCTGTGAGTTACACTTAATAAAATTTGTTTTGATTATATTACTAGGGAATTTAGCTATTTTTTATTTGAAGTTGTCGGCTACTACCTATATAATACCGAAAGTTTGTGAGTATGGATGGAGCTTTATGCTGAGTTTCACCACCGACAATAAATATCCACCATCGCCAGAAACTAAAATATCATCCTGATCATCTGGATGAATGGCGGTCCTCCACAGAGCGGTTTTCTAGAAACTTCTCATCACGCACAACCACATTGTGGAATCACTTTCCAGCAATGGTATTTCCGAACCGATAGGATATTGAAACCTTCAAGAAAATTCCTTCTTAAAAGGCCGGCAATAAAATTCTCGTGTCACAATATTAGTTACCATATTCTTCCGAAACGGTTTGACAGATATTTATGAAATGTTATATGCATATACAGTAGGTCTGAGAATCTACTAGCTATTTCTCATACCCCTAAGTGATAAGGGTTGTTCTACCACCAACTCAATATTAGTTTTTAAATTTATATTCCAAAGCAACGTTTTGGATCAGCTAGTAAACTATGTGTTCGAAATTTCATACAGACTGCAATTTTCATAAAAAGGGGTACAAAGTTTTTGCTTGTTATTGTTTATATTTAACATTATTTTTTATAGTCTTACTGTATGTTGATTAATTATGCTCGAGTTTCAACCACTGGGCGACCACTAGTAAATAATAAATACTCACGTAATAATCTCCAAATCTCTGATATAGTGATCCCATGTCGAAGTACAGCCTCTGATCTACAACGGCTCTGGCTTCCAGGTCTTCAGGGTATAGCCCTGAATCTTTGCCGTATTTGCTAGCCAGATAAGTGATTATGGCTCGAGACTCCCATATTGAGAAACCGTTGTCCACCAATGTGGGAATTGTGTGTTGAGGATTTAACTAAATGAAAAAAAAATGTTAAAAATACACTATTAATATAAATATCATACCAATAATAAATATCATAAAAATAATACTGATTTTTTTTTATTTAGTGAAACTGTTATTTACTAAATAAAAAAAAAATCAGTCTAACCTACTAGAGTGCTTTCGAGGTAAGAAGAATATCTCAATCTTTCATTCCACTTTTTTACATGATTAAAGAAATACATAATAGATTAATTTTTTAAATTCAGTTAGGATGATTTGACGCCTCGGTGGTCTAGCGAGTAAGCACGCCTCCTTACTTCCGATGGCCGCGGGTTCGATTCCTCACACGGCACAAACATTTGTTGTATTCATGAGTATGATTATTTGTATCCGTTCGTGAGAGTTTTGTAAGTATAATATGTATGTATTTACAAAAAATCTATGTATTCGTATCAGTTATCTAGTACCCATAACACAAGCTTTAGCTAGGTGAACTGTGTTTAGATGGCGCTGTGTGAATTGTCCTGAGATTATTATTAAGATTAAAATGATCATTAACTTATGCTATTGCATTTTGTCAAAAGGAAATAGTCTATGGTTCGTAGTAATATATGTACCTTTATAAACTCCGGAGTCAGTTGCTCGCCTTTCAACAAATTTATAACTTTCTGATTGATTTCCAAGTTGAGAATCTTTGCTGTGAGGAGTATAGCTCTACACGGAGCTGAGCTCGGCATCAGGTACAGATCGATTGTCATTTTGTTTTAGCTGTAATAAATAATATTCATGTATAGATACTTCATAATATGCTTTTTATTTTATTGGATGACTAGCTGTTCCCGGGATTTCGTCGGCGTGGCATTTTAATTTAAATTAATTTTAATTTCTAAAATAAAATAATTCAGCCCTTTCAGAGATTAGTCGAAACATACAGACAGATAGACAAAAATTGTAAAAAAAAATATTCTGGTGTATGTACCGTATTTATATTCATATGCATATAGTAAAAAACGGTTATTTCAATATTACAAACAGACACACCAATTATATTTGTATGTATAGATAATGGAATGGTGCACCCGTCTGCGCTAACGGTAGCGGGACACCAGTGGTGGATAATAAGATGAACGTGAGGTCAGGTCAGTTAGTACATCATGACAAACACCTCACTTTTTGGTTAGCGACCAGTTATTTAGAATCTGTGCATTAACGAGTCTAGAAATAAATAAATATATAATAAAAGCATAAAGTTTGTAAATGAAGAGGGGACGCCACTACATATCTTATGTGGTTGTAACCCACTCATGCATTAACGAAATATCTCCTTTGGAAATTTTACACTTCATCCTGAGGAGATAAAAACCATCGCTCCTAAGAATATCCTTCAATTCTTGTCCCTGACGGGTCTAGGTAGCGCACTCTGAAAAAGGGCGAACACAATAGATCTATGTAGGTCGCAGTACTACAGGTCGTAGCACTTGACAATAGCCCAAACCCCATAAAAAAATTAAGCATAAATATAGTTCACAGGCATAGTGGAAGCGTCTCGCTACATCTATAACGACAAAATAACGTCCCACGCAATCAAACCAATTGCCTGAATTCGTGAGTCAAGGTCGACTGACCTGTGTACTCTATTATGAGAAACCGGTGAAACTAAACTTGGACGCGTTTTTTCCATTTATATTACCATTTATTCGAATTCAAATCTACTATTCAGAAGAGCAACACGCATGTTTCATGCTCGTTCTTTTTGTGATGAGACAAGTTTCCTAATGAGTGGTAGATTAAAAAAAATATTATGATTATTAAAAAGTGTTTAAATTTGATTTGAATAAAAAGTTTTCTATTCTATACAATATTATGTTATCTGTGGGTATCTCTTAGTAAAAATATAAAAAAAAATTGTTTGTGTTTCTCGGAACTCTAAATAAAATATTCGTTACATTATGCGACGCTCTACTGTAATTACTAACCCTGATATTAGTGAAATAAAAAAAAATACTAGGTATATGAAGAAGTTTAAAAGTAAACTAAGCTGTACGGTCTAAGGATCTTTGCCTGCTCCATTATTAAAAAGGAGATGAACGAATATTGGAAAAAAAAGCATTCTGATATTTAATTGTTTTTATTTTATAAAAAATACATTTAATTATTATAAATATTAATATTGCTGGTTTACTTACTGTGAAATAATGTTATTAATAATTATTTAATACACGATTACACGTATTAACACTTAGAACGTTCAAAGACAACTGGTGTTTTTACACGCCGGCTTTACTCGACTAGCAAACAACATACGTGTATATAAAGTGATTATAAGCTGTGAGTCACAGAACAACATGAAATTGTAATATTTATTTCAGTTACTATGCGGTTTATCTAACATAACAAAGATAAATCTCATACAGCAGTTCCGAAATCAGATAGTGCACTATACATACCTGTGTATGTACTTATCAGATAACCAATCTAGTTTATAACCGACTGTTCATAGGAGGCCCTCAAATTGATTGAATTTTTAGTCATTTTGGTAATTTAGTTGGGTTTATTATGCAATATTATTTTATCTGTAATTTTACAAACTAACTGCGTACGGAGTACGGAGGCTCTTAGTTTGACTAAATTTTTAATTAAGTTTTTTTTAATGAGAAAAATTAATATTCTAAATAAACTATTTTTACGTATTTGGAATAACAAACAAGTTGTCGGCATACATGATGGTAAATGGTAATCATTGAATACATGAACAGCACTACGAAACTTTATGATATTTGATCACCAATATAGAACGCTTCCATTTGAGGTGGTCAGGTTTCAGCACTGAATATATATATTTGTGGTCTCACACATAATAATTGTAGCGGAATTAAACAAAATAATATAAATCCTTTATGTAATGAAATGGATTTTCGGGAAATAACACTAAATTCGATAAAGTATAAAAAAAAACACATTACAAGATTGTTCATATTTCCTCTCCACAGAATTCTATATTCTGCCAAGAAAATATAAGTACAATTCATACCTATAGGTATATCATCAGAAAATACAATAGGTTGTAAATCTTTACATAGTATAAAATGAAGTCATTTCCGCTGTCTGTTAGCTTACATCTTATAAACTACGCAACAGGTTTATTTGTATATTACATGTACACCTGTGCGAAACCGGGGCGGCTAGCTAGTATAACATAACATGTTAATTTAATATTATTCATTTAACAGTTTTCTGACTCTATGGTACCTAGAATACAATATAATCATACTATTTGTTATGATGACTGGCAATTATTCAAGGACATTCACGAATGTTCCACTCTTCCGTTTGTGACGAACAGTGGTGCAATAGTATGGATACAAGTCTAGAGTATTCTATATACATTCTATAAAAACTAAAAACTACTTGGAATTCATAGTTTTGATACTGTTGGCCCAAGGAAATTATATAAAATTTATTAAATAATTTCGACGATTAAAATTTCAATGTTTTAGATATATAAAAATGAAAAACTTCAACAAATTTAATCAAAACTTTTCCATTTTTGACGGCCTCGGTGTCTAGCGGTTTAGCACACTGCTTTTGTTCTGATACTCAGTACGGACGCGCAAATATTACAATTAAAAAATACGTATACATTAACTTAATAAATCAGATATTATACAATTAAAATTAAAATAATAATATCAAGAGAAAAAGTATATAAGTAAAATTATATATTAATAATCTTAAATAATAATCCTAAAACATTATATACGTAATGGATAAAAGAAAAAATAAACAATTAGAAAGAAATAAAATAAAAAATAAAAAAATACCCACCAGTGATGCGTACGGTGTATTTTATGTATTCTAATATCGGTATCGTAATATTAAAATAAAAATATCCATAACACTTGCTCTCTAGTACCAGCAAATAGTTTCAGCCAAGGAAAATGTCGCCACCCACGAGCCTTTAGTGAACCCTTTATCGTTGTTATCAATTATTTTTTTGAACTTGTAGCAAATGTTCTTTAAAATGCTTTCGGAAAGTATATTTATTTTCATATTATTCATACTTTCATATTATGTATGTATTTACAAAAAATATAACTAAGTATTTACATCAGTTGTCTAGTACACATAATACAAGCTCTGCTTACCGTGGGACTAGATGGCGCTGTGTTAATTTTTCAAGGTTATTATTATTTATTTATAAATCATTTATGTTAGTGTTGGTAAGCGATACAATGAAAATGAAGTCAGGTCAGTTATGCCCATGGTGACGATCTAGGGACCGTATGGAGGTCCATCTGAGATGGTACATCAGCAGCTAAAAGACTCTATGTTGGTACCATTTGCTTGTTCGCCGTATCGCTTAAACTAGATACTCATCTAATTTTGAAGAATATTTAACATTTTAATCGTTATTATGATCTAGGCAAAATTTTAAATGAAAAAACTACTAAATTAAGCGAAATAATATATAAAGACATTGTATTTGGTATTGGTAAATTACGATAAATAAATAATTATTGCGACATAATACTGCTATCGCCATCTATTGGCAGCTGTAACAATTATTTAACACGACTACGAAAAAGTAAGGGAAAAAATTTCAATGTCTTTTGATACTTAATTTACTTTTGGATTAGTGTAGGTTGGATTCTTTATCCGTAATGTCATGTAATGTAATATGGACTTTATTCTCCGTATTTAGCATCTCATTTAGGCCGTTGTACGTCTAGAGTCGACACTACTAAAGTAGCCAGCCAAGCTCCTACCACAAGCGCAGAAGCCTCTTGGTACTCAGGCTTCACGGAGCGACCTCACCGTTCTGAGGATTTGTGATGTTGTGTTGCCACCGCTACGTGCTCCAGGATTACGTGAGCGGCCGTTTCTTCGGCTTTAAAGCAGCCGCAGATGCAGTAGCAGATGTTTTTTTTGAGGGTTGATAATGGAATGGTGCACCCGCCTGCGCTAACGGTTTACGCTGGCGGGGCACCAGTGGAGGATGATAAGAGCATGAGGTCAAGTCAGTTAGCGCATCGTGACAAATTCACCAGGAATTTAACACGATGGTTTCCAGGGGGAACCGCGTGGAGGTCGATCTGACATGGTACATTGCTAGCAATGGGGTTATCAATCCACATTACCAACAATTCCCTTCCCCCTTGTGTCCAGATGTTTGTTTAAGGGACAGTGGCCCGTTATTGTCCCTTGCAATATTTTAAAGTTTTTCCTACCAGTATTTCCCTACCAGTATAACATAAATATTAGAATTCATGGCCATGTAGATAGTGTAGTAGTGTGTACATATTATAAAATAGAGTCTACCCACCTGTCTATTCGCTATAGCCTCAAAACTACTAAACTTTTCATGTGATTTTCTTCTATCAGAAAATAATTCCTGAGGAAGATGTTTTATAGCATAGGAGATTAACGAGCCTGCGGCTAATCATTTGCCATCACGTGTTAAGTGTTTACCACCGGCCATAAACACCCGCAACACCAGAGGAGTTGCAAGTGTTTTACCGGCCTTATAAGAAAGAATGAGCTCTTTTCTTGAAGCTTTATATTCTTAATATCGGTTCGGAATTACCATTGCTGGAAGGTGATTCCACAATATGGTTGTGCGAGGCAGAAGTTTCTAGAAAAACGTACGGTGGAGGACCGCCATTCATACAGATGATCGAGATAGTATTTTAGTTTCTGGTGGGTAGTGCGATGGTGTAATTTAGATATTTATTGTAAGACTGGATCTTTAGCAACTACAATACCATTCCCTAAGAGTACTGCCTATATATATACTAGCTGACTCCCGCAACTTCGTCTGCACTTACACTTAGGTACTTGATATTTATATTTCGCACAATTTACATAATATCTCTTTAAATTATAGCCTATGTGTTATTCTGATGTATAAACTATATTGATGTACAATTTCATGAAAATCCGTTCAGAATTTTTTGCGTGAAAAAGTAACAAACATCCATCCATACTTACAAACTTTCTCTTTTATAATATTAATATGATTACAATGCTATATAGGTAGTAGCTTTCTGTGACAACTTCAGCGTTTGGTAATAAAAAATAGCTAAATTCCAACCTAGTAATATAATCTACCAACACTTCAAATTTTATTAAGAACTTATTAAGATCCTTTGGTATTTATGTAACTACATTAGCTTACATTAACATAAAATTTTAAAAATTCAAGTTCTTTATACTGAATGAATTTACCTACCACTAACGGTTACCATTTTCTATCAAGGGGCCGTCAGCATATTTGTTATCCAGTAATAAAGAAATTGGTGTGAAATTTTGTTAATCATACATGAATTTGATTGAACTTCAATAGAAATATAAATATTCTTTATTCAAATAAACTCAATACAAGCACTTTTGAACAGTAATTTTTTTATTCTACCACTCATTTGTAACGCAGACTCATCACAAGTAAAATGAATAAGAAACTTCTGTGTTGCTCTTTTGAATGAATATAAATTTATAAAAATAATTCACAATAACAAGTATTAGGTCTACGATAATCAATATAGAAACCGCTACGCACTCATTCCTAGTGCAATCAGATCATAATGTCAGCGCTATGAATTTTAAATGTTTTCTGCTGCTAAAAAAACTTGAAACATTTCAATTCGATCAAATTCATGCTGAATAATATTCTAGATTACAGAATAAAGATATTAAAATAATTCTGAATCTCACTAGCTATGTAAAAAAGATAACAACAACAAATAAATTTATATATGATAATAATGTAATTTCTAAGAACACAAACTTTGTCTCATTCTTGTTCTTAGGAATGTGACTAATATGGAGAAAATTGATTACTTTCTCTTTTTTATACTGTGACTTAATCTCTTTCCCTCCGGAACCGAAAGAAGAAAAAAACCTCTTTTTCACAGATCAGAAAGAGATTTTTTATCTCTAATTTTATACTGCTCTGATTTGTTTTATCTGTTTTAACTTAAGTGTTCTTATACCTTTTTATTAATAATAATATTATTGTATTGTAAAACTATGTTTTAATCATAATACAAAAGGTCATTAAAACAAAATAGTTTTAATATAATATAATTTATTTGTGCCTTATTACTAAACTTACACTTAAATGTAACATGAAAAACAGTGTTTATATTTGCGTGGCAGTATTTGAGAGGTGTATTTTGTTTTGTAACAAATGTGTAAGAACTGTCAGTTTTGGTTTACTTCTTGAGCATACTGTTCACGAGCGCCTTGAAGGCTTCCAGACCCTTCTCGTTAGCCTCTTGGTATCCTGGTGCAGTGGTTCTCACTGTCTCGTACCATCTGTAATATTTGGATACATTTACATTAATACATTAATCTATACATATAAATAAAATTGAAGAGTCTGTTTATAATATTGAAATAACCGTTTTTACTACATGCATTTGAATATAAATACGGTACATACACCAAAATAAGATTTTTTACAATTTTTGTTTGTCTGTCTGTTTGTTCCGGCTAATCTCTGAAATGGCTGGACTGTAACTGATGTAATAAGGAGTAACTTAGTAACCTAAGTTATAGTTTTTATTTTAAAAATATTCTGCAATTAACTTTTTTGTTAATTTAACTGTACACGCGACTTCGTCCGCGTGGAATTTAACAAAAAAGTTAATTGCAGATTATTTTTAAAATAAAAACTAATTATTTAATAATAATATCTCGGGACAATTCACAGCGCCATCTTGTCCCAAGCTAAACAGAGCTTGTGTGATGGATACTAGACAACTGATACAAATATTTAGATATATTTTTTTGTAAATATATACATAATATACATAGAAAAAACACCGATACACACAATCATAGTTAATACAAACGTTTGTACCGTGCGAGGAATCGAACCCGCGACCATCGAAAGAAAAGTGGTGTTCTATGGCGTCAAACCACCGAGGACGTCAAAGGTAAGTTCTTTGAAGACGCCTGCTTTTTACCAATAGGCAGTCAGTTTGTCATTGACATTACTAAACAAGCCTTTGAAGGTGAATTCTTACCTCTTAATGTTGGAGTACTTCTTGAAGTCGATATCAGTGGCCTCGAAACTGGATACGCCTGCGATGAGACTCAGATCAGCGACGGTTAGGTTGGGGCCTGCCACGTACTTCTGCCCCTCCAGGAATGTGTCCAGGAGTTTGAGAGACTCCTCGATTTTGGCTGCCTTGTCTTTGTCTGCTGGGGCTCCACCGAACACTTGGGGATACTGTTTGGAAACAAGATTCAATTATCATTATACCCACATAGCTACTGTATTAAAATTTTACTGAATGTTATAAAAATAGTTACTTTTTTTAAGGAAGAAAATCCTAGTACTGTTACAGACTTGAAAGTTAGATAGACTTTTACGCAAAAACTACTAAAGGAATTCAGAGAAAATTTGCTGTAAACATAAATCATGGGATTTCTATTATTTTGTTTAATTCCGCTACGATTAGCATAAGGAAGAATACCTTAGTACGATGACACACTTTAAAGATAGATCTTTGTTACTCTTTGACGCAAAAAGTACTAAAAGAATTCAGATGAAATTTGCTGTAAACATAAATCATAGGATTTGTATTATTTTGTTTAATTCCGCTACGATTAGCATGTGTGAAGCCACCAATATTTAATGCGGAAACCTGACTACCACTACTAGAAGCGTTACGACCTTCTCTATTGGTGATCAAATTCCGACCATTATTGAGTCTACACCCATATTGCGATGTGTTTCGCCCCTGAACGAGGCTTCATCAGACGTTGAATAGATTTCTCTTATTTTGTTTAATTCCGCTACCATTAGCATGTGTTAGACCACTAATATTCGGTGCAGAAACTTGACCATTGCTACTGGAAGCGTTACCTTCTCTATTGGTGATCAAATTCCGACCATTATTGAGTCTACATCCATATTGCGATGTGTTTCGCCCCTGAACGAGGCTTCATCAGGCATTAAATAGAGCTGTGTCTTATTTTGTTTAATTCCGCTACCATTAGCATGTGTGAGACCACTAATATTTAATACGGAAATCTGACCACCGCTACTAGAAGCGTTACGACATTCTCTATTGGTGATCAAATTCCGACCGTTATTGAGTCTACATCCATATTGCGATGTGTTTCGCCCCTGAACGAGGCTTCATCAAGCATTGAATAGAGCTCTGTATTATTTTGTTTAATTCCGCTACCATTAGCATGTGTGAGACCACTAATATTTAATACGGAAATCTGACCACCGCTACTAGAAGCGTTACGACATTCTCTATTAGTGAACAAATTTCGACCGTTATGGAGTCTACATCCATATTGCGATGTGTTTCGCCCCTGAACGAGGCTTCATCAAGCATTGAATAGAGCTCTGTATTATTTTGTTTTTTTTTATACCACTAATATTCGGTACAGAAACTTGACCATTGCTACTAGAAGCGTTACGACATTCTCTATTAGTGAACAAATTTCGACCGTTATGGAGTCTACATCCATATTGCGATGTGTTTAGCCCCTGAACGAGGCTTCATCAGGCATTAAATAGAGCTGTGTCTTATTTTGTTTAATTCCGCTACCATTAGCATGTGTTAGACCACTAATATTCGGTGCGGAAACTTGACCATTGCTACTGGAAGCGTTACGACCTCCTCTATTGGTGATCAAATTCCGACCGTTATTGAGTCTACACCCATATTTCGATGGGTTTCGCCTCGGAACGAGGCTTCATCAAGCATTGAATAGAGCTCTGTATTATTTTGTTTAATTCCGCTACCATTAGCATGTGTGAGACCACTAATATTCGGTACAGAAACTTGACCATTGCTACTGGAAGCGTTACGACCTCCTCTATTGGTGACCAAATTCCGACCGTTATTGAGTCTACAACCACATTGCGATGTGTTTCGCCCCTGAACGCATGATCAGACTACGAGTAGAGCTTGGTTATAGTTTGAAAGCTGTTGATAGTTCGGCGACCAAACTCCGACTGACGTTATCGGTTGAGAGGTCGTATTTATACAAAGTAATATAATAATTAAGTAATGCAATGCAATTATGTAATAGACTTCCGCTAAATACCAACTAATTTGATAAACCATATCCTATATTAATAGAACACATTAGATATTTTTATTACGCGAACCGCAGTATACAGTCATTATTATCTTATCTATACATATAAATAAAGTTGTATCTGTTTGTAATATTGAAATAACCGTTTTTTACTACATGCATATGATTATAAATACGGTACATACACCAAAATAACATTTTTATAATTTTTGTCTGTCTGTTTGTTCCGGCTAATCTCTGAAAGGGCTGGACCGATTTTGATGGGACTTTTTTTGGCAGGTAGCTGATGTAATAAGGATTAACTTAGACTACTTTTATTTTAGAAAAATAAAGTTAAATTCCACGCGGACAAATCACCAGTGCAGCTAGTCTTATATGTAGGTATATAAAATTCTCGTGTGACAATGCTAGTTACCATTCTCCTCTGAAACGGCTTGACCGATTTTTATGAAATCTTGTGTGTAGGTAGGTCATACATTTATTTTTCGTACCCCTCAAATGATAAGGTTAACCCTCCCTAAATATATTTTTTTATTTTATGATTCTGCATTAAAAAATACACACAACCCTAAATTTTCACTCTTTATTATCATTTCATTTTTAATAGCGATTTTATTGTATATGGCAATACAACGTTTACGGAGTCTGATAGTCAAATATATAAGATTATTAACGCAATTAGAGTTAAATATTTTAAATGTGAACGTAATATTATCTGATTGTGAAATAAGTCTATAACGAAATTACAATTGTGAAATTAGATATCTTTCCTTTGCCAGTCAAAGGGGAAAGAATAAGAAAAAAAAATCACTCAACTCGAAATAAAAGTAGGTACTTCATCTCAAGCCTCTACATCAACTACATAAAAAAAAACATTAAACTTACGAAATAATCAGAAAATCTCTGGTACAGAGTGCCGATGTCGAAGTACAGCCTCTGGTCGACGAGTGCCCTCGCCTTCGGCTCCTCGGGGTACAGGGTGGTTCCCTTGCCGTATTTGTTCACTAGATAGGTTATGATGGCGCGCGACTCCCATATAGAGAAACCATCATCTACAAGAGTAGGAACTGTGTGTTGGGGATTGATCTGAAATAGAAATAACAAAGGTTGTTTTTCAAACAAACTCAATATCATACTTATATATATAATATTATAAATGTGAAAGTAGGGAAGTTTGTTAGGCTTTCACGCAAAAACTACTGAACCGATCATCATGAAATTTTGTACACATGTTCTTGGAGGTGTTAGAGTGAACATAGAATAAATTTAATAATAATATTTAAAAATAAAAACAATTGATTTTTATAAAAAACAAAAGCTAGCGAAGCCGCGGGTAAAAGTTAGTCTATTTTAAACACGAAAGTTTGTGAGTATGGATGGCTGTTTGTTACTCTCTCACACAAAAACTACTAAACGGATTTTAATGAAACTATACAGTAATATAGTTTATACATCGGAATAAGACCATAGGTTATAATTTAAAGAGTTAGTATGTAAATTGGGCGCAATATAACGATAAATGTAAAGTAAATGTGATACAGACGAAGTCGCGCGGACCAGCTAGTAAGCTATAGGTACTTTTGAATAGTATTATTTTTTGTTACACTTATTCAAAAGATCTAGCATAGATGTGCAAGAATCATGACCGTCGCTCATTTTTCAGATTTTGTCATTTTATGTGTATACCAAATAACACAAACTGAAATAATGAAATAAACAATAAAACGAGTATACTAAATAATACATTCATAGATATGAGAGCACAAGCAACACAAATTAATAAATGTTGTATTCCTTCTGAACAGAATAATATTGTAGAAATGAGTCTAGCCATATATAATATAAAATAAATATAATATAAAAATATACATAAAATGTTTCTTCGAAAGACACCTGCAAATTTGCTATACTTGATAGTTAATATACAAAAACAATTTACTACATTCAAAATTACTCTTTTTAAATTAATAATACCAGTATATTTATTACTATTTGAAATTTAATTTTCTTAGGTTATTAGTTTATTAGGTTGCAGGTTTCTTAAGGGTCGGCAAATCGCACGTGTGTCCCTGTTCTATCAGGGGTCCATAGACTACGGTAACCGCCTCCCAGATGGGCCGTATGCTTGTTTGCCACTATCGTTGTATAAAAAATATAATTATTATTATTATAACAGCTTATATGTATAAGTACAGTAGGTACGTAGGTCAGTCATATCGGTGTGTAACAAGCATGACGAGGTCGGAACTTAATAGTTACGTTTCGTAACTTTGAGAACCGGTTCAAGGGGTTTTTAACTACTTGTTAGCAGTGGAATGCACCGCTGAACTGCACGTGTTTGATTTTAAATGTTTCATTTCGTACTCATTATATAACAGATTATTTATTGTAACTGAGTTTGCATTTATCTTAAAAAACAATGACAAAAAATACATTTTACGTGGTAAGATATCAAAGACCTCTCGGTAACGACTTTTAGGATATATCTGGAGTAAAAAAAGTAAAGAGACAAGCTTGGTAGCTTCGAAATGTGTTGTCGGAGAAGGATGGAATAATTAGCTGGAAAGATAATGTAAGAAATGGAAAATAATTCTAGAAAATACTACCATATATTATCTGTGATACTACACAGGGTAAAAGACAAAAGACAGTAATTAAATATTATTGAAAATAGACTATGGAAAGTGTTGGAACACTTGATATGGCACCATGAATTTATGAATATTATTATTGGGGGAAAAATAGAAGGAAAGAGGGAAAGATAAAGGCACAGTTACATCAAGCAAATTGACACGTCTTCAATTTGGTCACTAACCAAATTGAAGTCGTGTTGGATCAATGTTTAAATTAGAGTTGCCAACCGTCCAACAAAAACTAGGACATGTCCGTTTTCCCAGGACATGTCCTAGTTTTTGTAGTGTCCTTGGGTGTCCTGGATAGTTTTTAAGCAGCGTCCTGAGTTCTTAAAACGCCCTGATAAAATCATGTATTTTCGAAATGCGCGCGCCATTTTTACAATGCCTGCTCGAATTGTAGAGTTTTTTTAAATAGTTTTAATTATTAAAGACTAATTATTACCATTACTTGAATTTTATTAATTTAGCTTATTGACATTATATAATAATTAATTATAACAAAGAAAATTACTGAGTACTGGTTACAAACCAAATTGTCCTGGTTTTTCCAACTTCAATCCTAGTTTTTTAAATTTGGTGTAGGCAACCCTAGTTGAAGAGAATAATGGGAGATCGTGGGAAGTGGCAAGAGCTCCAACGACAACAGCGTGACTTTGAAATTATGAATGATATATCTATGAACTCCTGATATTTCGACTTTATTACATTAAAATTAATTAAAAATGTTATAGAGTCATGTTAAGTTCTCGTCTATAGTCTCATAGTACATAATAAAATATATTTATTGACAGTATAATGTCGTACACTATTTTCACATTCTCTATGTAGGTAAACAACTTGTTATCGAGAACAACTTTATTTATTTTTAGACTCATATTATCATTACAACTGTATATTATTTTGTTATTCAGTATTACTCGGGCTGGTAACAGATCTAAATAAACATAGGTACACATGTAACCTTGTATGTTTTCTAATGTATTTATCGTGAAATATATGAATGTTGCTCAAATACTTAAAGTCAAGACAGATAAAGATTTTCCAGCTATATTACTGACATAGATATCATGTTTTTATATTCATAACATTTTATTATGATAAAAAGTATATAATATATATAAACAGTCTTATTTTTTTTTAGAAAACCAAAAACAATACAGACCTTGTTTTATTTGTTTTTATTTTTTAAAAGGACTCACATTGTCCTTGAGTTATCATTGAGTCCTAGTGATCAGAACTATTTGAGGAGGCAGAAGTTAGTTTTCAGTCGCTCTTTAAGACCATCCACCTTTTTTTTGCCCTCACTTGAAGATAGAATTGTTAACCATATTTTATAATAACATATATTAAAATAATAATTTGTTTTTGATACATACAAATAAAGTATGCAAAAATACTTTATTTTCAACCTTTACTGTGATGCGTAAAACAAAATACTCATTATGGTTACTTAACCGTTTATAATTACTGAAATTGTACAAATATGACCCGCTGATTTTATTTATAACTGAAGATTAAAAAATAATTGTTTATTTATTTAAATTAAAATTTTTATTGTAAAACAAGCTTTGCAACATTTAAAGATAACAAAAAATTGTTAGCAAGTGCAAAAAGCACGCAAAAAGTCAATAAAAACATAATTACAAAAATACTTTTTTTTCCTAATACTGTATTTTTTCCTATCAATAAGAGTTTATACATTTATTTTTTGTCAAAAAAAGTTGGCAACTCTGCTTGAAGATAAAATAATGAAAGAATTTGTAAATATGAAGCTATAATGGCCAGCTGTAATAGAACTAATCAATAGCCTAGTAGACATGTTACCTACTTTTAAACAATAGAAACACTGTTAATACCAAATGCAATAGTTCCCTTCGGAGTTCAACGATCCGCCGCCGTCCGCGGCATAACTACTATCGAACATGTTACATCATCGTTTGGCCTTCAGTTGAGCAAATTAACAATTTAGAATGCAATAATAAAGGAATAGAGTCAAAAATGGCTTGACCATATTTTGCTATTTGGACGTTTAGGAGTTGAGTTAGTACGGGAAGTTGGCCGAGTGCCATAGACTCGGCGTGTCTAGGAAATATTTTAAAAATGCTTCCATTTTGCTAGAATGTTCCTATGAAATATGCGAATTGAATGAGATATCTGTGGTATGCTAATAATTGCTATATTGCGAAAAGTGCTGTTTGGGACATTTACTTTGTGCAACAGTAGGCGGTCAGAGGATACCTTTTTTTCTAGATTTTATTTATTTTTTAATTCAAAAATATTCACACAGTTCGATCTAGTCCCAAGGTTGATTCAAACATCATACTTATGATATGATTGATTATGATAGTAACATCTCAGAACAACTCACATACCGGCAACTAGTACCAAACTAAGCAGAGCTTGTGTTATGATAACTAAACAACTGAGAAAAATACTTAAATACTTTTTTTAATACATTTATAATATACATAGAAAACCCCAGACCGATACAAACAATCGTATCGTGCGATGAATCGAACCCGCGATTATCGGAATTGGTATTAGTGGTATTAGGTTTATATGTTTCATGAATATTGTCACTGGATTTTTTATTATTATTTTACAATTCATTATTAAATTTAACATATTCTGTATAAAGTTGAGTGTTATTATCAATATATAATACTGTATACTTTAAACATAGCTATTTGTAAACGATAAAGTGGTATAAAAATGTTTCAACAAAAACAAATTACAGAAGCATTTATTTTGAAAAATATAATTAATTAAAAAATAATAATAGGCAAAATCATATAAATAATAGTTAATTAATAATAGTTAATAAAAATAATGAAGGCAACACATGAATGTGTTGCCTTCATTTTCCTGTTTATTTGTTATATATAATAATAATTTTTATTTAATTCTGAAGTTAATAGCTAATTAGTATTTGCATAGAGTATAAATATTTATTCTATGGCAGGTATTAGGTAATGCTTATAGTGCTTTGTAAATAGGAAAATACTATCAATAAAATTATTAATTATTTTGTTTATTAGGTGTTATTCTTTAAACTAAGACTTATTGTTTGGGTATATATATACATAAATAAAATTGGAGTGTCTGTTTGTAATATTGAAATTTTTGTACATCTGTCTGTCTGTTTGTTCCGGCTAATCTCTGAAATGGCTGGGACTAGATCTTATAAACTTTACGGCCTCGGTCGTCTAGCGGAGCACACCGCCTTACATCCGACGGTCGCGAGTTTGATTCCTCGCAACGGTGCAAGAATTTGTATATACCAGTAGGATTCATTGTATCGGTCTGGGTACTTTCTATATATAATATATACGTATTTACAAAAAAAAATCTAAGTATTTCTATCAGTAGTCTAGTACCCATAACACAAGCTCTACTTACCGTGGGACTAGATGGACTAGTGAATTGTCCAGGGTTATTATTATTATTCTAAGTGTCTTCAAATCGATTATATCTTATTTTGTATTTAGATAAGGTTTAGTTTTGCATAAACAGTCTCACCTTCAGGTATTCAGGCTTCAAATGTTCACCGTGATGCAAGTCCACGAGCTTCAAGTTGAGGTTCAGGTTCAGAGCCCTCGCCGTCAGCAGGACAGCCCTGCAAGGGGCGGAACCGGGCACGTAATACAGGTCGATCGTCATTGTACTGTAAAAAAAAAAATATTTTGACCATTTTCTTAGTAACTACACAGATTACAAAAATACAGAGTGTAAACTAGAGCACTGGCACAGATAAGACAATATTAAAGAGTATTAGTATGTGATATTATATTATCTGTGGTATTTGTATTGTTTTCTATGCAACTGTAATGGAAAATAGCACACAGTACACTTTTTAGTTTTTTTTTCATTGATCATGCTGAACGTGACTATAATTGATAGTTGGTTTTCTTTCGGACTACTCTAATGCTGTTGACCGCAGCTGGCCTTAACAGCTTCACCGGACGATAGGGGGCGAGTGCAGATGGCACTTCAAACCCGCGGAAGGACTTATGGAGTGCCTGAAGGCCAACTCCCGCCTGACGGTTACGATTTTAGTCTGAGGGCGCCGTTAGGGTTTCGAATCTCGGGCTGTCGTAATTTCGATCCCCGTTTGAATTGGATGATTAGAGGCGTATCGGTTTGGGTATTTTCTATGTATCTATTTCTATCAGTTGTCTAGTACTCATAAAATAAGCTCTGCTTAGCTTGGGACTAGATAGCGCTGTATGGACTGTTCTTAGATAATATTACTAACAATTCCATTCCCCCCTATACATTTTATAGTAAGTGATCACCGTCGAGTACATACATGATCAGTAACACATACACACGTCATCATGTCATCATGTAAGCATTACATTTCCATTTCAAGAGAGCTAAGTTGCCATACTTTCGTATCCTGTAACTTTACTGTCATATTTGAAAACCAAAATACATCTTACTAACTTGATAGCTGATATACATGAGTAAGACTTTAAAAAATTGTAAATTTGTTTTGTCATAATCATAATGAAATACTCAAGGTGACTCTTCTTCGATGACATAATAGTTAATTTCGGTTTAAATAGTACCTATTAATAATGATAAATCAGATTTACATTGATTATTTCTTTAGTCGTTAATTCATCACCATTCTATTAACGCGGTCAAGTATTACTATTATTAGTTTTATTTACGTCACTAAACGATATTACTATTAAGACGATTGTTTTCTTTATTATGTGTATTTTATTACGCAAGCGACTAAGTGCTTGGAGATACCGCCTAACAACTACCAAAGTCACGTGATCTGCGCGGTAAAATCTTGTGTTCGTCGGTCTTTATTAAAAAAATATTTTTCAAGTTATTTTCTCCAATTTTGTTTTTTTTTTCAGGTAACTGGAAGTGCAAAATTGCTTGATAATTAAACTCTATAAAATTAAAATGTAATATGATTAGCTCTGGCTGAAAAGCTTCGTCTCTGTATTTTTAATAATCTGTGGTTAACAGTCTATGGTTAGTATTAAAAAAAAATATTTGTTATCACTGCCTCATAACAATATTGTATTATAGAGACACTCATCTCATTAGAAATTCCTTTTCCTTCATCCATTGTATGCCTATTAGCTCATCCTAATCCTATAATTTATAAATCTCTTGCGTCTTTTATTTCCCATAATAACATTAAACTTTAAAACCCATGATCACTAATTCCGAGTATATTCAAAATTTAACCCGTTCCTTTCCATTATCCCGTCTCGTTTCCTGTTTTTAGTGGCATAATAGGCAACACTAGCCTCTTGCCAAAGAAGAGAAAAAAAAAAAAAAACAATATTGTAAATAATTGTTTACCACTGCCAGAATGAAGAAAAAAATGTTTACAATACATAAAAAAATAAAAATCATTGGCGGTGAAAGATTCCTGATTAGCTTGTGGATATATTTTAAAAATTAGAAAGACAACCGAACCTATATTCTGTTTTAATTTTAATAAATAGGAAGTGTATTCTAAAACTACTTATTAAAAAAAGGAATTCAATTGAATAAAAAGTGAAAATAGGAAGTGTTTTAATATCGAATGGATTGTATTGTATCGCGTGAAAAGGTCGCATTGGCCTTCGGTTTCATGTTTCATAATTATTTATTCTATTATATTGGATAGTATCAAAATATTTAATGAGTGAATTAATTAGATATGAGCGTGCTCGCACAATGACATTTGTACGAGACATAAAAACTTCTGTGTATTTATTTTAAATTTCGAACGCGCTTCGCATTCATTTGTTTTAAGAATATTGATAGATCATTCTATCAATATTTAAATTGTATCTGTTTCAAACGAGAATTGTTATCGTGTATATTACATAATCAATAATAGGGACTTCATTATGTAAGTTTCAGTTGCTAACTGCATTACACAAGCTCTGTTATGTTGAATTAGCACCACGGCCTTTACATTTCATTTAAACAACTAACCTACATATAGCCGTTGATAAATTGAATGTTTTTGTTACTATTAAATGCGGAATTAAGTATTGTATGCCTGCAAAACGACGGGTTTTAGATATGACCTCCACAAGCCATTCAGGCTGACCCAAGGTCGAATGTCAGGTGATTATAAAAAATTCTAACAAGTCATCGGTTTTTTGGTATTACTTTATCATCCGTGTTTGGTATTGCGAAAATTTAAAGGAAAATAGTGATTATGTATGTACAAATAAAGTCTAGTTCCGTTGATTTAGTTGAATAATAAATGCATTAAAGTAAATTATTGCATTTTACTATCTAGCCTATATCGTATACTGACTTTCGGATTTCAAATTTCGAATCCTGGCCGATACCATAAATTTTGTGTATTAATTTTTATTTCTAACTGACACACTAGTGTTGGAAATGTCGGTAACAAGCAAAACCTAAACTGCAGTTCACATTATACCATAATAATTGATTTTCAGAGGGAGACTGTATGGAGATAGAACTAACTTAATACAAAAATATCAATGGCTAGCAGTCCCATTACTATAGAGTAATGGGAACTAGTGTGTGTAAGGTTCGAAAAGTTTTTTTTTATCAGAAATCCTTTAAAATCGTGGGATCGAATTAGTGGGAATTAGTGGGTAAATGATAAAATATACGACTGATAGCAACCTTAACTTGCAAAACATGTTTATTATTCAAGCCGGCCGGCATTTTAATGGGCGTTATGTTTTGTCGAGTTACATATAAAAAGAAGCATTTGTGTCTTCTTCTTAATTGTCTATATATTGAAGTTACAAGCAAGCATAAAGAATATTTACCTAACTAGAGACCAACCGTATAGGGTTCTTCTGTAACGAACATTATTTTATTTTTCTCATGTTTTATTTTACCACAGTCGTGGGTTCTAGCTCTTTTGAACTGTAATAGGTCGGCCTAATTTTTCAACTTGATGTTTTTTATTGAGATATTTTTTTTTCTATTCTCTATGGTACCATAGAAAATAGAAAAAAAAAAAAGAAGAAATATAAGTATTAGATAATTTGTCCAGACTTCATAAAACCGGCACAATAAAATATTTATACGGTACCTCTCGAAGGCAGCTATTATTATTTCATCTAGGTATGTTATTATTCTTTTTTTTCCCATCAAGGTCGCGTTCAGAATGTATTCTTGTCGCGTTTGTTCTAACTACTTAAATAGATAATATATTCATTTAAGTATTTAAAGATTTTAATTTAAATATATATATTTTACTAGCTGTCCCGGCAAACGTTGTTTTGCCATAAAATAAAAAAAAAATTAAGGGGTGGACTACCCCTAACATTTAGGGGGATGAAAAATAGATGTTGGCCGATTCTCAGACCTACTCAATACGCTCACAAAATTTCATGAGAATCGGTCAAGCCGTTTCGGAGGAGTATGGGAACGAAAACTGTGACACGAGAATTTTATATATATTATTTATAACACCATTACGTAATTTATAACAACTGAAATATTGAATAATGTAATTATTTCGTTGTTTATTTACTTAAGTATATATTATATTCCGTTATGGTTATATATTTTTTTCGGACTACTCTAATGTTATTGGCCGCAGCTGGCCTTCACTGCTTATCGGACATGGAGGACGATAGGGGGCGAGTGCAGATGTCACTCCAAACACGCGAAAGGACTTATGGAGCGGCTGAATTCTAACTCCCGCCTGACAGATACAACGTTAGTCTGAGGGCACCGCTAGGGGTTCGAACCTCATCTGAGGCAGTCGTAATGTCGACCCCCGTAATTGAAATAAAATTTAATTTAATTTTATGAGCAGATATTCGTCTAATTTCACACGTCTTCCTTTGTTGCTACTATTGAAACTCGCTCGATACTCATCTTGACAAACTATACTCAGTCAACCCGTCAGGCGGGACCTGACGAATATGACTAGTCTGAGGGCACCGCTAGGTTTGAACCTCGGCTCAGGCCGTCGTAATTTCGATCCCCGTTTGAACCTCGTGTAACATCCCTAACCCTAACCCTACATAACCTACACTGAGTGACGACAGACGGTCGTAACACAGACCTAACTATCCCTATCTAATGCTTACGTATATATGTCGTTGTGATGGCCAAGTGATCGTCTAGGACTCTACGTTGTTACGATTAATACCTAAGAAATAACCTACTGCAAAATATGAAGCCTACTTGATTATTATCTAGGAAATAGTAGTAAGAAATAAAACAAGGATTGAGCCGCAAATGAAGTTATTTATTTTCGGTTTTATTACGTGAGCAGCGTTATCCGATTCGTTATGTGTTTTAAATGAATTTAATATTAAATGACTTTACCACCCGTTCGGAACCCTATCTACGACCAAGAAGATACGGGCAAGAAACTTGGATTTTGCTCTTTGTTATAATAATGTTTCTTGATTGAAATTAATGTTATACATAACTTCTTAATATTAGAACTATCAGGAACCCAGCTGTAAGATTCGTTGGATGCTGTCGGAGGTCACCTTCGTCGCGTGCACGCGTCGTCTTATACCTGGATACCGACTCGTAGTTCCCTCGGAGTATGAAAATTGGATAAAGAAAGAAGATAAATATCTTAGTCTCATTATTGAAGACTAACCCAGTTGGAACTATAGTTGTAATATATTCTATCAGAATGGACGCATACGATAGTGCTACAGTTAAGTTACACCTTTAAAATAGGTTCGCGCAGGGGACCCACATCTGCTACTTCCTGACCACATTAAGAGCCCTTAAAACCCGACATAAGACAATCCATTCTCGGCACTCCTGGACCTAGATCTAACACGAGTTGCGAGAACAAGGTAGGGTTCTAGTCAGCCGGGCCTAGGAAAACTTACATCCAAGAATCGACGACACTGAACGAATCAAGTCATAACAGATGTAAATCTAGAGTCAAAAGTGAACATAACCATGGAGAACATCCGAAAATATTATATTTAACCTAGTTAACAGGCTTTCTGCCATCCACAGTTGAGTACGGCTGTGACCATGTACCCTAAGGCCCGATCGGCGCTGACATACCGCCCTATGCTGGTCAGAGAACTTGCTATTCCCCCATCAAATTCGAGCAGCTACTTTACGTCCATACAAATCTTGTTATTGTTGTAATGTTGATTTATGATTATATAGAAGAAATAAAATATATAATATTTGAATATTCACCTGATATTATATTCACACCACAAAATATTTAATTATCTATGCTCGAATCATTATGAGGTTAACAAAATTACGCGATCTAATATTTGAATAATTCTATAGTTTAACTACAATTCGTTTTGTAATATGTATCACATTCGTATGATTGTATTATTCTTAAAAACCCAATTAGTTAAGAATTCAAATTGATAGTCCCAGAAAGGATATATTCACAACTCGTTCCATAAAGAGGTAGTCAATGTTATCCCTTAATAATTAATATTATTACTCCGGTGATTATCTTCAATATGCTCAGTCAAGGTTCATATTAAGGACGTGGTTCTTTTAAATATTCCATTTTAATATATTTTCCACCTTGTGAATAATATACTATTTACTTATTCATTACTTGCAATCTCCACCTTGTGGAAATGTACAAACATCCATCACAATAATTAAAGAAAGCACTGTCTTTCTGCTCAACATTATTCTTATAATTGCAAGTTTCTACCTTGTAAAAACAAACAAACATACAATACATACTTTTGGGAATTGCTATGGTTCGGTTTGAAAATATATTCTATTTGTGACTTCCACCTTGTGGAAGCGTACATCACACAAAATTCTTAGAGGGGTCAGAGAAGATTGCCAAAAAAAAAATTTATATCCTTAATATAAATGAATGATTATATTATAAACATTTATCAGTTATTAAGCCGTACTTAATGATTAAATATTAATCATATGGACAGGAGCACATTTAGTAAATCAATAACAAAATCTATTAAATTATATTTAATAGTGTAGTTTTATATTAGAATAAATAAAATATCATCATCATTTCAGTCGCTCCTCTATAAATATCGGTTCAGTAGTTTGTTGATTACACTGAGCATATTATAATAATTAACGTTTTGTCCATTACTTAAAATCTACTCACAGTTACAACCGTTACCGAAGCTCGTTTGCCATTGTCCTAATGTCCCTATATACATGAATGGAACCCAACCTTATGTATCATAGATATTACCATATTTATAATACAATTATTAACATCACCACGCTGCCCTCCAAAGTGTACCTAAATTATCTACCTTACGACTAAAATAAAATTGCAATAACTTAAATAATAATTAAAGTTTTATACGACCTGTCATGTGGTAGCTATTCTATCTCACCAATAACATTTTGACGTCGACGTCTCTCGTTCAGCCACCGTTGCACCGTCCCGGATTCATCATTCGTTGCCGTCTCTCAAGGAACGCGGAAATTAACCCTTAATACAGATCGACTAGTCCGCTTGTTCCGCTACTCGTTCCGACACCCGCTGCCTATTTCAGATCGACTCCCCCGCTATCCGTCCCAAAACCAACTGTCCTGATTTCTCCGTGTCTCAATCCCACCATGACACGCATTGCCTCCCCGCGCCCCTGGTCCTCCTTACTTTTACTATTTTTTTTGCTAACGACCCTTAAAGCAAATCTTAAACAAGGCACTGTCCCATGTCGTGCCCTGTCTAATAAACTTATTAATTTATTGTTTTAACTCGACATCTTCTCAGCTTGAGTTCTACCTAAGTGACACCACGTCTAATAAAGTATACTAATTTATGTTACCTAAATAAACAATACTTAGAAAATAAGGACCCTACAATATCTGTAAGTGGCATGTGAACGAAATACGAAATATTAGAAACACGTTTGAGAGTTGTAGCCGTTTTTATGAAGTAATTATTTAAGTATCCGTTCCACGAACAAATCTTAATTCTACTAATATGCACTTACTATATACTTATAACATCACGTCACTTCTATATTTTAGGTATTAGATTTATTTATCTAATTTTTATGGAACAATCAACATACCTAGTATGTGATCGTTACACTCGGCTCAAGAGCGGGAAAGTAGATTGTTAGTAATATGGAAATGTGAACTGTAGATCCCATTGCCAGCAATGTACCATGTCAGGTTGACCTCCACGCGGTTCCCCCTGGAAACCATCATGACAAATTGGATACAAATTCTCCAAGAATTTCATAATGTCATCCCATACATATGGGCTAACTGACCTGGCTTCATGCTCATGTTATCATCCTGCACTGGTGCCCCGTTAGCGTAAATCGTTAACGAAGCTGGGGCAGCAATCCTTTATCATTCAGAAAAAAACCTCAGCTCAGGCCGTAATACGACGTGGGATCAATCTGAGTGCCCCGGGTCAGGCATGATTGACAATTATATTTTATTTTAACAAGGCCGTCGTATTCAGACTGGGGTCGATCCCCGTCTGAATACGACGGGGTCTCGATCCGAGTGCCCCGGGTATGCCGTATGATTGACAATTATATTTTATTTTAACAACTCACAATCACTAATTGTTAATTATTAATAAGTATTATAAGTAAAATATATGTTAATTATTATGCATTTACGTGGGAAGTATTTGCAATTAAAGACAGGTGGGTAGAAATATTATTTCACTAACTAAACTGGTTCAAATCTACGTAACTGTAACAGTAATTACACGTAGGCGAAGTTAACTTTCACTGTCAAATTCGAAGCTTTAAGTTACGTGTCCATGTTTAAAGTTTGACCTCGATGGTCTGGTAGTTTAGTACACCGCTTTACTTCCGTTGGTCGCTGGTTCTATTCATCGCACGGTACAAAAAATTGAATTCATGAGTATGATTGTTTGTGTTGGGTGTTTTCTATGTATATTATGTATGTATTTACAAAAAAAAATCTAAGTATTTATATTATATATTATCAGTTATTTAGTATTTTTTAGTTTATCCATTATAAATAAAAAACCATGTCATTGTACTTTATAATATTAGTTTAAATATGTACTTAGTTAAATCAATAATAATAATATGTAACAATAACCCTGGACAATTCACACACACATACACACAGCGTCATTAAATCACAAACTAAGCAGAGTTTGTGACTTGGGTACTAGACAAATGATAAAAATACCTTAATTATACCTATATTTTTGGTAAATATACTTATAAGACGCCCAGATCAATAGAAACAATCATACTCGTATATACAAATGTTTGGTATTATGCAAGGAATCGAACCCGCGACCATCTGAAGTAAGCCGGTAGGCTAAACCATAAAACAAGCCAAAAAATAAACAAGACATATTTTTTTTTATTATTTTACGCAAACGCTTCCACTATCTGTCGTACATGCTGGCCATAGACACATCACGCACAAAAAAGTTTCGTTTCAAATTAAAAAAAAAAGTGTTAGTATGAATATTAAAAACTTACAGATTTATTTGACGTTACAAATATAGAAACTAAGGCACAACGAGACGTTCACACAGTAGTGTTAGGAATGACTGAGTAACCGCGAGAGGAGGGAGGCCATCTGTTTTATAGCTGCGCGATATTCGTGACGCATACGGAGAGAACATAAAGTTTTCCCACCCATAGACTCATTGTATCTTGAAACTACAAGTCATAATTACAAGTGCATTTGTGGGTCATACAAATACGTGAACTCATTTTAAAAAAATATGACTGGAATAATCCATGTCATATTTTTGTGATTCTAGAATGTTCTAGATAAGTCTGTCATTGAATTTACTTAATTGGATGATTTTTTTTTCATGCACTTTTTATAATTAATTATAGTTTATTATTAAATAACCAAAATAATCTCTGTGACTTCATCTGGATTGAACAAAATCCCAAAGTCAATACTAATATTATAAAATTTATATATAATAATAATTATTATTGTTAATTTTGTTATAAGAATAAAAAAGGACCGGGTTCAGAGTATGGCAACATAACAGGGTGCTCCTGTGTGGCGCTGGTTTTTTGCCGGACCTCTATTTTACCAAATTAAACATAAAAAAAAATTAAAATTAAATTGATAATAATTATATAAATAGATTAGACCTTGATTAAGGTCAGGGTACCATTTGTCGCGAAGTTAAGGTGAAATAAGTAATAAATTTTAAGAGAATACAATTACCTTTACTTACTTACGTAAAGTAAATTATAGTTAAACATTTATTTCTGTCTGTGTTTTCGTCCAATCGATACAATTCGGAAATGTTTTAATTTTATGCAGACGATGTCAAGTGCCTCAGTTAATAATGTCCATATATAATATACTTTACTTATTACTTACTATTATATTTGATCGAAAGTTTATGGCTATGGAATATGGATAGATCGATGGATGGATGTGTCTTACTCTTTCACATAAAAAACTACTGTAAGGATTTTGATGAAATTTTACAGTCATATAGCTTATACATCAGAATAACACATAGACTATAAATTTCAAGGTGAAAACGCGGACACAGCTAGTATTATTAAATATACGATAATAGCTGAAGACCATCTGTTAAGCACACTTGATATTATCGTAGAAAAAAATTGGTTGTACAAAACTACTTACATACATAAAAACTTAAAAATTCACATTCTCTCTTAATACCTACCTTATGTTCATTTACCTGCAACGAATGTATGCAGGGGTCATTGGACTAGGTTTTCCCGTAGTAACACTGATGTTTCCGCAATCATTTTGGCTTAACCTATTTTGATGAAATTTCTGTAAGTCTGAAAATGGACTGATGTGGGTCTAAGTGATAAGAATATATCGTAATCAATTTTTATTGGTGGGAAAAGGAATCGTTAGTAATGTGGACTGATGGTCTCATTGCTAGCAACATACCATGTCAGGTTGAATTCCACACGGTCCCCCATAGAAACCATGGTGATAAATTCTTGGTGAATTTGTCACGATGGGCTAACTGACATCACCTCATGTCATCTTCCACTGGTGCCCCGCCAGCGTAAACCGTTAGCGCAGACGAGTGCACCATTGCACTATCACCCATAAAAAAAAAACATTTAATATTAATTTACATGGCAAAAAAAGTTTGCCGGCTCAGCTAGAAAATATATATTACCATAGATAACATAATATTACTAAGTACATCTAAATATATATAACTCAAACGTGACTGACATAGTGATCTATCAACGCACAGCCCAAACCACTGGACCGATCGGGCTGAAATTTGGCATGCAGGTAGATGTCATCACTTTCGACGATTAATTCTACCCCCAAGGGGACAAGATAGGGGATGAAAGTTTCTCTGAAACTTTGTCAATTTTAAACCGATTGGGCTGAGACTTTGCACGCATAAAGCTACTGTGACGTAGGCACCCCCTAAGAAAGGATTTTGATAAATTCCACCCCTACGGGAAAAATTAACGCGACAGAAGATAACTATCTTTTTATAGTGCGCCACCTACCTTTCCCTTACCGGTACCCAATACTTTTATCTCCCAGGTTGTCTGTAAGAGATCGCTTTGAGCAATAAGCCCGCCATTTTGTTCGTATATTTTTTTTCTTTCTGTTTTGTAATTATTTGTTCCTATTTTTTATGCAGAAGAAAGAGTTTTTATTATCATTTCTTAAACTTAAAAGAAAATTCTCATCTCCCCTCTTAAGGAGAGGAGATGGCAACTTACTTATTATTATTATTATAATACAATAATAATTACATATTAATTAAAATAATATTTAATGAAGCACATAACGTAATACATATAAAGTACTTAATCATATACTTATTCACCAGTGTATGTTTCTTAGGTTAGACTTTCTCACACGCACATGTACTTCACGATTTTAAAAAAAGTACCCCAAAAATGTTGTATTCATCTTGAATTATAAAAACTACCGACGAGTCATGATTATTATAAAATTATTACGCCAATTTTGTGTGTCATATTTTGTGTACTTAGGTACACAAAATGGAATGGCAAACAAGCTGACCGTCCATTTGGTGGTAAGTGGCAACCTTCATAGATTGTTCTTCATAGTTGGAATATTTGTATTCATGTAAAGAGGAAAATGACATTGAACCATTTATAAATAATAGTAATTTCAGGACAATTCACACAGCGCCATCTAGACCCATATTAAGCTAGCGTTAGGGATACTAGATAAGTACAAAATACAAATAAATGTATGCATATATGTTTTTTCGTAAATACCCAAACAATCATACTTATGAATACAAATGTTTGTGTCGTGCGAGGAAACGAACTCGCGATCACCGGAAGAAAGGCTGTATGCTAGACCGTTAGACTACCGAGGCCGGCAATTACAATTGTATAACTACAATAAAGCGGCCTTATTGCTAAAAGCATTTTTAAAGGCAACCTTAGCGTAACTGATATAATTGTGCAACATATGGGTGACATATAAATAAAGAATAACTTTAGAAATACTTTTTGATATGTGACGCTGTCTCCATACGATACGTACCATATCTCATACATAGCTTACAAAACAAGCTGCTTAGCGGCTGAAATAGGCGACATAGAGATGTCTAAGCATTCGACTTTATATAAAGTCTACTTTCGTCCAATAAATTCTAATAGCTTAGGTAATTAAAACTCCTTCAGGAAATATGTTAGCAACAAACTCAATGCTAATACACATTGTGTGTTTTCACTATTACAAAATATCAGGCGTTTATGAAGAACTTTTGGATACGGTGATAGTTTCAGCTTTATTATTTAATAAAACTTGAAATAATTTAATAATAATAATAATCATTTATTCAGCATAAAAAAGCGTACAGATAAAAAAGAAAACTTAAAAACTAATAATTCGCTATGCTGAAAAGGCTTCAGCTGGTGCCGCAGCGTATCACTACATTTGATTTTCTCAAATTCGTGATAAATTCAAATCAAATATCTAAAATGAAGAATCAGTTAAATGGATGAATTATATGTGTGATAAATAGAAGAAAAATATATAAGGATAAAAAAGTGTTGATAGACCTTGATATATTTATTTATTTAATCAATATACATGTATTTTTATATATTATTAAATAACATATTTTACCTCACAACATTTATCTCAAACGGGATAGTCAGCGGCAATACAACGTTCAAAGTTGTGATGACCGTAGATTGGAATTTCCAATTTTACTGTAAATATGTAAATACAACACGAAAGATGGCTCTGTTTCCAAGATACTTAAATTAAGAGTATTGTTTAGTGTAACCCACGACCTTTTTGGTCGATATTAACTAGTAAACTACTGGGCCTCAAAAATCTCGACGGCCAAAATTTGAGAGCCGACGTAAAAAAAAAACGAAAAGTATAAATTCCATTGCGATTCGAGCACAGCAAAAACCCGTTTCACGCCATTAAGAAAGGAATAACCAAATTAGCTAATGGTATTGTGATGCAATGTTTTTAGACTTTGATTTCAAGCGCGTAAGTTCCAAACGAGTTCCTAGTGGGTTGAGATGATCCGTTCGGACCGGAAAATGTTATTTACCTTAGCAACCATTTCGTAGATACTATTAAAGGAATTCTCGCAACAAAATTACCATATCTAACTTTTTTTTCAGAAAATACTGCCCAGCTCTGTCACTATAGTGGCATGACGCATGACGTGGCAGATCGGCACGGGAGAATAGAATAGAATATAATAGAATTTTTATTAACTCGTTTTTAATAAAAATTCTATTGTCTAATTTTTTAAATTGATAGTCGATGTGTTATTCTAATGTAGAAGCTATATAACTGTAAAGTTTCATCAAAATCCGTTCAGCAGTTTTTGCGTGAAAGAGTAACAAACATTTATCAATCCATTCATCAAACTCCAAACTTTCGCGTTTATAATATACTAATATCAGTAAGATCATAATTAGATACTTTGTTCAGAATAGAATCTTGATTTACCATCTATCCTATCTTTTATAGGTCAGTTTGGCTCTTCAGATAAATAGTATGTTTCTGGTACATAATACAATAATAACTCTTTACTATGCACAGAAAAATATTAAAAGAGATAAGATAATATTACATAGCTAATCAAAAGGCGGCCTTATCGCTTAAAACGATCTCTTACACTTATAAAAACTTATTTTTAAATTACCTACCATCATCTTAGGTATATCGCATTAATTATACAACTGTTAAATTATTGTTCATAAGAACAGGTTTTAGTTGACCTATATACATATATACAATAAAAATACACCTATTTTCATTGATAGTTTTTGTAATTTATACATATAAATAAAATTATACACACACAAATTTATAATTATACAAAGTGGCTGTTTGTGATATTGAAATAACCGTTTTATACTACATGCATATGAATATAAATACGGGCCATACACCAAAATAACATTTTTTACAATTTTTGTCTGTCTGTCTGTCTGTCTGTCGGCTAATCTCTGAAATGTCTGGACCGATTTTGACGGGACTTTCTTGGTAGGTATCTGATGTAATAAGGAGTAACTTACGCTACTTTTATTTTAGAAAAATAAAGTTAAATTCCACGCCGACGAAGTCGCGTGTACAGCTAGTAAACATATATAAACGTACTATATATATATAGTTAGTATAATTAGTAAATCACGGGATCTTACCACGTTTTATTTTTGTTGAATAGAATAGAATAGAATAGAAAATCTTTTATTCAAATAAACTTAATTTAAGCACTTTTGAATAGTCATAACAATTTGTTTTTTATCTACCACTCGTTCGGAAAGCTGTCTCATCACAAGAAGAACGAGCAAGAAACTTGTGTGTTGCTCTTTTAAATAATCCTTGTAAGTTTACATTTACAAGTCGAAACGTGTGAATACAAACTACCAACAAGCACTAATTTTTTGGGTCAAATATAATTGAGTTCCCGATATTTTACTGATTATACTTATAAATAATGACCGCGTCAAACTTAAACAGTATATAATATAGTTAGGTTTGCAGCACGACCTTCTCCTTATTAATCCATCAGGATCTCAGGTGTCGCTTGACCTTAGCTACAAGGATGACAGGATTCTGGCCATGCAGTACGGCTTAGTGCCCATGACGAAGTACAATGGATATAGGACAAAACTTTGAAAACCCGTCTCGTATATTCTCTATAGTTACATATTATTATTGTTATGAATCGTGATTTCTGAACGCATATATTTTGATACGTTTCCGAACGTAAAAATCTTGTAACCTGTATAGACATGTTACTTGCTTGAGAGACTTTTTTCGGACTACTCTAATGCTGTTCGCCGCAGTTGGTCTTTACAGCTTCACCGGACGATAGCGAGTGCAGATGTCACTCCAAAACTCGCGGAAGGACTTATGGAGCGCCTGAAGGCCAACTCCCACCTGACGGATATGACTTTAGTTTGAGGGCACCGTTAGGGGTTCGAACCACGGCTCAGGCCGGCGTAATTTCGATCCCCGCTTGAATTGGGGGATTGAGAGACTGCGTAATAAAAATAACCAATATAATATGCATGTATATCTATTTCCACCGCTCCAAAATTCCTTTCAGCCATTCAAAGGTTGACTAGAAGAAATCCCTCATTTCAGATAAGTCCGCCATTGTACAACGTATTTCTTCAGATCGTTCTATACTGTTATTTTAAATGAATTTACTGTACAATAATGTGTTACAAACAAACAAACAATTATAATAGTTACAAGTATATTTTATAGGTAGCTGCAGGTAGTTCATTAATCTTTGCGGTTTCTACCGAATTAACCAGTTTCGTAATACTTCCCTGAAACGTGTCTTTTTAGGACGTTTAAATTCAAAATATCTCTGTCATTTAGAGTAATGTAGACAAGGAATAAACATAGTGGATATTTTATCAGTGCAAGACGCTGATTCATACATCGGAATGTACTGATATTGGTGAAATATAGCTAATATATATACATACTTCGTCCGCCTGAAATACTGATGGATATCATTTTCAATTATTTAGGGATATTATAAAAAATTAATACATCAGAGGAATTACGAAAGTGGCGCCGGTGTCAGAGAGGTTGAAGAGTAATCGTCTATCTTTATCTATGGTATGGACATGTAATGCGTAGGAATGAGGATAATATTTTAAGGAAGGTGTTACATATGAATGTGGATGGTTATAAGGGCAGAGGAAGGCCGAAAAAGAGATGGATGGACTGTGTGAAAAATGATATGGTGAGAAAGGAAGTAAATAACGCGATGATTGCCAACAGGGATGAATGGAAGAGAAAAACATATTATGCCGACCCCAAATAAATGGGATAAGGAAGAAGCAGATTATGATGATGGTGCCAATAAGCCAAAGAAAGAAGTTTCATCGTTCTAGCTTCAAAAATGACGAATTTCCATACAAAACTCATTGGCTATTTTTTTTCACCCCTTAAGGGTAATTTTTTTTTTATATGTTATATATCATATTTAATGAACGGACAAAAAAATTTAAGCTTCTAGTTTTAAAAATGCTGATGCGTTCATACAACCTTTTATCTCCCCTTTCAAACTCTCACAACCATTTTCTCACATTTTCAAAAAGAAGCCTATATCATTTCTCATGGTCTAGATCTGTGTACCAAATTTCATTTAAATCGGTCCAGCAGTATTAGCGGAAAAGTGCGACAGTCCGATAGAGTTACTTTCTCATTTTTAGTATTAATGAGGATTGAGATATATATATCGTATTGAAATTGTTCCGTGTCCTTTTTTTTTGTTAAATCACAATGAAAACGGGTCTTAAATCACAAATATTAAAAAGACGTATTTACTCTACTGAGTTGTCAATTGTCAAAGTTCTTATTTGTCAACTTGAACTTGTCAGAACTGTCAAATTAAATCTGTTGTTGAATTGAACTTGAACGAAACCACTCGATTTCAACTTTCTTTTGCAAAATTAACTGCTCATCAGATATGATAATGTAAATTAGTTGCCCAATATCGTGGTCAGTGTTCGTCGCTACACGTTTATTGTGTCACAATGGGCGACAGTAGCGATTCAGACGAGTTCTATGATGCCGAGTTCATACCCATCGATGGTTCCAAGTGAGTACGAAATGTTTACACGACTCTTATATTTTACGATAAATACCTTATTTTAGGATCTAACACATATCTTAAAGACCGTTCACTGTGTATTAAATAGATATTGGTATTATTTTTGCCATAGAAATATGTCTTTTTGGTGATGAATTAATGTGAACTTTAGCTACCATATTTCGATGAATTAATCGTTTATCCTTGATACTGTATAGTTGATATAGACAATAATAGGCGTCATAATCTATACAGAACTATTTACATCAGCACAATATCGTAAAAAGGAACAAAACTAGAAATTAACAGATCTTGTTATTAACTTGATGAATTTTCAATAATAAGTTTAACAATATGTAAGATTGTTATCTTATAGTTGTTGTGTACACAAAAGTCCTCATATGTTACAATGACGATTGATGATTGGTGTTCATATAATCTAAAAATCATCTATAGGTACTATTGTCTGGTTATATTCATCATTTACTGATATATATCATTCGTCAGGTATAAAATACATTGTAAAATCTGTTAGCTACTAAGACCATGCAATATTATTTAGGTACTCGTTTATTAATTATAACACCATTATATCCTATTTACAAAGTGATCATTTAAACCTAATTCTATAGTAATTTGTTATATTTAATGAATAATAAATCATTGAATGGAGAGAATACCTATGTTACAGATGTTAGGGCCTATATTAATGAAATTCCACAGATATTTAATAAATATTATTATTAATATAATCTATTTTTACTCTTCTAGTGTATTATACCTTGCTTTTAAGCTCAAATAGAGGTTATAAAGTTTAAACTATGTTTGGTTTAGGTTTTTACAATAATACTCTTTAGTTTAAAATGGCAATATCTCTACATGGTATAAAACTCACTGTTGCTCTGTTTATTTCTATATAAAACAGCTGATTTTTCATAAAGTACTCACTATCATTTATGGAATGTTCTGGAACATTGAAATGTACAATATGTGCATATATACTCATATAAATAAATAACCCAGGAAAGTTCCTACAGCCATCTAGTACCGAGCTAAGTAGAGCTTATGATGAGATGACTGTTAGAAATAATTACATACTTTTCTTTTTTGTAAATACATACATATTATATATATAGATAACACCCAGACCAATACAAATCATTATACTCATGAATTCAAAAGTTTTTATCTAATCTATTGACAAAAGAAATTGCATAATTATCAATTTTGAAATTTGAAGAACTTTAAAGTCCATTTTTTGTAAATAATCCATTTTATAACATTAATGAATACATGTCAAAGTCATATTTAAAATTATCTTAATGTTAATGTTTACTGTTGATTTATTATTTTGTAACTGAGGAACTAAATGTGACCTGCTTTACAATCTTGATATCTTACTCTATGTTTATGTGCTAGACCACTGAGGATGTCAAGACAAATATAATAAAAAGATGCAATGCAATAATTAAACTAAGAAATATTAATTACATTTTCAGTTTAAAAGATACAACAGATTCGGCAGAAAAGAATCCAAGACAAAATAATGCAGCAGTAAAATCAGATGCACCGTCGCTAACTGTGTGTGGTTCGAGCACAGACAATTCTACAGTTGATGATGACAGAACCACAGTTAAAAGTGTTTGTATATTTGTTTATTTAAATATAATAGTTGTTACCTAGTGGTTGAAATTCAACTATAATTCTATATTATTAAGGTTCTATTATCAAAGAATATAAATAAAAGAGAATAATATTGTCTGTATGTCAAATGCATGGTAGTGTAATGTCTATTTTTTATTTTTTAAGCAATTTTGCAAAATAATTAGCTTTCTGCCATGCCTATATATACTTTAATTATGACAAAGTGTGTGTTGGGTTATCACTCTCATTACTCACTTACTATATCTGTTTGGGACATAAATAATTCATGTGGTTGGTCTAGAGCAGTGATTCCCAAACTGGTCTATAACGACCCCCAAGGGTCTATGACAAACTGCAAGGAGTCTACGACAGCAGTCATCTTGTTGTTTTTACTTTATAGTTTTAATACTAAACTTTATTACAGTTAGAAATTTACCAAAAATCAATACCAGGTAAGAATGGGGGGCCTACCTAAAACAGAAAAATATGACAAGGGGTCTACGACACAAAAAATGTTTGGGTACATCTGCTCTAGAGGAAGAACTACAAAATCAAAATAAAACTCCTTCAATAAACATTAATGTAGATTATGTTATTTGTTCTTTTAGTATAACACAATATGATAAACGTAAAAAATAGGGTACTTATTTTTTTAAACCCCACACAGAGAAATGCAAAGTAATAAAAATATATATATATATATATAACATATAAATTAATAACGCTATAAAAAAATAGGGGTTGATGATAGAAGGGTGAAAATTTAGGATTGTATGTATTTTTGTATGTTGTATCATAAAAAATTAGAAACAAAAAACTATACCCCTAACATTTAGGGGGACGAAAAATAGATGTTGGCCGATTCTCAGACCTACTCAATACGCTCACAAAATTTCATGAGAATCGGTCAAGCCGTTTCGGAGGAGTATGGGAACGATAACTGTGACACGAGAATTTTATATATAAGATTATGGAATGATTCATGCGCCTATGCTAACAGTTTATGCTGACGAGGCATCACTGGAGGATGATAAAATGAGCATGAAGTCAGGTCAAGCTAAAATGGGCTAACTTGGCAAATGGCAATTTACCAGGATAGTTTCCTTGAGGAACCGTAATGGAGGTCAACCTGACATGGTACCTTGCTAGCAATGGGGTTAAAAAGTCCATGTCATGAACAGGTGCTGCTTGTGGGGACTGGTCTGTTCGGGTTACGAACACTGATTAAACTATTTGCTATTGCAATAGCATATAGCACTTTATTGTTCCAAATTTGAATTTAAAAAATGGATCTGTATTATTAAACACGTACAACATTTATTTGAAAAGAATACGAGCTGAGTTTCTAGTCAGTTGTTCTCATCTGGAATTCAATCCGAACTGACGGTAGATGTGACATATCATAAGAGTCCAGAGAGATTTGACATATCGTAATAGACCTATATAAGTAAAGATATTTTGTATTTGAATATTACTGACTACAACCTCTTTCTCTACTTTTAGGTAGTACAGGGCCGCAAACGATTTCAAGAGTTACGCAGATGTATGCAGACAGAAGATGACGACGAGGATGTCACAGATGCCGTCAGTTCAATTGACCATCAAGCATTTGCCATGGAACGGCCATTCAAGTAAGTTGTATGAAAGTAAAGCTTACTTCATACAAATATTATAAACACTGAAGTTTGTGAGTGTGGATGGATGTTTGTTACTCTTCCACGCAAAAACTATTGGTTGGAATTTAATTAAACTTTCCAATAATATAGGTTATACATCAGAATAACTCATAGGCTATGAATTTCACGAGGTTGAAACCGCGGGCAGAGATAGAGTTCCACTAAATACCAATGATTGGATTTTTTTATTATTAGAAATGGGTTTCGTTTTACCTAATCTGGTGAGAATCTGCTACATCATGTACCACGCTTAGAATAGAATAGAATAGAAAATCATTTGTTCAAATAAACTTATTTAAGCACTTTTGAATAGTCAACGTTTTTTTAAATCTACCGCCTATTCGGAGCTGTCTTATCACAAGAAGAATAAGCAAGAAACTTGTGTGTTGCTCTTTTAAACAATCCTTGTAAGTTCACATTTTACAAGTCGAAACGTGTGAATACAAACTACCAACCAGCACTAATTTATTTAGGCTCAAATATAGAAACACAATAAGATTAAACTTACCCAGAAGAAAGAAGAAACAAATCTAAAATTACTGTGAAAAAGGCGAGCACAATAGATCTATATACGTCGCAGTGCTACAGGTCCAAACATCTGACAATAGTCCAAACAACCCAATAAAAAAAGTTTATAATTGTATGGACTACTTTGAGAAACCCATGTGTTATATTTATAGTTTTTTTTTTCAATATTTTTAGGATCATAGCACACGATACTATGAGCTTGCAAAGTATGACGTCACTAGGAAGGATTGGAAAGATACTGAGTGGGGCTGCAGAATCGCATCGTAAGTGGTCTTATAGTTTTTTTGAAAAGGCAATTTTCGTGAACGGTTTTTGCTTTTGGGGTCTGGTATTTTCGGGTTTCTTTCGCCCACTGATTAAATTATTTCCTTTGGACAAAAAAGAAATAATTCAATCTAAATTTAATTTAATTTATAATTTAGTTTAATTAAAAAGTGAGTCTGTATTTTTGTAATCATATACAGGTCATTTGAAAAGAATAAGAGCCGAGTTCCCTGTCACTTCTTTGTAGCTCAAAAACGCTCAGAATTGACGGTAAATTTTACATATTATGAGAGTCTGTAATAGACTTGCATAGAGATATTTTAATTTAGATATCATTGTAAAGCTATTGAAGAACTGTTTAACTATACTAATAAATGTACTGAAGGGAAATCTAAGATAATTTATGTTAGTTTGTAGGTAAAAGGTATAGTCAAAAATACGTGACCGATTTTAAAAATTCTTTCAGTTATAGAAGGCTAATATCCCGAGTAACTTGGTGTATAATGACGACTTCGATGGTCTAGTCTAGTCTTGGTTTTTCTTCATAAGATCGCAGGTTCTATTCCTGGCACAGTGTAAATATTTGTATTCATAAGTATGATTGCTTGTATTGGTCTGGGTGTTTTCTATGTATATTATGTATTTACAAAAAAACTATGTATGCATGGTGTTAAGTCGGCGGACTTAACACCAAATGTACTGTGCTATATATTCTATTGTGTGCATTAAAGTTAAATAAATAAATAAATGTATACTAGTACATACATAGTATACATAGAAAACACAATGAATGTATTTACATCACTCATAACTAGATCACACTGTGTAAATCGTCCTAGGTTATTATGTTTATAATATAAGCTGAACATTTGTCTCAGAAAAGACGACAAAATCACAGATAACATATTTTGTACAATAAATATCCCTTGTCTAAACAACTAACGCCTGACTAATATAAAAGTGACAATGACTTTGTTTGTTTACTGTATTTACTCCGTTCTTCAACATTATCTACGTTAATAACTACCTTTACACGACACGTTCTATCACGCGCAATCACGAGTGCTAACGGCTTAACGCTATAGGAAAGCGCGCGCATCGTCCTCTCCAATCGATCCCGCGTCCAATTCAAAAGGGGATCGAAATTATGACGGCCTGAACCGACGTTCGAACCCCAGCTGTGCCCTCAGACTAAAGTCGTATCCGTCAGGCAGGAGTTGGCCTTCAGCCGCTCCATAAGTCCTTCCGCGGGTTTGGAGTGCCATCTGCACTAGCCCCCTATCGTCCGGTGAAACTGTAAAGACCAGTTGCGACCAACAGCAGAGTAGTCCGAAAAAGGCGCTCAGTCATGGGTGATTGCCTTTAATTATTTTTTGTATTAACTCTTGTTAACTCTTGTTGTCTTAATTATTTTTTGTATTGCGCATGATAGCGCGTAGATTTCATGTCATTTCACTTACTTTTAAAATTTTATGTTTTATTCCACAATTTTATTTACCAAAGACAAGTTAAAGATTATAAATAACTCTACAATTCTGACTTTTCCATAGTCATATGTGCGCTATTTTGCAATGATAAATAATTATTTAAAAAAGATACGAAGCACGCACGATTGAAGGACGCGGGAATGCTCTCGCTGGAGGCGTGTGCAGTCTTTCTCGTTCTCTTTTTCTACATTTAGACGAGCATGCATGGCAATAGTTGTTCATACACGGGATTTTCATTTAATGTTAGACATAGACACCTATATAAATATATATTGTAAATAAACTGGTTTTTTTTTTAAAGTAATTTAATTGAGTTTGTTGACAGTTCTTTTCAATTGGATCTAAACCGGCTTTAAAAAAAAAGTAATTCAATTGAGTTTCTTGCCAGTTCTTCTCAATTGAATCTATATACTGAACTGGAAGGTAGATAAATAATTATAATATAAAAATTCTGACGTTCATAAGTAGCTAAAATGTCCTACATGAATAAATTATTTTCCAATTTGAATTTGAATTTATGTGCTCATAATTTCCTGTGTGAAAGCCAATTCGGACGTGACTCTTTCACGCGCGAATCGGCTTTCACGCAGGTAGGCACGTACATGTAAAGACAGCTATTAGTAAATAATGTTGTCGTTATATTTTACACTGTATTTCAGCAAATCTACGAGACCCGGTCCCATCAGTGTCGACCCCGTCCAGAGAACCGTCTACCACATCCGACGACCCGCTGCCCACAGATAATAGAAGTCTGAACGGTGAGATAAATAAACATTTCTTCTAACAATCTATCTTTATCTATTTGTTTTTAACATTCCTACATTGTGACGTAGTTGCTTGTTCTCATTTGCTATTGTATATTGAGATATATATACATATATAACACTCTTATCTGTCTATATACACATACTAATATACTAAACATAGAGAGAGTGGATTATTTTATGAATAATGGAAACTCCGGAATCACTGCGTCGATTTGAAAAATTCATTAACTGTTTTAAATGTACCTTATTCCAAAGGAGCATATTATATATGTTTTATTGAAGTACGAGGCGTCATCAGGCATTGTATAGGTCGCCTATATATACTACTAGCTGAGCCCGCGATTTCGACCGCGTTTTATAGTAGACCTTGACCAAGTAATGAAAAAATATTTAATAATATAACTTAAAAGAGCCAAAGAAAAAAGTTTCATCGTTCTAGCTTCAGAAAAGACGATTTCCCATACAAACTTTTATCCCTTATTTTATTTTACTCTCTTAAGGATAACATTTTACAAACTTTGAATGTCATATATATTTATATTTAATCACTAAGTTTCAAGTTAGTAACAAATTAGTTAAAGATAATAATGTTTTTATAGAAAAACTTTAAATCCATAGCACTGACAATATTATCTGATTACACTAATAATGAGTACGTAGCGATTTCTATGTTGATTATCGCATGCCTCTTACTTGTTATACTGTAATTATTTATATAAAAAACATCTATCAAAAAGAGCTACACACAAGTTTCTTGCTCATTCTTCTTGTGATGAATCTGCATTCCGAATGAGTGGTAGAATCGAAATATGACTATTCAAAAGTGCTTGTAATGAGTTTATTTGAATAAAGATTATTTCTATTTCTATTTCAATTAGTTAGTAAAAACAATAAATTTCAAGCTTCTAGCTTTAAAAATGACGATTCTTCTATCCAATCTTTCTTCTCTCTTTTCAACCCCTTACAACCCTTTTTTCGTATTAAAAAGTGACCTGTGTCCTTTCTCAGGATCTAGTCTATCTGTGTACAAAATGTAATTTAAATCGATTCAATAGTTTTGGCGTGAAAGCAAGACAGACAGACAGAGTAACTTTCGCATTTATAATATAATAAGACAGTATATCCTTACTTATTATCTCGTTACCATTCATGTTCAGAAGTTATGGTGACTACTTACCCTTGGGTGGGACCTCAGCTTGTTTACCTTTCGTACCTAAAAAAACTGAACTTCATTACCGTCCGTTGGTTGCAGCGTTAGCGACGGCGGAGCCCGACGTGATAGCGAGTACGAAGGCGAATAGCTTGAAGCATAACCGCGGCGCTGGCGCCATCGTCGCCATGTCGGGCTCCCGCGCCGCCAGCGCAGCCCCCGCGGGCGCCGCCTCCGGCCCCGTCGCGCCCCCGCGCAAGAAAAAACGCAGTGAGTCCAACACGAGTCTTTATCTTATGACTAGCTGTGCCCGCGTTTTGACCCGCATGAAATTTATATCATATATCTTATTCTGATGTATAAGCTATATTACTGTAAAGTTTTATCAAAATCCGTTCAGTAGTTTTTGCGTGAAAGAATAACAAATATATAAAACTATTCTCACAAACTTTCGCGTTTATAATATTAATAAGATAATGTAATGGTGCTTCCGCCTGCGCTAGTGGTTTACGCTGGCGGCACCAGTGGAGGATGATAAAATGAGCATGAGGTCAGGTCAGTTAGCCCATCCTGATAAATTCACCAGGAGTTTAGGATGACGATTTCCAGGAACGTCGTGGAGGTCAACCTGACATGGTACATTGTTAGCAATAGGGTTAACAATACCCTTTCCCCATGAGTGTTTATCAAACTTCCGAATGATATTATGCCTACTCTTTTTTCGGACTACTCTAATGCTATGATATGATGAGCATGAGGTCAGGTCAGTTTACCCATCACAGGAAATTCAATCAGGAATTTAACACGATGCTTTCCATCGGGAACTGCCTGAACGTCAACCTGATAATAAGATGAGCATGAGGTCAAGTCACTTAGCCCATCGTGGCAAATTCACCGGAAATTTAACATGATGGTTTCCAGGGAAAACCGCTTATCACAGGATACAATCAGTTTATTAATCCAGAAATAGAAAATCATTTATTCAAATAAACTTACATTGAAGCACTTTTGAATAGTCATTACATTTTTTTAATCTACCGCTCATTCGGAAAGCTGTCTCATCACAAGAAGAACAAGCAAAAACTTGCGTGTTGCTCTTTTAAATAATTTTATTTTTACTTTACATTTTTAAGTTTAAGTGTGTGAAACTAATTCAATTAAATACTCAAATAGAAAAAATATTGAATATATAACCAACTGGTTAAACAGAGTTTATTAATCCATATTACTAACTCTTTCCACTAAAATGAATAATTTATTCACTATTAAAAAGTGCATAAATTCTATTAAAATTAATTTTTAATCATTTATTCTGTTCATTGCAAATCATATATGATCATTTTGCACTAATATTTTATAACTATACGGGACGGGACGGAATTTAATAAGTTAAATCATAAACAGTTGTTTTTAGATAATTTATTATATTACTTACCATATTAATTTACTTCTTGTCAGCGTAGAAGTTAGAAAACTTAGAAATTCTGTTTCTGTTTTTGTTTCCAAATACTTTTCATAAAATTGGAATATTGAAATTATTTATCTTTATATAAATAAAACAAATTAACATAAAATTTCGCACAACGGCCCTGATGAGAGACTAAATGTGGACATGTAGAGTCCAATTACATTTATGACATCAAATTTAAAATTAATAGTCTGTCTTTAATTATATATATTAAGTTAATATTAATATATAAATGAATGACTCAATTTAAAATTAATTATTATCTTAACAGGAAAATATAACCAGGCCTCTGAATGACTAATATTATATATTACATTATTCATATGTCAAAGTAACTCTGATTGTTGCTAGAAGTGCTCCACAGTATATCATATATTTATATATTTATTGCTTTGTTTACACCAGTTTTGTTATGTGTTTTGTAATAATTACTAAATTAATATAACTGTAAGTATATTAACTATTTTGACGGCCCCGATGGTCTAGCGGTATAGTACACAGCTTTAGTTTCAATGGTCGCGGCTTCGGTTCCTCGCACGGTACAAACATTTATTCATAAGTATGATTGTTTGTATCGGTTTAGGTGTTTTCTATGTATTAACAAAAAATAATGTATTTATATCAGTTGTCTAGTACCATAACACTAGTCATGCTTACTTTGGGACTACATGGCACTGTGTGAATAGTCCTGAGATATTATTATTATTTAGTATTTTTATTCAGTAGTTTGTTATATAGTTGATAGTAGAGAACATTTTAAGGATTTCTGAAGTGAGTTGTTTACTTCCGACACTATTACTAATTTTTTTAATAATAATAATATCTCAGAACAATTCAAGCAACGCCATCTAGTCTCAAGCTAAACATAGCTTCTGTTATTGGTTCTAGACAACTGATATTAAAGCATAATACATTTATTTTGCTTTAGTGGTCTAGCGACAGACTAGCTTCAGACCAGCCGTGTTTTAGTTGCTAGGGGTAGTTCACCCCTAAATAAAAAAAAATAGGGGTTGATGATAGAAGGGTGAAAATTTAGGATTGTATGTATTTTTGTATGTAGAAACTAAAAATTTTGTCTAAAAAATAAAAAAATAAAATTTAGGGTTGGACTACCCCTAACATTTAAGGGGATGAAAAATAGATGTTGGCCGATTCTCAGACCTACTCATTACGCTCACAAAATTTCATGAGAATCGGTCAAGCCGTATCGGAGGAGTATAGGAACGAAAACTGTGACACGAGAATTTTATATATAAGATATATGTAGAGTGAAATCATACCATAAGAGGAGTATTTTAAATACATTTTTTTTTTTTTAAGTAAAATAACCTGCAACCTAGTCTAGACATTTTTATCATGGTCCTAAATTTCAGAATAACATAAGATTATAGTTTACCTGTATTTAAAGATTATATACAAAAAAAATTAAGATTCTTTGTAGGCACTAATTCTTTCTAAACATTACTGTCAGCGCCGCACTACACCAGGTGTCTGAGCGCAACCGATGGCGACAGCTGGTCGACAAGATACTGTAGAGTCGCGATCCTCAGCAGTGAGGGAACGATTAAGAAGAGTATGTACTAATACTTGTGATGTTGGTGAAAATGGGGGAGGGGGTTGTCCTAAACCTCACTACGTCTCACCAAGTGGTAGGGGGTAAAAATGGCAACGCACGTGTTACACACGTCCGTGATAACGTCATGTCCATGTTTATAGGTAGCCTAGCCGTTTAAATTGCATTAAAAAATTGTATGATACCTTTGTAACAGATAAACTACACGGCTCGCAGTCACTGTCCATAGCGGATAGTGACAACCTGAGTGTGTGCACCACAGACACGGACGAGTACCGGTACGTGAGGCGAGCTACCATAGACAAGCCGCAACTCGACTCGCTACTAGTGGAGGTACCTGTGTTTTTTTTTTCTGAATTACTAGTTGTTTCCGTTTGGTTTTTTCCATCAATCCTCTTAATGATAAAATAATTCAAATAACTGTTGAAAAAATGTAATACTGTTAATAATATTAATTATGTCTCTGGACAATTCACACAGCGCCCTCTATTCTCAAGCTAAGCTTGTGCTATGGTTACCAGACCACTCATTCACTCATATAAATACTTAGATACATTTTTTTTGTAAATACATAGAAAATACTGAGAACAATACGAACAATTAAACGCATAAATACGAATGTTTGCATTGTGCGAGGAATCGAACCCGCGACTATCAGAAGCAAAGCGGTGTGCTACATCGCTATACCACCGAGGCTGATATAAATAAAACAAAAATGCCAGTGAATCATCATGTGGAAAAAAATATGATATAATAGGTTCATGTACCTATTGAATTGATGCTCGTTATTTACTCCCTATCTTGCCATATTATCTTTCATACGTTATTTTATTTCAGCCGTCTGTATCGAATTCGTTAAACCAAACAATGTCATTACCAAGTCCGGCCAGCACAATAGAATCACTCACAAGGGAATTCCAAGATTCACTCGAGTTGTCACAATCCAAATATGGTAAGTCAAACTCATTATATCACTGCTGCTTTATTTGAAGTTACACTGCATCGTCACTTGACCTGTCATTGTGAACAAACGCGCTCAAATCTATACATATAAATCATTCTTTATGTGTATAGTGTAAGATTTGAATTTGAATTTGAACATTTTTTATAATTTTTGTCTGTCGGTCTGTTTGTTCCGGCTAATCTCTGAAATGGCTGGGCCGATTGTGACGGGACTTTTTTGGCAGGTAGCTGATGTAATAAGGAGTAACTTAGGCTACTTTTATTTTAGAAAGTATCCTTTATTTTAGTAAAATAAAGTTAAATTCCACGCGGACGAAGTCGCGGGAACAGCTAGTTATGTAATAAAAAAAAAAAATTGCGAAGTTAAATCTTTCTGACACGAAAATACTTTTACTTTCAACATACTTGCAAGGAAACAATAAAAATCATGATATTATATACTTTGTACATTTTGACACTGCGCACTGACTGCAGCTCGGCGGTCTTACTTACAGACTTACTACTTTCTTTACTAGAATTATAAATTAAATTATACATGTATATACAAATACACATACTCATACATATATACACTCAATGGCGGATCCGGGGGGGGGGGGGGGGGGGGGGGGGGGGTCATGGGGGTCAAGACCATAATATCCCCCCTGAGCTGGTTCCAGGACTCAGGTGGACCACTAATTGAACATAATGATTTTATTTATATATTTTGACAACATACAGATTTTATGTAACTACATACCTTCAATATTTAATTAATTATATTTAAATAGTTTCTCTGGATGTCTTCAAGAGAAGATGGTAATATGTTCGTGTCTATATACAAGTTATTATGTGTTAAGTTTTTCAAGTGTACAATAAGGAATAAATACTTTTAAGTACAGTACTCACGTACATTAATAAAATACCTACTTTTTACTTGTATCTATTGTTATCAAAATCTTCTATATAAAATTCTCGTGTCACAGTTTTCGTTCCCATACTCCTCCGAAACGGCTTGACCGATTCTTATGAAATTTTGTGAGCGTATTGAGTAGGTCTGAGAATCGGCCTAGCGCCATGACCACGACTATGTGACCCCCTCCTGGCGCCATGACCACGACTATGTGACCCCCTCCTGGCGCCATGACCACGACTATGTGACCCCCTCCTGGCGCCATGACCACGACTATGTGACTCCCTCCTGGCGCCATGACCACGACTATGTGACCCCCTCCTGGCGCCATGACCACGACTATGTGACCCCCTCCTAGCGCCATGACCACGACTATGTGACCCCCTCCTGGCGCCATGACCACGACTATGTGACCCCCTCCTGGCGCCATGACCACGACTATGTGCTCACTCCTGGCGCCATTACCACGACTATGTGACCCCCTCCTGGCGCCATGACCACGACTATGTGAGCCCCTCCTTGCGCCAAAGCTGGATCCGCTCTTGTATACACTTACATTTATGTTACGTAGGTAAATATAATTATGTATACCATTGCAGCCCTAGAGCAGGCTTCGTCAGCTCACGAGCACAATAGTCCGGGCTCGCGGCGTCCAACTACGCACCGTACAGACTCCGCCCTCGACGCACAAGATGCAGCTAAAGGTACGTACATACGCAAACAGAACGGCCTCGGTTGTTTAGCGGGTTCACTACACCGCTCTTAATTACGGTGGTCGCGGGTTCGATATCTCGATGTATATATACTTGTTTCGTTCTGCAGTTACATTAATTAAATTACGACCTCGGTGGTCTAGCGGTCTAGCACACCGCTTGTTCGATGGCGACGATGGTCGCGGGTTCGATTTCTCGCACGTTACAATCATTTCTATTCATTTATGCTTTGCAGTAATATAGATTATAAATTACTTTTAGTAGAATAATACAATATAAAAAAATGTTTAAGTATTTATATCAGTTGTACCAATAATACAAGTTGTGATTAGCTTGAAACTAGATAATGTTCTGTGGCTTATCTTGATGTTATTGTATTATTATTATTCTATAAAACGTGAGTCCCTCGCATTCATATTCTATAATTTTACAGCCATATGTAACTCTTCTTTTTTGTTTATTGGAAAGAATGCAACAAAACGCAGTAAAAGTTAAATATCATTGTAAAATTGTTTATATAGAACTAGCTACTCGGCCTGGCTTCGCCCGGGTGTACACGTATTATACATATAAACCTTCCTCTTGAATCACTCTATCTAATAAAAAAAATGCTTTATAATCCGTTGCGTAGTTTTAAAGATTTAAGCATACATAGGGACGGACAGACGGCGGCAGCGACTTTTTTTTATACTATGTAATAATGATACAATGAAATGAAAAAGTATTTATTTAAAGTCAATTACGTGTAATAATTAGTAATAATGCGTAGGAACGAGGATAATATTTTAAGAAAGTTGTTACAAATGAATGTGGATGGTTATAAGGGCAGAGGAAGGCCGAAAAAGAGATGGATGGACTGTGTGAAAGATGATATGGTAAGAAAGGAAGTAAGTAACGCGATGACTTCGAACAGGGATGAATGGAAGCGAAAAACATATTACGCCGACCTCAAATAAATGGGATAAGGAAGAAGCAGATGATGAATTACGTGTAATAATTAGGTTATTTGTTGTCAGGGAATGAAATCCGGGAAGAAGAAAGAAGTCGCGGCTCGATACGAACTCACAGCGAAGGAAGGTCCTCGCATTCCAGCCTTGGGAATACGCACAGGTCTGGTATTTCTTATTGTGGACTAGTTGTACACGCGAATTCGTCCGCCTGGAATTTAACTTTATTTTTCTAAAATATACCTTTATTTACTCCTTATTACATCAGCTACCTGCCAATAAAAGTCCCGGCAAAATCGGTCCAGCCATTTCAGAGATTAGCCGGAACAATCAGACAGACAGACAGGCAAACAAAAATTGCAAACAATTTTTGTATGTACCGTATTTATATATGCATGTGGTAAAAAACGGTTATTTCAAATATTACAAACAGATATTCCAATTTTATTTATATGTAAAGATGATGATGGAACGGTGAACCCGCCAGCGCCGGTGGAAAGGGTATTGTTAGTAATGTGGACTCATGACCCTATTACTAGCAATGTACGATGTTAGGTGGACCTCCACGCGGTTCCCCCTGGATACCATCGTGATAAACGTTCCCGGTGAATTTGTCACGTTGGACTGACTGACCTGACATTTTGATAAAACTTTGCAATAATATACTCTAATCACTATGACTTATTTTCTCTTATTAATTGTTTAACCAGTTGTTGTATATTGAATGTTTTTTTTTTCTATTTTATTATTTCATTGAATTAGTGCTAATCGGTGGTTTGTATTCACACACTTAAACTTAAATTGTAAGTAAGAATAAATTATTTAAAAGAGCAACACACAAGTTTCTTGCTTGTTCTTCTTGTGATGAGACAGCATTCCGAATGAGCAGTAGATTAAAAAAAAATGTTATGACTATTCAAAAGTGCTTCAATGTAAGTTTATTTGAATAAATGATTTTCTATTCTACTCTATTCTATAGCTTATGCATCAGAATAACATAAATGGCTATGTTTTATATTGAAAAATTACGCGAGTGAAAGCGTTGGCACTGCTAGTATAAATACATGTGTGGTATAAAGATGACATTGTGACATCGTTGGTGACAGACGCGGCACGCTGGAGCGCGGCGGCTGTGGCGGCGGTGGTGGCGGTGGTAGCGGTGGTGTGGGTGGTGGCTCCCGTCGTCGGTCCGCAGGAGACTCCCCCGCCCTGGGGCTGTCACTACGGACGCGCACCACGTCCGGACACCAGCTCTCGGACATCGAGATCCTCGAGCAGGTCACCGTGCTCAACCTCGACACCGGTACTCCACATACCCATATTACTATTCTTACTAATACTCGTAACCAATAACTTGTGAAGACACTAGGAGACTTCTGCGCTTTCGAGAGGAGCTTGGCTGGCTACTCTAGTAATATCGGCTCTACACGCACAAGGGCCCAAATGAGAGGCCGATTGCGGAAAATGGATTCCAACATACAATACAATACTCTTATTATAAACGCGAAAGTAACTCTACATGTCTGTCTGTCGTAATTTGGTACACAGCTAGTCTAGATCCTAAGAAAGGATAAGCTACTTTTCATTTCGAAGAAAGGGTTGTAAGAGGTTGGAAGGGGAGATAAAATCTGTATGAAAGTATTGTCATTTTTAAAGCTATAAGCTCGATACTTATTTTTTAGGCTCTTGATTAAATATAAATAAAGGAAAAGGGTTGTAAGGGAACGAAAGGGGAGATGAAAGGTTGTATAGAAGTATCGTTATTTTTCAAGCTGTAAGTTATATTTTAGGCTTTTTGCAACTTATACTTTAGGCTGTTGATTGAGTTGTATAGAATTCTGTATGGAAATTTTGACATTTTTGAAGTTACAACGATGACTACTTTACAGCTAGTAATCTATACTTGAGTTCCAGGCGGAGATGAATCTATATTTACATTTAAACAAAAACCTAAGAAATTTTATTAATAAATCATATTTCCACACGACCATCTGAAGTAACGTACACCAATTACCAACGTACACAATTCAGACAGCGCCATCTAGACCAGAATTAAGCTGGCTGAAGCTTGTGTTATTGGTACTAGATACAAATATATAGATTTTAGATCTGAAGTAACGTGCACCACGTTACCTCAGATGGTAAATGGTAAAAATGGGCTAAACCACTAGACTACTGAAGTCGTTGTTTTAAATAAAGAATTTTCTAGAGTCTTCCTTGTTCGCAGGAGAGCGTGTACCTCTGAGTGTAGCAGAACACAAGTTACCGCAGTGTATAAACCCATTGAGCCTTCACATCATGCGGCTCACGTCGGAGTATATAGGACGCGCTAACGACGACGACAACGCCAGGTGACACAACATTATTTATTTTAATTTCAATGCACAAAAATAATCTGTACGGTGTAAATGGCGGACTTAACACCTTGCAGCGTTATCTACCGGGCAACCATGAGTGCTGCAGAGAAAGATTGTTGCAGTGCACTAATATATAAATGAGACTTGACTGAAAATATATATAAATTTGTAATAAAATATATAAATATGTAGGTAAATACTGTATATGAATAAATACTTAATCATCTGACAATTAAATTATAAGACAAAAAATGGAGTAACTAAACAAAAATTATAGATATTCAGAGAGAACTATTATTACTCCTTACTATATACTACCCATCTGCCACTGTGCACAATATTCAGATACCCCTAAAGTTTAGGGGTATCAAACGTGCACTAACCAATGTGTGTTAGGCCCTAAAACAATAGAGCCGCTATGTGTGGAAGCGAGAAGGGAAACAACGCAAGTCTTATACACGTCTCGCAAAAATTAAGGGAACAGAATTTTTTTCCAAATTTATGGGTGATTTTCAACAGGCTCCATTTTAGTGAAAAATGGTCGTACAGAAAATATAATGAATAATATAATAAGCTCTTGAAACTTGAACATTCTAGTTTTCCGATTTTTTGGGTAAAATTTATTAAGAGCTCCGTTTCTCATGCAATCTTGAAAATTTTTTATATATGTTTTGTTTTTTACTCTATGGTGATAGAAAAAAAAATTGAACTACGCCAATACATGAGCCGCACAGTCTGCTTATTCAGCTTCAAGGTGCTTTTTTCAGCACCCCGATACGACCATTTCTCTCTGAGATATTGAATTTTGAATACAAAAATGTTCTTGCGAGAGGTGTATATTCAAATGTATTCAATTAAGTACTAAAAATTGTAAAAGTATAAATGAAACAAAACAATTGGTAATACGCTGTCTTTCTCCCATCTTTTCCTATCCGTTATATGTTGGAAGCGATATAAAAGGCAAAAGATTCAAATTTATCGACAATATATTTTTTTTCAATTTATATTTTTTTGCAGCGCAAACTTCAATTATAAGCTGCTATATATCAACTAACTGCATGTTATAAAACTAACATTTTCAGCGAACAGAAAACGATAAGGGTTAAGAAAAACTGGCGCAGCCATATGTCGTTACTATATGCCACTGCGTTTGGCCCCATGAGGCCGCCCTTGCTGTTACGAGGGGCTAAATCTAACACCATTAAATATAGGTTTTTATGTTTTTTGACGGGTGTTTTGACTAATCATGGGATCTATCACGGATATCATTGACTGATCATGGCTTGGGTCTGGTCTATCGATCTATTAAATGCATTGTGATGAATTCATCTTGTCATCATCACTATTTGTGATAAATGTCGTCATCATCGTGTTTTTATTCAGTAAGGTTGTGGTTTTATTGGCATTTAATCATTCTCAATCGCCACGAATCCTCAAATCGTGATATATGAGAGACTTAGATATTCATAATAATCATAAAAAGTGGTTATATATAACTTTTTACTTTGTTCCATCAGATTTTCGTATGTACTTTTTGTTGATTTGCAATTGTATATAAAAATGTGTGGTAATAACTTGTATTTATTTATTTATTTATGATACGTAGATTATTAGAGGTATAACAAAACTTGTATTTTATATTTGAAAATTCTACTAAAAGTAATAATAATAAAGTGGATAATCTCAGGACAATTCACACAGCGCCATCTAGACCAGAGTTAAGCTGGCTGAACCTTGTGTTATTAGTACTAGATACAAATATATAGATTTTTTTTTCGTAAATACATACATACTCGTATTATATGTACATAGAAAACAACCAGACCGATACAAACAATCATACTCATGAATATAAATATTTGTGCCGTGCGAGGAATTGAACTCGCGACCATCGGAAGTAAGGCCGTGTGCTAAACATGTAGACCACCAAGGCCGTCAAAAGTTATTATTATAGAACTTTTTTGACAGCCTCGGTGGTCTAGTGGTTTAGCATATTTAAATTGATTGTTTGTATCGGTCTGGGTGTTTTCTAATAATAAGTATTTATTTACAAAAAAAAATCATCCATGTATTTATATCAGTTGTCTAGTACCCATAACACAAGCTCTGCTTAACTTGGGACTAGATGGCGCTGTGTGATTTGTCCTGAGATATTATTATTAACTTATATTATGGTCGAATTTAATAATTTAAATTAATATAATCATAATTACATAGTATAAAACAAAGTCGTTGTCGCTGTCCGTCCCTATGTATGCTTAAATCTTTAAAGTTAGCTCTAATTCTAAATTTATATATCTAATACATTGATCATAGAGTACTTTATTACCTGTATTTATACCACTAATTATTATATATGTATTATAAATACATATTTCATAGATCATAGATCACAACTTGTAATACTCCACTAAAGAGTCATAACATCGAAATCAACTGTCAGTGTGGTTTATATTAGCTTTTTGTAACATTCTTTATTATTTTGTTATCTTCTTATCCTTTCTTATTTGTGTGGCGATGGAAACATATGTATCATTTGTAAAGTGTTAAATTTTAATATGTCAGTTTGTTTGTGTGTTTATAGGGAGACAGACGAGGAGAGTGAGAGCGTATCCGCTGGCGGCGCGGAAGGAGAGACAAAAGAAGCGAAGCGAGAGGCCGACCGGCAGACTACAGGAATACGTAGAAAAACTGACAAGTGAGATCTCATATCTTTTATATACCTTTTTTTATTTAGTACCAACTGTCACCGCGACTTCGTCCGCGTATTATAATAACCTTGACGAAAGATGGAAAAAATATTCAATTATTTAACCCAAAATTGCCAAAAAAAGTTTCGTCTATTGATTCTAGCTTCAAAAATGAAGATTTTCTGTACAAACTTTCATCCCCTATTTTATTTTACCCTCTCAAGGGTTACAAACTTTGAATGTCATATTTATCTATATTTAATCAATAGCCTAAAAAGTAAGTTTTAAGCTTCTAGCTTTAAAAATTACGATACTTCCATACTTCATCTCCCCTTTTAACCCCTTACAACCGTTTTTCCGCATTAAAAATAGTCTATGTTCTTTATCAGGGTCTAGAATATCTGTGTACCAAATTTAGGTTTTGGCGTGAAAGCGAGACCTACAGACAGACATGTTACTTTCACATTTATAGTACTAGTAAGGAAGTAAGGATAATAATGTGCTCAGGTAATGCTACGGCCAACAGCATTAGAGTAGTTAAAAAAAACCTGGAAGTGGTAAAGTATAGTCTAAACTACCAGTCCATACAATTATATTAATTTATTTATTTTTAGCACACAAAACAAATTACGATTATTACAAGAATTTGATTAGGAGTTTGTAGTTTACAAAACTGGATTGTAATCCAACACTATGAATATAGCTAAATTATATAGATGAATGCAATATACGCTAGATCATATGATATAATATATATATGACTTATTTTATTTCTCCTCACAAACATGATGGTAACAATACATGTAGTATTCTTTATAGTAAAATACTTAAATTTATTATTTGAATCGATTGGTGTGAGGAGCTGGTGTCTGCAATAGGCATAACCTGTAATACAGATCACCCAGATAAGGACAGATAATAAACAGTACACTATATATCTGTACTAGCTGCCCCGCGCGACGTCATCTGCATCACACTTAGGGGCTGTTCAAGTATTACGTAAGCAGATTTGTCACAATTATTTACCCCCCATGTCAGCCAGTAAGCAAAGCTCTTACCCCCTCCCCCCATGCTTACGTAAACATTTCTCAATTAATGTATATAATGTGTATTCGTGTTTAAATTACGACCGATGACGTAATCATCATACTCCCCCACCCCCATGTCATCCAAAATAAGCAAAGGTAAAATCCTTATATACAATTTATATAATATATTTTTAAATTATAGCATATATGATATTTTACCTCCTTAAGGGTAAAATTACAAACTTTGAATGTCACATTTATTCATATTTAATCGACAGCCTCAATAAGTTTCAAGCTTTTAGCTTCAAAAATGACGAGTCTTCCATACAATCTTTCATCCCCACTTTCAACCCCTTACAACCCTTTTTTCGCATTCAAAAATAGCCTATTCTCAGGGTCCAGACTATTTCTGTACCAAATTTCATTACGTCGGTTCAGTAGTTTTGGCGTGAAAGCGAGACAGACAGACAGACAGAGTTACTTTTGCATTTATAATATTAGTAAGGATTATAAATTGCTTATGGATTTGAAAAGTCTATAAGAATAACACATGGGATTGAGTATTTGGAATGTATTGTAAATATTTATTTAAAATACACTCCAGGGAGCCACTCAGCATAGTGAAAAGTCATTCACAAGGCGACATAAACGTCAAAATGAAGCACGACGCAAACTTCAGGTGATACGGGCAGTGACTAACGGTTTCAGATCCATGCCTGTAATATTTACTTACAATTAAACGAGTGTGTGAACGCAGAATAAACTAACAAGAATGTACTAACGAGACAGTACAAACTTGTAGATTTTAAAAATAATTTTGACATGTCATACTACGCCGACCCCAAATAAATAAAGATAAGGCAATGATGATCAAAATAATTTAGTAACGAGTACTAGCTTCGCTCGAATGATGGGTTGATTTATTGATGGGATTTCAAAGTTATTTGTAAATAAATATAATAGAAAGAATTTCAAATATTTTATGAAAAATGGAGAAAATAGACAAATTATGTTTTGTGGTTGAGAGCTTACTAAAATTGTAATATTGGCTTAATTTTGTAACATTTTGGAACTTTTTTTCCCCGTGTGCACAGGACTTCACTGTATTTGATTTTAGGCTCTATTTACACTTTGACATGTAAAAAAATTGTCTACACAGACAATTTGTGCCTCCGACTTGCTTATTTTCAGCTTTCACGCAGCTTGCTTTTAAAAGAAATAATAATAACTCAGCACCATCTAGTCCCAATGAAAGTAGATATTGTGTTATGGGTACTAGACAACTGATATGCCGCGGTTTGGTCGCCCAACCTGCAACTCTAGGCTTCTAAGCTATATACGAAGTCTATTCAATGCCTGATGATGTCTTGTGTCGTCAGGCGAAATATGTGTCGTAATATGGGTGTAGACTCAATAACAGTCGGAATCTGATCACCATTGGAGAAGGTCGTAACAGTAGTCAAATATCCATACTGAATATTTGTGGTTTCACGCATACTAATTGTAGCGGATTTAAACAAAATAATATAAATCTATTAAATAGTAAAATGGACTTCTGAAATTACCCCTTAATTCAGTAAAATATACAGTACTCATAACATAATCTCTGCTTATTGTCGGACTAGATGGCGTTGTGTGAATGTTCCTGTGATTATTATTTTATTACTGTATGTTGTATTCACACGTTTCAACTTAAAAATAAATAAATATTAAATTTTCAACAATTATTTAAAACAGCATCGCGCAGGTTACTTGCTCTTTCTTCATGTGAGCTCTTTCTTCTGCATAACAAGAATGAGCAAGAAATTTGGGTGTTCTTGGGCGTTCTTTCTGAATGAGTGGTAGATTAAAAAAAAGAAGTATGACTATTCAAAAGTGCTTAAATTTAAGTTTCCTTCAATGCAGACTTTTCTATTCTAAGACTCTATTCATAGCGCACCACGCCGTGGACAAATAAATTGCTAACATTTTTCTAACGCGTCAGGTTGAAGAGGTTCTTCGGCAGCACGATGAAGAAGACAGTTGAAGCAGCTAGGTCTTTAGCACAAGAGGTCCATGCCCGCCACAAGGAGGACGTGGCCGAGATTGCTGATGATGTACGCGGGGAGCATAATATCAAACTTAAGGCTTCTAATTCGCATAAGGGGCCTTATGACTTTGAAGGATGCGTCCGGCACGTGCAGGTAGATTATTAGAATAGTTTCTGTGCCTTGTCTGTTAATCTTCACTCTAGGTCCTATATAGTAGCGGCAGAGAACCAGCAATTGTTGAACTTAATACTATGTACGAAACGTCTACATGTACGCATGTTTGAATGATCTACTTTTGCCCTCAAGACGTAGCTGATTTTTTTTTCAGACTAATACTATTGGGCGCAGCTGACCCTTACAGCTTCACCGGACGATAGGGGGCGAGTGCAGATGGCACTCCAAACCAAAGGAAGGACTTATGGATCGGCTGAAGGCCAACTCCCGTTTGACGGATACGTCTCCCGTCTGACAGATACGACTTTAGTTTGAGGGCACCGCTAGGGGTTCGAACCTCGGTTCAGGCCGTCATAATTTCGATCCCCGTTTGAATTGTATGGGAGATAGATGAGGGAAGGTGAAGGTGGCTGCAGCTGTGTTATCATCAAGTGTGTGGTAAATTCACCAGGAGTTTATCATTCCATAAATATTCTTCAAAAATACTAAAGATGCGATTAATGGGTTATTATCGTATGGTGCAGGAGATGGGAAGCGGCCACGAGGGCGCGGTGTGGTGCTGCAAGTTCAGCGTGTGCGGGAGACTGCTGGCCACCGCCGGCCAGGACCGCCTGCTGCGGGTGTGGGTCACCAGGGACGCGTACACCATGTTCCAGGTATGTGACATCCTCTCTAGTTCAACGTGTGCTTAAACTCTGGATGTACTCAACCAATGTTGAAAATGATTTTATTGTATAACAATATAGAGGATCGTTGTAGGCTGTATAACATCACTCTTGGACCAACAGGAGAAGGGTTGTAATGAAAAATGTTTCAAAGAAAAAGTTGCACGTTTCAGCAAATCTTTTATAATTATTTTATGACAGATTGCAAGAAGCGAGCGTATTCATATGTGCCTATTTTGATACGCTTGGCTCTTGCAGTTCCGACGGCTTCGATGGTCTAGCGGTTTAGCACACTGCCTTGCTTCTGATGGTAGCGGGTTCGATTCCTCGCGCAGCACAAATATTTGTATTCATGAGTATATTGTTTGTATCTGGCTGGGTGTTTTCTATGTATGATATGTATATATTTACGAAAAATCAATGTATTTGTATCAGTTGTCTAGTAACCTTAACATAAGCTCTAGCTAGCTTAACTTGGGTCTAGATTACGCTATATGAATTTTCGAAAGTGAAAAAAAAATAAAGGGCTTTACAATATTAAAATAATTAATCCTATAACTTGCCTATTTTCTTAGGAAATGAGAACAAAATACAACACGGAGCAGAAATCATCCCCCACACCATCCCAGGAGTCGCTCGCAACCCTCGGCGCTACAGCCAGCAGTACAAGCACAGAGAACCTACCCCCATCTGCACCCTTCCACCCTCGACCGTTCTGCGTATACGCAGGACACACGTCCGATCTTCTCGACGTCTCCTGGTCTAAGAACTACTTCATACTGTCCTCATCTATGGATAAGACAGTCAGATTATGGCATATATGCAGAGGGGAATGCCTTTGCTGCTTCCAGCATATCGATTTTGTGACAGCCATCGTGTTCCATCCGAGAGATGACAGGTTCTTCCTGTCAGGCAGTTTGGATGGCAAGCTTAGGTTATGGGACATACCAGATAAGAAGGTATGTGATATTAATTTTAAGAGGTATGATATTTATTTTTAACAATAACTAACGTATATAATTTTAAATACAAAATTGTTATCTATCTGTTACTTTTTCCAAAAATTTTACAAACAGTTAAAATTAAATATACATTCTCCTTTTTTCGGCAAATTGATTTATTAATTCATTTGTAGCTGATGCGGGGAAAAATATTGCTTTTCTCTACTTTTGTCATTTGTGAAATAACAAAAAAATTGTGAAGTTAATTTTAGCTTACGCGCACTGGGGGCCCTCATGCCCCGTATAATTGTTATGGCATATGCGGCGGTAGCTACGCTGCTAATAACCTTAGAAATTGTAAAAGAAATAATGTTTATTCAAATAAAAAAAAAGTATTTATATCACTTGTCTATCACCCATAAGACAAGCTTTGTTTATCTTGGTACTCGATGGATGTGTGTGAATTGTTCAGGATTATTATGATTATATATTGTACTAGCTTTTGCCCGCGGCTTCGCTCGAGTTAATTTATCCCCTTAGGGGTGGAATTTATCAAAATCCTGTTTTAGGGGATGCCTATGTCATAGTGGTTTTATGCATGCAAAGTCTCATCCCGATCGGTTTAAAATTGCCAAAGTTTCATATAAACTTTCTTCCCCTGTTTTATCCCTTGGGTGTAGAATTAATCAAAATCCTTTCTTAGCGGATGCCTACGTCATAACATCTACCTGCATGCCAAATTTCAGCCCGATCCGTCCAGTGGTTTGGGCTGTGCGTTGATAGATCACTATATCAGTCACCTTTGAGTTATATATATTTAGATTATATAGGTATTAATACAGTCAGCCTGTCTGTATGTTACCTTTTTATAACTAAACAGCTAGACTGTGTCACGAGAACGGACATCTTATATCAATAATATTAAATGTGTACCACGACTAATGACTAGTATGCTCAAAATTTTATAAAAACTCTCCAGGTGGCAGTATGGAATGAGGTGGACGGCAAAACGAAACTAATAACTGCGGCAAACTTCTGCCAGAACGGCAAATACGCAGTCGTCGGAACGTACGACGGCCGCTGCATATTCTACACGACGGACCAACTAAAATACTACACGCAGATCGACGTGCGATCCACCAGAGGGAAGAACGCGACCGGCCGCAAAATAAGCGGCATCGAACCCATGCCCAACGATGACAAAATACTTATAACCTCCAACGACAGCCGGATAAGACTGTACGGGTTACAAGAGTCGATTCTGTCCTGCAAATACAAAGGTTACGTCAACGTTTCTAGTCAGATCAAAGCGTCGTTCTCACACGACGGGAAGTACATAGTGAGTGGATCAGAAAACCAATGTATATATATATGGAAGACGTACCATGATTATTCCAAGTTTACATCAGTGAGGAGGGATAGGAATGACTTCTGGGAGGGGATTAAGGCGCATAATGCGGTTGTGACGTGTGCAGTGTTCGCGCCTAATCCTGATCATATGATTCGAATGATCGGTGAAAGGGAACAGGAAGCCAGGCTGGCTAGAGGGGAAGAGGTCAAAGATGAGGAGGAAGTGGTGAGTGCAATTATTTTCATTCAAAATCCATAAATAATAAAAAAATAATAAAAAGAAATTATTTTTCGCTAAAGTAAAGACTCACTGCCTTTTTTTAAATAAAGTACCTTTTTATAGTGTATAAATATATCATAAAAGATACACGAAAATTAAAAATCTGTTATGGAAAGGTCATTTAAAGCTTTAAAACTAAACTTTTAAAATAAAAGATTCCGATTAAACAAATCGTTATCGCAGGTACACCACTAGCCCGCTATAGGTGGTAACATTATTTGAAACTTTGACATTTACACCTGTCAATTTAGGCGCCGGAATTAAAAACAGATTATAGATGGCATTGTGTGAATTGTTCTGAGATGTTATAAAAATATTATTATTTATTTGTTATACAGAAGGGTGCAGAAGGTGGTATGGTGTCGTCATCGCAGACAGGGCACGTGCTCGTGAGTGCGGACTTCAACGGATGCATCAAGGTGTTCGTGCACAAAGCCAAGCCCAAGCACAGCTCGCTCCCGGCTTCAGCGCTAGCGTAACGCCAACAATCACACGGTAATTAATTGTTCTAATTAAGAAATGTATGTAAATAAATTTATTTAAACATGTTTATTTGTATATTAATTGTTTATTTATACAGGGTTATAAGTAATTGGTGTACTGAGTAGAAAGGCAGGGAGTATAGTCACAAAACTGAATTATTACCTTTAGAAACAATGTGGAAATATAGATAGTTAATTTTAGTAGTAAATTTACAACGTGAGTGGCCAGTTTGTTACTTATAGAAATTAATTTTTAAAAGTCGCCATTATGTCATTTTTACATATCTTCTATTTTGTTTTTTTTTTTCATTTGCCACTTAGCTTCTTTTTTATCTTTCATTTATCCACTTTGCTTGTTTGGGAATATTATTCAGTTTCATGAATATTATTATTGGTTTTCGGCTTAGTATACCCGTTATTACTAACCCTATGTAGGAGAGGATTTGGGACGAAATTGCGAGACATGACATATAGTTGTACTGACAACGGTCTTTATCTGTCACATCACTTTTCCCATCACCCATTTATATTATACTACAGTCAATCAACCACACACATCGTGGTGGATTGATTGGAACTTCCTTCTGGAAACTTCCTGAAATTCTTCTGAAAAGATTCTCAGGGCAACCATAAAGGTTGCCTTGAGAATTTTTCCATATGTACTTGAGAACTGTCAATCCTATTGCTAGGAATCTGACATTGTGGGTAATCATTACCGTTGCTAATAATTCTGTTAAATATAATATTTGTCTAAGTCCTTTATGTGTATTAATATAAATTAACAGGTATTTTAAAAGCCCAATGGAGCCAAAAAAGAGTAAAATTCCCCTTTTAAAGTATTTACATACGTCCCTAAAATTTGTGACGATAAACGAGCTGTGTGGGGAACACTCTAATCGCTTTTTATATATTCTCGTACGTAAGTTACCACGGAGAGTAATATCATAAATTGCCTCATATAATTCCAATATCGCCAATGATTTTGAGGAAGTATGTAAATGGTTTTAGAATGGTTTTAAAAGGAGAGATTTTTGGGTTGTAAATGTGAAATTATTATCAATGTAAATAGTAATATAATGTTTATAAATTATAACGAGCGAGTTTGTATAATTTCGCGTATTTCTATAGATGGAGTCATATTCATATATCGCGTATATATAGTAGGTATAGTAATTTATATTTTGTATGTATATACCGGATGACTTAGTTTAGCGTGCGGAAAAAATATTTATGTTTATTTATTTAAATTATAGTAAGAGCTTTAAAGATTCTCAATGTAAAGTATATACGGACTTTTAGGTGGCAGTTTTTACTGTAGTTTCAGAGAAAATTCTCTTAGTATTGTGTATATATAATATAGACTAGCAGACCCGTCCACAGTTTGCTGTGGCTAAGGTTCTTGAATAAAATAATATTGCGACTATAAACAGATTTGTAAGCCATCCATCTTTCAAGTTGGATCGAATTGCACACAATGTGCAAATCAAATTTGCAATCGGTTCAGTAATCTAGGAGTTCATCGCGAACAAACAACATGACACGTAATTTTTTATATATCGAGATAATGAAGCAGAGAGGTGCTTCTCCTTAATATATTTTTCCGGACGACAAAATAAGTCATCCGTTATAGCTTGTTTAACACTCTGGTAGATATTAAACAACCAACAAAATAATATTTATATTCATAAACCTATCATTATTTTTATACATAATTTATATTTGTGAGATGTAAATAGCGGTTAATTCTGCTTCTTTTTTCTTATATTAAATTATATTTTTCAATAAACATCTAAGAAATATATAGAATAAATATTTTACAATATAAGCACAATCTAATATTATCTCAGCTATATATAAATCATGTTCAATTCAAATAGTAACTGAAAAGATGTTGTATTAAAATTAAGGAACTACATAGAAATCCTAACAATATTTGTGTGTCTGTAATATGAATTAACATTAATGTATTGTGGTAATATTCAGTTATTTTTTTTAACACCAGTCGTTAAAAAAACAATTATACAGGTATAAAGTCGCTGACTCAGCTAGTTGTTAATAAACTTTGAATTTTTAATGTATATACTTTTCCAATATTACCCAGGAAAGTGACAGAGTATCACTTTTCTGGGTACTTTGAAAAAGTGCACCAATGCTAACGGTACACGCTACAAGAGTACCTGTGGAGGATGATATGATGAGTATGGAGTCAGATCAGTTAGCCCATGGTGTGAATTAATCACGGTTTCTAAATGGTATACCCGACATTGTACATTGCTAACACTGGAGTTATGAACCCATTACTAACAATGTCACAACTACCTGAGACTTTGTGTCCACATGTGACTTTGTCACATTGACGTGTGTCCCACGTATACTCATGCCGTGGTACATGCACATAGTAAACTGGACTATCCACGGTACCTATTACTAATTAAAATATATATATATACTATATAGCTGGAAGTTAACCAGAATTAATTGTAATTTTATATCAAAAAGTATGTGTGAATGTAAATGTAATGTGTGTGAATCAAATGCATTGTAGTCTGTATTATGATTATTTATATTAATTTAAAGTATTTATTTAACATCTAGAAAACAAAAAACATTTAGAAAAATTTCGTTTGCAGTCCGTATAAACTTTATGCCAAATTTCATACTTCTCCGTCCGTGATATATTTATAATTTTTGCTTTACGTATTATTATATTTCTTTAGTAATGGACGTACACTAGTTGGTGTGACAGTGACAAACAAAACATTGTGACATACAAATAAAGATAAACCACAATTTCTTAATGTGAAGAAAGTAAAACGACCTAGAGGATCTTGGCCTCGGTGATCTAGTGATGGCTGGTTCGACTCCGCGCACGGTACAAACATTTTTATTGATGAGTATGATTATTTGTATCAGTCTAGGTATTTTCTATGTAGGTTTGTTATGAATGTATTTACAAAAAATGTATCAGTTGTCTAGCACCAATAACACAAGCTCTGCTTATCTGGGGTGTAGATGACGCTGTGTGAATTGTCCTGAGATATTATTTTTATTAATAGTTAAAGTGAATGTTATGTTGTAGTGTTTATGAATTTCTTATTCGTTGTTTTATGTATTTATTGCAAAGTTCGAGTAGTCATGTGAACCTAACATTATTCATTTGTATATTTTTTTATTCTTATGAAATTTTTAGGATTTATTTTGTTGTTAATGGTTAAAGGTTAACCAAACTTAAACCCAGTGTTACTGTTATTGACACTAAAAAAAACCTTTAAAGAACCAAAGTGGCAGAATGAAGATATTTTTAAACTTTCATAAAAACGTGATCTATTTAGTTTATTGAAAACAAAAGTTTATTCTTTGATCTTAATGTGTTGTTTTGGTTATTTGTGAAGTACTATAGCTGGCTTTCTGTTTGGTATACCTTTTACGATGAACCCTGTATAACAAAAATGTTAATGTTTGTTTATTTGTGTAATAGAAATGTTTTAGTTGTAAATACTTTCTTCTGTAGGCTGTGTATATTCTTTTTTACCATTTTTAATATTTCAGACATATCTTTTGTAATTTTTAACTCTCAAGATAGATATATCTATATCTATCTATCTTCCTTCAGAGCTATGCGTCTTTCTGACCAGCCGGTTCACTCTGGATACAAATTCTGGTTCAATGATATTGGAGTGCTTGTTCCGCGCCTGTTTTTACTCTTTAACTGTACACTCGCGACCTATTAATGTGTAACATATTTCGTGGTCAATGAAAGAACTAACATTGCTAACAACTTATTCAATTTAATAATAATGAGAACCCTGGACAATCAACACAGTGCCATCTAGTCCCAAGCTAGGCTAAGCTTGTGTTATGGGTACTAGACAACTGATATAAATACTTAAATATTTATTTCGTAAATACATAGATAACACCCAGACCAATAGAAACGATCATACTTATGAATGTTTGTACTGTGAGGAAGCGTATCCGCGACCATTCGAAAATAAGGCAGTGTGCTAAACCGCTAGACCACGGCGACCATCAAATTGATTACGTTTAAAAAACGATTCATAATTTGTTAGAGAATTTATATTGTGATCGATCCAGAGTAAACCTGACAGGTCGCCGCGTTGGGGCTTTTGTAACATATCTATTCTGATTATTTGCAAGTGTATGTCATTAAATGACAGACTTCCTGTCAGTCTCATTTCGGTACAAAGTCGCATTACAAAGCTTGTTGCATCTCTGTACCTAATGAAAGCGCTCCAACCCGGTAAAAGGTGCGTTAGACTGGTAATATACAGTTGGTTAGTCGTCCGGTTGCCGAAATACGACTGCGGTCAACCTAATCGAGTGTATATTACCAGCCTTAGTCGGCATGATCTTGCCACAAAAACTATGTGATTAATATATAAGTGTAAATGAAATAAATTTAGTATTGTATAGAAATCGATGCCATTATTACCTTATAAAAAAGATTATGTATATTTTTAATTCGCATTTACCTCCATCAATAAATTGTTATATTTAATATATTTTTGTATTATTTTTCTCCTTATTAAGCTACAAATAATACAGACAGCTTCTATTAAAAGCTATATCCAGCTTGAAGAACATCACCATCTTCCTTACCCCATTCATTACTCGGCGTAATGTTTTTCTCGTCCATTCATCCCTGTTCGTAGTCATCTCGTTATTTACTCTCTTTCTTGCCATATCATCTTTCACACAGTCCATCCCTCGGTTTTTCGGCCTTCCTCTGCCCTTATAACCACATTCATATGTAATACCTTCTTTATATTGGTATGCGTAATTGCAGAAGACAGTGAAAGTTACTATTCTTACAGGCCTTTGTAACCTGTTTTTGTTCTTCACAAATAAAGAATTTGAATTTGAAATATTCTCTATATATATATCTTTTCACTATAGCTTGAAGATTCAAGCTGGGTATAGCGAACGAAGAATTTATCACGATGGTTTCCAGGGGGACCGCGTGGTTGTCAACCCGACATGATACATTGTTAGCAATAAGATCAGCAGTCTACATTACTAACAATACCCTTTCCCACCGCCTTTTGTTATTACTTTTCTACATACTGTAAGTAACAATGAATGAAAAAAACTGTCAGTGACTCTCAAGAAACTGTTAGACCGACAGCCTAACAGTTTCTTATTAAGTTTCTTCGTGTATGCAATAATGAGTTTATTATTATTATTTAACTAAGGGCTAAAATGAGTTTTAAATTAAAAAGAAAAAGGTAATTTCTATAAAATATAATTTATTAATATCAAAATATGAAATGCAATTTACAGGAATGTCTAGTTAAAATTAATTTGTACATTATAATAATTATAAAATGTAGCTTAAAAATATCAGTAAAAGGCACTCGTGATACACCAGTAGACTAACAAACAGTATAATAATTTATTATTACATACCTATATATTGCTATGAGAATTTTTATTTGTTATTTTTTATCTTAATAATATTATGAACGCGAAAGTTTGTGAGTATGGATGTTTGTTACTGTCACGCAAAATATACTGAACGGATTTTAATGAAACTTTACAGTAATATAGCTTGTTGCATTGGAATGTGTTATTCTGATGCACATACGGTATATTTGTTATTGAAATTTAACGTGGGTAAAACCGCGGGCACTGCTAGTATAATACAATTATAATAAATAATTTTCATCAACAATTTCATTTTTTTTCAGTATCAAACGACCAGATTCAAAATCACTACTTTAATTATGATTATCATAACAAACGTAATTTGTTTATCTAATTGAAAGGTAACATGTTGGAAATACAGTATGTCACCGGATGGAAAGCGGCAATGCAAACTGCCCACCGTATGGAAAGCGGCAATGCAGAATGCCCACCGGATGGAAAACGGCAAACGTTAATATCTCTCAGGTCAACTCACACAGCGCCATCTAATCCCAAGCTAAGCTGAGCTTGTATTATGGGTACTAGACATTTGATATAAATTAATAAATACATTTTTTTAGAAGTAAAATAAAATTTCCATAATAAAAGTAGCCTAACTTACTCCTTATAAAAGTAGTTACCTGTGACAGTCCCGTCAAAATTGGTCCAGCCGTTTCAGTGATTAGCAAGAACACAGAGACAGGCAGAGACAAAAAAAAATATTTTTATGTATTTATATAAGTGTCGTATATAACTTCATATGCAATTACTGAAAAGCTGTGAATTAAAAATTATAAACTGTCCTTCAATTTTATATATTTGTATGGATGATTATGTAGATATAAAAAAAATATATGGTGTTAATATACTCACTAAATATACTGTTTTCATTGAATGATTTCATACATACAATACAAGGCTTTACATTAAGATTTCCACGGCGGTTTGGCGTTATTAATACTCCGTCGCGATTTATCTTTCTTGTCGTGCCGGTCAAACTGGTCAAGCTGATCGACGCGGTCGGTCCGATCGGGTCGGTCATTACGATCGGGCCGGTCGCTGGTTGGTTCGTCGTGATCACGTTGTGGCAGCGAACAGTCACCACTACCATCCAAATTCACTGGTTTGGTTAATAACTGTAATATATGTTATAACTGTATATATATTATGGCTGTGTTTTATTATCATAATAATTTGTGAATATTTGTATGTAATGATGCCACTTCTGCCGAAAGGGTCAATAAACTACAAGTCACCCAAAAAGCAATGGAGATATATCGGTATAATAATAATAATCTCAGGACAATACACACAACGCCATTTAGAACCAAGTTAAGACAACCAAAGCTTGTATTATGTGTACTAGATAACTGATACAAATACGTAGATATATACTTTTTTTTCGAAAATACATACATATATAACAAACATACAGACCGACAAACAATCATACTCATGAAAATAAATGTTTGTGCCGTACGAGGAATCGAACCCGCGACCATTGAAAGTAAGGCGGTGTGTTAAACCACTAGACCAACGAGGCCCTCGAGTAGCCGGTATGGGAGATACCGAGCCTGGATGAAAATTGTATTTTTATTCAAAGACTATTGTATTATGAATAAATGACTACAACAATTTCAACGTTAGTTTTCACTGTCAAATAAACTATTAAAAAAACATACCATTTTAACATACTGCCGCAGTTCATTATCACTGAGCCCTTCGAAGTTAAGTGCATCCCCGCGGCGCCGGCTGTGTGTCAGCGATGCCTTACTGACAGGTAAGTCTGGCACTACCGGGGTCATCACTGAAAACAAAATAGGACTTTATACTCGCCCTATTATAGAATAGGGTGTAAAGGAACTATCAGGGGTGGGCCCCATCAGCAGAACGGGTAAAGAGTGCAGTATTAATATTTCTTTCCTACCGTCTAGTTCAGTATACAGGTTTAATTAAGAAGAATTGGCAAATACTGGCTATTATATGTATATATATAAGAATATACCTTATTATATTACTAATTATGTACATTTATACTTATTTGATATCCGCCAATTGAAAAATAAATTATCTTAAATTCAAATTCAAAATCAAAATATCTTTATTCATGTAGCTCTATTACAGACTCTTATGATATGTCAAATCTACCGTCAGTTCGGAATGATATCGAGATGAGAAGAACTGACAAGAAACTCAGCTCGTATTTTTTTTTAATGTTGTACATATTTACAATAATACTATTTCATTTAAATTCAAATTTGGGAGAACAGAGTGACCATCAGCATATGCTATATAAAACAAAAATCAAAAATCTAATCAGTGTTCGCAACCTGAATAGGCCAGTCCCCACAAGCAGCACCCGTTCACGAGTATGACGTATGAGCCAGCCATCATTGCACTCAACCATATTAGACGGAGCACATCGACCCGGCCCACCACGCCGCCACAAGTTTGAACTTTATAGCGAGCATGACTGTTTTAAGTTACTCCACTACGTCATTTATCCCCATGAACGCCGATTAGATTCCTCGTTTTGGTCTGGATATTTCCTATGTATATTATGTATGTATTTAAAAAAAAATATTTGCATATGCAGTCATACCCACAACACAAGCTCTGCTTAGTTTAGGACTACAAGATGTCTAGTTATGACTGTTAATGATGTTAGACTATGTGAATTGTCTGGGTTATTACTATCACACATATAGACTAACGCTAATCACTTGCCACCAGGTAGTTAGCTAACTCGTTTGTTATACATATATTCAAAATTGCGGTTACCAGGGTCGGGCAGCGTGAGGTCAAGTTCTGAAGGCGCAGTAGTTTGTGGACAGGACAGGATGCGGAGCGCCTGCCGCCACTGGGACTCCATGACGCCGTGCAGCTGCGTGGCGATCTGCCCGCGCCGCCGTCTGTGAGATTCCAGCTTACTCTGTGCACGTACCAAGCCATAATGAGTATACGTCGGACACACCTCAATGTGACAGTCTCGTAAAGTGACAAAGTCACATGTTCTGACAGTCTCGTATAGTGACAAAGTCACATGTGGACACCACAGTCTCAAATAGACGTGACATGTGGCTATCACAGTCCACCACTTCATGAGTCAAACCCACTTTTGTGCATATATCTATGTTAAGTACGTTAATTTTGACTATACTTAGGTATTTTATGACAAGGGACAAGACAATTTGATATTAAAGGCAAAAAGATTTAAATTCTTATCAATTCCGGTTTTTCGAAACTAGCGTGGCACAAGATGGCGGCCTATGAGCAGTGATTCGGACCAAAATGGCATTATACGAGCGATAATAGTATAAAATTACATAAATTGCTAAATTTCAGAAGTAAAAGCGGTTCGTAACGTTTAGTCTGTTATGGCAACAATATTTATTTTTTACTCATTTTGCATATATTTACCTCGAGTAAACTGATTTTTTCACTCGCCTGCGCTAGTTGCAAACGATATAATTTTACCTCTTCTCGTTGTTTCTCTTCCAGGACATTCACTTCTAGTTTGTGCCTGTAATATATTACACAAAAATAATTATACTCAGAAATATAAATAAAAAATTCCTTACACTTATACAGATAATTAAAACATATTTATTTCTTTAAAACATAAATAACTTCACCCAATATACAGTAGTTTCATCCTATATAGATATAAGTTGCATTGTAAAACAATTATTGTATTTTTAAAAACAAACTATCACAAGTTTACAAAAAGTCAAAATTTTCTGTGTGTGATTTCTAAAAACCATATAAATTTAAGAACTGTAAATTCCATAACATCTGCACAGACCTAACTGGGCCTTCACTAGCAGATAGCTAACGTTATAATGAGTAACAAAGTCTACTTATATTTTAGAAATTATAATTCTGTGCGACGAATTCGCAGGTAACTAGTTACACCAAAATATTTTTTTAAAATGTAGTACTAACTGTTCTTCTATCCTTGTCATCTGTTTACTGAACGTGTCCACTATAGCATTCTCCTTGCTTCTAGCATCATTCTCCATTTCTCTCTCTGCATGATCTAGCTGCTGCTGAAATTCATGCAGCTTGGCCAGCACAGCATCCTCCAGCTGCTTCTGGTAGTGTACCTTTAGCTCATTCTTCTGAAGTTCCAGATGTTTGCGGAGCATCTTCACCTCATCCTCTAAAGAATCCTAACATAAATAGGATTTTTTAAGTTTAATGGTGTAAAATATTAGTATAAGTGTTTCAAGTATTACAAACTAATAAACAAATTAACGAAAAATAGCTATATGGTTAATTTATATGTGGTTAAAGTGGGAGTGAGAGGTATACCAGCGAAATCTCTCTATAATCTTCTAAAAGATCTTGGCCTGACTAGAACTGCAGTCATCGCCGTCTTAAACTAGGTCGCGGCCCTTGGGAACAAAAAAAATAGGAATAATCATCGGTATAAAGGCGTAGTATATGTCTTATGATAACATTACTGATTTGTGAAAAAAGTGTGCCCGACGAATTTCGTGCACGACAAAAATCTTTTGAGAATAAATGTGTGAAAAAATTAACAGTCTTTCGGGGGACCCCTGAGTATGGGGGCCCTGGGCACGGGCCCCGTGTGCCCTTATGGTAAAGACGGTATTGACTGCAGTAAGTTCTAGAATGTGTATCTAAAGTTGCACTAGCAGGATCATATCATATACTTTATATCAAACTACAATATTACTATTATTACTTATTCATCATTTAATAAGGTTGTTATTTCATAATCACTGAAATATATTTCTAATGATATCCTAGATTAACATAGTTTGCAAAGATGGCGTAAATTTTTAAATTGCAAAGTAGGAACAATAAACTAATCTTTTATTTGTAAATACTATAACGTTACTATCGTTACTAGCAAGCATACAGCCCATCTGATGGTAAATGGTTACCGTATCCTATAGACACCTGAAACACCAGGTGATACCCCTGGTGTTTCAGGAGGTCCATAGGATCGTCTGTGCCGACTCTTAAGCAACCTAAGCTGTTGTTACCCCAAATAAATAAATAAATATTAAAATATAAGCTTACACATTTTTTTAACAGCTCGCTGCTCTGACTCTGCTTATCGTACAGCTGTCGTTCAAGCAAGTTGCATCTTGACCGCTCTTCATTCACTTTGTCCTTCAAGAGATCTCTCTCTTGCAACACAAGGGAGGACTCTTCGTCGACACTTTGCTGTTTACGAGTCAACTCATTGACTTTGTTTTTTGTCAGTTCATGATCCATTTTCTCCTGTATAAATATTTATATCAGTTTATTTTCCTATTGGAGATTTTCTAGATTTAGCATACCTAATTATTGTATGCTTTTTTTATTAATTAAAGTCTATTTACTACCTCACTACCGTACTTTGATTACAATAGATAATTAAATTCAATTTATTACTCCATTTGAGATTAAAATAGATAAAGTAAGAATACTGAATCCACAAAATACATAAACATAGAGAGCAACAAATAATTACATACAAAACATTACCTTTTCTAATGCATCTTCTAAATTTTTAACACAATCTGTTGACTGTTTGTTCAGTCTCATTACAGTCTCATAATTTTCTTTAAGTACTTCTATTTCTTTCTCTTTACTGCTGATAATATCTTGTTTGCTGCTTAGCATTTTCTCCGTTCTATCATGAAGTTCCTTCTGTTCTGATGTGAGTTGTTTACACTTCTCTTGATAATCATGCGCTAAATCCAGAGCTTTGTATAATTCAGCCTCAAAATGGTTTGTTTTCTAAAAATTATATCAGTTTGTTAATAATTTTATATTTATATTTCGCACTGCTCTAACGCTGCTGGCCTTTACAGCTTTACCGGGCGATAGGAGTGCGTGTGCAGATACCACTCCAAACCAAAGGAAAGATTTATGGAGCGGCTGAAGAACAACTCCCGCCTGATGGATATAACTTTAGTCTCAGGGCACCGCTAGGTTCGAACCTCGGCTTGGGCCGTAAGAAATAAGAAAAAAGAAAGAAAAAATATTTAATCAGTGGTTTTCAGTTACAACTATTTTTTATATCTAAGGGATAAAACAAAAACAGACTTAAAAAATACTAAACATTCCCAACTTAAAGAAAAATTAAAGAACTCTTTATTCCTGGAAAGCTTATAGCAAAGAATCTGTCAAGTTTTTTTTTATAGGGATAAGTGGTGTATAAGGATTAGAAATCTCACTCAGAAAGTACAATATTATTTGTATCCAGAAATAAAAACTTTAGACATAACTAGAAAATTTTGGTTTTTCTTTACAATAGTAATATTCATTGTAAGCCACAATACAACACTAATATAATATCCCCTTCTGATCGATCTCCTGTCCAATTCAAATGGGGATCGAAATTATGACGGCCTGAGCCGAGTTTCAAACCACCCTGGTGGTAAACTAAAATAACATCCGTAATTTAAATGGGTATGGAAATTACGACGGCCGCAGCCGAAGTACCCCTACGCCTTCAGACTAAAGTTGCATTTGTCAAGCAGGAGTTCACCTTCAGTCCTTCCATAATCCTTCCTGGGATTTGAAGTGCTGCATTCGCCCGTCATTCATTGAAGCTGTAGGTCGGCTGCAGCCAACAGCATTAGAATATAAAAAAAATACCCACCTTCTGAGAATCACTGGCGACCATCTTAAAATTCTCCACTTCCCTCATCATCTTCTCCAAACCACTTCTATGCCGTTCTTCTGCCTTATCCAGACTGCCAGTAATTTTCAACCAAGCTTCTCTTAACTTTGTGATGGCTGCATCTTTGGCTCTATCCACTTTTATAGCCACAGCCAATTTCTCTTGTTGGTCAAGTATTTTTTTCTGAAGCTGTTGTATCATTGATTCACAATGCTGGAAAATAAACATGATGAATTTAAATTAATTATGACATGAATAGATCCTGAGTGAATGAGAGTCATGGTTGAATAGTTTGTGATTCTGAGAACTCAGTCCTCATGGGTGAGTTTTTTTTTTTTCTATCTGCGATCAGTCTTTCCAGCTATAATCAGATTTTTTGATGTTATTGGCATTTTGAGATGAGGCACCTCCAGCAAGGTGCCATCTCATTTACTTTCTTTATGGGTGAGAGTAACTCACCCAAGAGGGCTGAGTTCAAATCTGTATTGATCATTGTATCCATGAGTATGATTGTTTGATAGAAAACACCCAGACCAATATCTGGTGTATTTTTTGTATCTATTATGTATGTACCAAAAAAATATATATATGTATTTATATCAGCAAAGCTTGTGTTATGGGTACAACTCAAGCTTTGCTTATCCATCCCAAGGCTGGATGGCAGTGTTGTCTGATATGTCCTGATATATTATTAATTATTGCTTTACACTATAAATATGAAAACATGTTTGTTCAATTTACATCTCAACCAATTATCATGAAATCTCTCATATTCTGTATGAGAGATTTCATGATAATTGGTTGCTCTAACTATATGAGTAATTTATTTCAGACAGCAATTAATTTATTAGAACTTGTTTCACCTCTCTTTTAAGTTTTTCTTCCTCCAATTTAAGATTGTCTCCCCTCTCTGTCCTGTCTCCTTTGTCTGCACCATAACCCCACAACTCGCTCAGACTCAACAGATCTGTATCAATAGTTTCTATCAATTTATTCTGATAAGCTGCCAACTTTATTGTGTCCTTATTATCTACAGCATAAGGTCTCATTTGAGGCATTTTAAATATCTCCTTTTTAGGTGATTGCAAGTAACTTTCAATTCCAGAATGTTGAGTATTACGGCTGATGTTTTGACTTTTATATTGTTCTAGTACTTTTGTTGCACGATCATAGATTTTGTTCGATGATGGTCGGAACGAATCTGTGTAACTTGTGGTCTGTACAGGCTTTTTGGGAGTGGATGTAGGTTGGACATCCTTCTCTGAAAAGTTCAGTCTACGAATACTTGGGGACTTCAAGTCCGTTTTAGACACACTCTCCTTACTTACATCTGAAGGACGAATCGTAGTATCTTCATTATGTAGGCTTTTATAAGAACTAGAAGGTAATGTTTTATCTGATTGGGTCACAGCTGAGCCTGGATTACTTTTAACCAAGTAAATATATTTGTCTAAGACATTACTTGACACAACTCTCCCACTAGGCAATTTAATTTCATCATTGCTTTTTGAATCTAAACTATGTGATATATAGTCACCAGCAGCCTTTATAACATGCTCAGGACTCAAATACGTTTCATGTTCTTTAAATTTCGAATCTGGCCCTTCATATGCCTCAACTTTAGTCAGGAATTCATCAATTTCATGCAAGAGCAATTTGTCATTTTTTTTACTTGGTGTCGAAACTATACTACTAATATCTCCGTCCATACTTGTTGTATCATTGATAAAGGCTTTCTTACTGCTAGAAACCTCCGATGTACTTTTTAAATTTAATAATGGAACGTTATAGTTTTTTTCTAACGAATCAAGACTGGTCAGAGACAGTTCCCGCTTTTTTTCTCGTTTGCTACTTTTACGACGGCGTCTCCGTGGAAATGTGAAGCACCTACGGTCTAAACTGTGGTCAATACTGTCTCCGGTGCCCCAGGATCGAAGATTTTTAGATCCTATAGTGGACACGGTGTCACTTGTGCACACTTCCAAACTTTCTAACCTCGATTCTAGAGAGTGCACTCGATCGACCAGTTTGTCCAGAACCTGTGCTGTACACGACACCGGTTTGTGAACAACGGTTCTCGATGATTCCAGCAATGAATCTTCGGAAGCTGAACTTTCGACGAGGAAGAAATTCGGTGGTATCAGTAAAAGAACATCTGTATCGTCCGTGTCACTCATTACAACTAATATTTTTATTAACATAAAATAATAAAGCCATTATAAAATTGTACAACACTGATTCAAGTGAGTTTATATAAATTAGATACGTTTAATTAATAACAATAATCAGCAAAATACGTTAAAACCGTTTGTTTGTATCAGTTTGTTTTGTTTTCTATTTATTTTTTTTATTAGATATTTATTTCCTTCACGTCTCTGGATGCAAGTTTTTTTGAACGTGACATTTTCAAACATTTAAAACAATGATACCGACAAAACAACAATACCGATGAACATTGCAGACGATATAGTAAATCAAAGAGTAAATTAAATATACCAAATCGCTTGTCTGAAGTGGTTAGAGACATTTATGATTTTTTGAGACCACATTGTTATTTTTGAGGCCGAGACGGTGTACAAGATATTCTACTGGCTTTTCTATTATCGGGTTTGATTAGACAAAAAAAAACACGAATAAATATACCATATTCTATACTTCGGACTAGATGTGTAAATTCTCCTGAGACATTACTTTTAACAATTTTTTTTAATAGATAATAATGGTATGGTTCACCCTCCTGCGCTAACGGTTTAGGCTGGCGGGACACCAGTGGAGGATAATGGGATGACCATGAGGGCAGGTCAGTCAGAGAAGTTCAATCTGACATGGTACATTGCTAGTAATGAGGTCATCGGTCCATATTACTAACAATTCCCTTTCTCCAATGATATTGGAATGGTGCATGGTTTAGGATAATAAGATGAGCTCATGGTCATGTTAGTTACCTCTTGGTGATAAAGTCACCAGAAATTTATCGAGATGGTATCCAGGGCAAACCGTGTGGAGGCCAATCTTATATGGTACATTGCTGACAATAGGCTCATCAGCTCACATTAATAACAATTTCATAATATTATCAGTTGTGTAGTTAGTAGTAGGCACTCATAATGAATATTGGTACTTACTGGGTATTGCAAAACATAACATTATGACTGTAATCCCAGATGAGGTAGTCAGCGACATTGTCAACTGTTGATATGATGAACACAATTACGCAACAGTTCACCTTACCATATTTCGCTCGGTATATTTTGAATCAAACATAATATATAGCTAGTCTATTGCCACATTGTCTGTGTACTAAGAAAAATAAATAATAGCGGAGTATTACAAATAAAAAAAAATATATAAAATTGTCCTCTTTATTAGCATATACAAGTTTTACACTAAAATTACTTATATGACATTATGTACATATTGTATTAATATAGATACACAGTAAAATTAAAATCTTCTTTCAAACACATTGAATATCCTAATTTTATGTATAGCATACAACTCTGAAGAGCAACTGTTAAATGAATTAAACTAAATATATTTTTGCTGACAAATATCTAATAAGAAATTATTGCAACTGTTTTATACAATATATCAAATCAATCCTTAATTTTATGAATGACACATAACTATTCTATCAATCAATCATATATTTTGGGTGTAAATTATCTGTGTAATTAAGTACTCTATGATCAACCTATTAGGCTTGAGCAGTATATTGCTATTATGTACAAAACTATCAAAATTTCAGATTAAGGATATTAATTTAAATGAATTTACAGTTATATTCTTTAGTTTCTTTATTATACCACATAGTGGACTGATTTAAAGTATAGAACAGTAAATGAACTTATTTCTAAAACCACTTTACAATTACTTTACATGTTTGTATTACTCTAATCTTATATTAAATATAATTATTGTAATTATACATCAACTGTGACTATATTAAAAAAGTACATAGAAAAATCATAAGATATACAATTAAACATAGAACATTAAACTAATTAATTAAATAATAATTAATTAATTAGGTTATGAATATTACTAAGTATCAACTATTTTACTATTTATCAGGAGGCTCTAACTGCATGTATAGGTGTTTGTTTTATAAATGCATCTAGTTTACTTTTAAACAATTCACTATTTATCGGCTCTCCAATATTACAGAGTGGATTCCTAATTGCATATTTCACATATATTTCAGCATAGATCTTTTTGAGTAGATCCCTCACTCCCTGAGCTTGGTTGTCAGTGTTCATGACAAATTTTATTCCTGACGGTGTTTCCAGACAGTGCAGGGTGTACTTCGAAGTTTTGTAATGTAAAAATCCATCTTTAGGGTCCAGTGGTGATATTTTAGCAACAAATGATTTTATTGAAAATAACATTCCATACATGAGCTTGCATTCCTGAAAATAGAATAAATAAGTTCAAACTAAGAATAAAAGTAAATTAATTTTATTAGGGTACCCATCTATTTTAAAATAGGTAAAAAACAAGTAATATTATAATTTGTTATTGATATAATTTTATTGTTTTCTGGATTTTCAATATGTAGTCTAGTAGTTGATCAACTACTGATGGCCAATGATGGAGTGATTATACAGCTTTTGATAATATATATGTTAGCAGGTAGAGGTGAGGAATATGGATGAAATTGTGGTAAATTTGCTAGATCATAACAATGGTTACCAGAGGGTTGAGTGAAGGTAGATCAACGAAGATAGATCGCCAGTAATGGATTTATTCAGTAGCACTCGGTATATGCAATATCGTGGATATTATAAATTGTTATTCTCACCTCTTCTCTTGACATTCCAGATTGTTTTGTTCTATTCCATTCACCGTAATAAAGAAGAGTTCCGAAACGATCAAATATGTATAAATTATGTATCGTCATTTTGGCTATTATATTCTCAGTACATTGACATAAATACAGTCACTATTAAATTCAAATCATGTTAGATAGGAAATTTATTTATATTCATGTGTTTTTAATTTGGAATTGGACAATAAGTAACACAGAACACAATATCTTAGAAGTAAGCAAATTTGGTTCTAAATATTTGACACTGACGTTGATTAATAAATATAGACAAATTATTCTCAGAGATGGGAAAAACAGAACCAAAAAAAGTAGACAAATTGACAACGTCAAAGAACTTTACAGACGCAAAAATAAAATTGTATGAAGTACACAGACAACGGCCATATCGTATCAGCTAGCCATAGTGATTCTTTATCCAAGACTATCGGCCTTGCGTATAATCTCTATAAGCATAATAGTCTGTGATCGTTGTAATTGACTTCGGTCAATGTTCAATTTCATTCATTCTTTTCCTTTTAAAAATGTTGCTGAAGTGAACATGGTGCAATATCAATGACAAATTAAAAATAAATTGTTTAGCTAACATAAATAGAAAACAGGACTAAACTAGTGATATATTAAATTAGTAATATTCCGTAACAAGTACGTACGTATCTACTTAATGGATTATGTGATTGTAGTTTTTAAGGTTATATTCTTACCTAATAGCCCTAATACTCAATTTCCAGATTAGTAAAATCAATAAAATATGGATGAATACACAAGAGAACCGTGCCCATGGCGTATTCTCGACGATTCAGGTGGTGCTTTCATCATGGGAGCCATCGGCGGTGGAATATTTCACTCGATAAAAGGTTTCAGAAATGCACCAGTTGGATTCAATAGGAAAATGGTATGTTTTTATTATGGTTTACTTTATTTATTAGTTAACAGCCAGAGGTTACAAAATAAATGCAATTTATAACTATATATTTAATTATAATATAAAATTATTGCATTAAATATTATTATAACTAATTAGAACTATGTGATACTTCCACAATGGATGAATCAAGTCTAAAATCCTTTGGAGAGGTGCCCACTTGGGCGAGGGAGGTAAGGTGTTCACATTGATGCCTTTGATTCAGTAACTTTCTTAGAAGCGGACCGAGTATAGAATGTTGACTGTGCCATACTGATGAGGCAACATGACAGGGATGCCACTCTATGCAGATTCGGGGTTGTCACTCTGTTTAACTAGATATTTGTGTAGTTGATAATGAAATGGTGCACCCCACTGTGCTAACGCTTTACGCTGGCGGGGCACTAGTGGAGGATGATAAGATGAGCATGAGGTCAGGTCAGTTAGCCCATCAGTAGCAAATTCTCAAGGAATCTATCACGATGGACTCCAGAAGGAACTGCGTGGAGGGAGTCCTAACGTGGTACATTGCTAACAATGGGGATTACTAGTTCCCATTACTAACAATCCCCTTCCCCCCTATATAACAAGTTTACACATGGCAAATGTTAACAAAAATATGTGATCTGTCTGATCTGATGAAATCTGTCATTTCCAGCTTGGGAGTTTAGCAGCTATAAAAGAACGATCACCAGTTGTGGCGGGAAATTTTGCTGTCTGGGGTGGCATGTTTTCCACCATTGACTGTTCACTAGTGTACCTGAGACAAAAAGAGGATCCATGGAACTCAATAATGAGTGGCGCACTCACTGGGGGCATCTTGGCTGCCCGAAATGGTAAGCCCTCTTGCATGCAAATAATTCCATGAACATTTGTCAATAACTATATTTAATAATATATGATAATATTTACTGTACACTTATAATTGTGTACCACTTCCTGTGTCACACAGTGTCAGGTTGACTGGAAGAGATGTCTTTTTAGAGAAAAGTTCTCCTTTGCTGACAAAATTAGTATACCCATGTATGTTTTAAACCACCTCTCTTATTTGTGGTCATGCCAGGGACCCCTTATAATAATAATAATTAAATTTCCAGGTGTGCCAGCAATGGCTGGGAGTGCACTCGTAGGTGGTATACTCCTGGCTCTCATTGAAGGGATCGGCATCATGTTCACAAGGCTCACAGCTGAGCAATTCCACCCACAGCAACCAATATTCGAAGACCCTTCAGTGTTAGGGCAGAATCAAGGCCAAAACCCAACTTTCCAATAGTATAAGTGAGGCAGTAATGTTGTATTGTACAGTTTTAAATTAACTTGTAACTATTTGAGAAGGTACTAAATTTATAATACACTAGCTGTGCCTGCTGTTTCAGCCGCATTAAATATCAATATAAAATGTAGCCTATGTGTTATTCTGATGCATAAGCTATAATACTGTAAAGTTTCATCAAAATCCGTTGCATAGTTTTTGTGTGGAAGAGTCATAACAATCATCCATACTTACAAACTTTCGGATTTATAATATTAATAAGAGAATAAATATATATTGTGTAAATAATACATTAGGCTTTATGTCCTATAATTTAACATTAATATGCTTTGCTAAGCTATATTTACATAAATTATTAAACTTAATGTAACAGAAATTAGATAAATGTCCTTTGTGTAGTTAATGATTATTTAATTAATCATTATCTAATTAAACATTACTTATTGTTAGCATGTTAATTAGTCTGGTAATAGATTTAACTATAAATTTGATGTTTAAAACTGTACAATACACCTACAAAGGAATATAATTTCTCAAACAAATTTTAGAATTCCTTGAAGATGTTTTAAGTGAGTTATTTGCACCTGTGATATTTTCAGTGACACTCTGATTGCTTATGTTTCACTTTGCAACATAATTCTTTTATTAAATAACACAGTTTTGTTATTTATTTATGTTTTCGATGTAGCAAATGATACAGGATGATTATTATATAAAAATTAATTTAAAATGTTTATATTGGACAGACTATTGTCTGCAATCGTCACTTTCGACTTATTTATTTGTTGCCATATAGTTGTTAGTGACTGAGTGTGACTCTAATTAATTGGTCAATCAATGGAGAATTGCTTTACCCGTCTTCAGATTGTTCTTGCCTCGCTAGAGTTGCACTATTAGTCTGATTATTTTGCAGGTAATAGTTTGTGAACAATATTCTTGTTCTAAATATAGAACATAAATAGAAATAAAGATTTTTAAAGAAACTGTACTTGTCTTTGGATTCAATAATGACTAAATGTACTTCTCAGAATGTTGCAACTATTTTAGTACATTGCATCATAATAGTAGAATACTGACGGATCTGACAAATATTTATGTGTCAGATCCGTCAGTATTCTATGACTGTGACGATTGGGTCTCATTATTGTACTTTACAATATTTATAGACAACACAGTATCAAACTCTGTTTATACCATGCTAAACAGCTATGTGATCATTACAACGCTAATGTTAGTCCTTATAATATACAAATCTTATACAGTAGCATATTATTTAGATAATATTGAAGACAATGTTATCAAGATCTTCAATTTCTAATAATAATATCTTTTTTAGAGTTACCAAATTACAACTAAAAAGCAAATTTGTCAGTAAATTTTTATAATTATAAGTCTATAATTACAACCAAACAGTAGTAACAATACCAGTACTTAGTAATAATATTAACTTTAACATCTTAGGTATCACTTTTATATAAAATGTTAAGATTTTAATATAAACAGAAACAAGTTATGGCAGGATGTAGGAGAAACCTTTGTCCAGCTGTGGACTATGAAAGTATGAATTATGATGAGCTATAAATGTTATCTATGCAATGGCAAACAAGATTATGGTATATATCTTTACATCCCCCAACATAAGTCACCTTAAAAGGTGTAGGTTACTAAGGATCAGAAGATGACAGATGATTCTACTCGGAATCACATTCTACATTGGTTCATAATCTGACAGATTGCAAGATGACACAGAAAAAAAAATTGATATACATTGTTGGAATACAATCTCTATAACTGCTCCCTGGCTAATGTGGAGTCACTGAGATCATATGAGATATGAGATTCAAGCCCAGCACAGGCAACATGGTATAATAATTATAGTTACATGATATTACTGATGAAATAATTTATATTGAAATTGAATTGAAATTCTAATATTCATGTATTTATGGCTGTATGCACTATTATGGCTGTATATTGAAATACAGAGTAGTATGCATTAGAAAGTAACCTAATCTATAATTATTATTAAGCAAAATTAAATTTTGTTAAGTAAACCTACAACAATTTGAGAAATACTTTTATTGTTAGAAACATTATTTTACAGTAATGTAATATAATAATAAAATAAATGTAAATAATAAACTAACAAAGTTTTCAAAGCGCAGGTGAAACCTAGACAGGCCTAGTGGCCCACCTACAACTGAACAAACTTACTTAACAGCAATGTTTAAATTTAGAAATATCTGTAAATCTTCATTGTGGTAAAATAGTTGATTTATTTTGTACAGCATTTTCTCCCATCTTCCTAATTTCCTTTATAACATGTGCTAATACTTCGGGATCTATTCCAAGTTCACATAGTCGAATGCATATCGGCAGTGTTTCTGCGTCTAACCCAGTAGAAAGAAGCTGCGATATTTGGTTTACCATCTGGAAAGCTTCTCGAGCTTGTCCCACCTGAGCATTCTTCTCTGATGTCATATTAAATTCTGTAATTAAGATATGTTGTCCGGCATCAGTTGTGTGGCGATATATCTGGTTAATTACATCAAAAAATAACGCTACTGATATAATAAGTATTCCACCTTTGATATTTTGTATGACTATTAAAAAATACTTAAGAATTTTATTTGAAATACACTTTTTTTGAAGTAGTCAATGATATTTTATAAACAGTGAATAATTTTAAGCAAACAACAATCAGTTGTGCTGTAACTGTGAATTGTCAAAGTCAAGATTATTTTTATAATCTTGACTTTGACAATGACACTTCACAGTGTGATATTAACATTACTTTTGTTTTGAGTCTGTGTATCCGTTAGGAACGGCAAAGGGACTGTGCTGATACAGCTGTAATTGATATTACAAATCTGACGGGTTTGCTACAGATTGTTTGATCTATTCTCTTTATTAATTGTAATGATAGCTATTGTTCTCAGATAGCCGCATTTACTAAGATTAAGTATCTAACAAAAAATTACATATTTTATAGTTGATGTGTCCAATACCTTTACCGTACTTTACAACACTTAATAAACAACAACAAATTTGACAAAATATAATCGGATATAAAAAATGGCATCTAATTACCGAATCTTGAATTATGGGGTTTAGTTTTTTTATTGGCTGTTACCACGTCCGACTCTCGTTGGCCAAATTAAAACAGTAGCTCTTTCCCGGCTTTTAGATTCATATCACGAATCAATCCCATAAATTCCCAGGCAGGAAACCCAGAGGAAAATGTTACTTACATAGACTAAATCCATTTATAATTCATTAAAAATTCATGCAGCCATATTCATCAATTGGAATGTTTGTAATTTCGTATTGTGTGGGGATCGAATCTGGTACCATCTGAAGCACCGTGTTATACCATTATTACACCAGAAGTCATCTAAATAATTGTTATGTTGATCACCCTAAAATATGTTTACCATTTAGAAGGAAGTTTCAAAATACCTGTTTCAATTTAGCTGCAATTCACCTTATGATTAATATGTTGAGTATCAATCATAGAAGCAATCCAAATTATATTTATGTATCTGTATCTAATAAGAAAGTTTCACCATTTTTCAGGCTTTTACATGTATAGCTGTATACAACATGCTATAAACTAGCGGCGTTATTTGGCGGGTTTTTCCGCATCAATTGGGATAATAATCTCAATTTATGAAATAAAGGCACATCTGTGTACAACATTAATTTAAACCGCTTTACGCATAATAGACCTAAATATTTTCTTATAAACTTTCACTTTTGGAAGTAGGTGTAATAATCACTTAGTGAGATTGAAAAATCAGGCGGGAAAGTTAGTCAGCTTTATGCTCTCCTAAATCTATTTTTACACGCGCGTGCACCACAGAAATAGATCTTCAACTTTCAAACAACGTTTCAGTAGTGTCCTGCCTGCTTCTCGAATATTAATTGTATCTACACTTCGCATTTATCATTTACTGTGTAATTAATAAATTTTTTGTTTGAGCAGTTAGCTATGGTGAGTATTTACTTTTTTCTTATTGACGTTCTAAATTTAAAAATATTGTTCGGTATTTAAAATGACGTGTCACTGTTGATTATATTGCACGTGTATGTAGAAATGTAGAAACATGGAAATAATGAAAGTGGTCACAGATTTTCAAATATGGACAGCTTTGAAAGTCTCAATATGAGATCTATTTGGACGAGAATGAGTGGTTTCGATGAAGACATTTGGGTAAAAAGAATATACACATATAGTAGGTATTTAAAGTTGTTTTAGACAAAAATATGGGGCCATAGACCTAATTTATAGTCTATGTCTTATTATCGTAATAAATATGTAATTATTTTATTATGTACTACTTTTTATACAATGATTGTTGACTATTTGTGACTGAATAAACACTTGGATGTTGGTATCGAAAAAATTTTAAGGAATATTAAAAGTCACTAAATAGAATGGATTTGCAAATTAAAAATTAATTAATCCTTGACTTCTGTTTACAATTTGGGAGTTAATTTAATTGGAATTATATTGAAATATTACGTTTTTCGATACTTGTAATTTGATAATTCGCATTGAATTGATTTATAACTTCATTACTGGCTGCTAATACCTCCAAGAACATGTGTACAAAATTTCATAATGATCGGTTCAGTAGTTTTTTCGTTAAAGCGTAACAAATATCTCTACTTTCACATTTATAATATTAGTAACGATGTGATTAAGGACCCAGACAATTTTATACAAACTTTATCTCGGAATATACCTAATCAAGTCGCTTCACTGGTTGATACAACTCGAGCATGATTACCTCACACTCGATTAACTTAAAAATTGCAAATTATGCAAAGTAGACTTTAAATTTATATAAATTAAAGTTGATTTTTGAATATTTTTCATTTTTGATTGACGACTTTTTAGTCTACTCGGAGTATACCTAATCAAGACGTTATACTGGTTGATATATCTCGTACAATACTAAACGGCGTTAAGTCAAAAATTACAAATTATGCAAAATCGTCTTTAAATTGACAATAATTAAAGTTGATTTTTATTTTGAATATGTGCTACTTTTGAATGACAACTTTGTACAAAGTCTAATATAAAAATTATAAAAGTTATAGATATTCTAATATAAAAGTTTAATATAAAAATGTAAATTTAAATTTAAAAATTATTTTCAGTGTACCAAATAAACAATTTTCTTTCTTTCAAAGTGTACCATGGTACAACTCGGAATATACCTAATCAAGTCGCTAAACTAGTTGATACATCTCACACAATACTAAACAGTATTAACTCAGAAATAACAAATGATTGAAAATCGTCTTTAAATTTATATTCATTAAAGTTGATTTTCGACCATTTACAGTACATGAGTTATTGCAGTTTAGCATTCTGTGCGATATATATAGTATATAGTACCTATGTTATAGCGATAGGCTCTACTAGACTTTTTATATACATTTATTACTTGACATATTCCAAAATAATAATGCTACGTTAACATTCAGCCGCTTCCACTGCCACTCGCGCTGCGGGAAATATTACCGGGCGACAACTAAGCGAGAGGGCTGAATATAAAAACACGAGGGAGCGCCGGGTAGCGCGAGTGGCAGCGCCTATGGCATGGGAAGTGTTTCCATTCGTGTTTACACTCTTGCGCTGTTCACTTCCGTGCTCATTTCCCTGCCCACTCGGGCTGAGTGTAAATTGGGCATAAAATAAATGCATGAAAGACTGAACTGTGTACTGACTGAACACAACAATTCGGTTAGTAGGAATATGTAACACTAGCTGTAATAGTGACCTTGGCCAAAAAATATTTCATAATCTAACCCAAAAAAACTAAACATAAAAGTTTCATCGTTCTAACTAAAAAAATGACGAATTTTCATAAAAATTTTCATCCCCTATTTTATTTAAGGGTATAAATACTACTTATATTTAATCAACAGCTCAATAAATAATTTTCTAGTTTCTAAAAATGACAATACCTACATACAATCTTTCATCTCTCTTTCAACCCCTTACAACCCTTTTTTCACGTCAAGAAGTAGCCTATGTCCTTTCTCAAGATCTAGACTATGCGTATATCAAATTTCATTTATATCGGTTTAGTAGTTTTAGCGTGATAACGAGACAGACAGACAGAGTTACTTTCGTATTTATAATATCAGTAAGGATTATGTTATCTGTTGTAGGACGCACAGATAACATAGTAGAAGCACAGATAACATATATTACATAGTAAAAGTGAATATTTGTAATTACAAATATATATTTTATGCCCAATTTACACTCAGCCCGAGTGGGCAGGGACACTTCTCTGCTCGCTCAGTTCCGTGCTCACCAGCACGGAAGTGAGCAGCGCGAGAGTGTAAACACGAGTGGGAACACTTCCCATGCCATTGTCGCTGCCACTCGCGCTGCCCGGCGCTCCCTCGTGTTTTTATATTCAGCCCTCTCGCTTAGTTGTCGTCCGGTAATATTTCACGCAGCGCGAGTGGCAGTGGAAGCGGCTGAATGTTAACGTAGCATTATTATTTTGGAATATGTCAAGTAATAAATGTATATAAAAAGTCTAGTAGAGCCGAAAGAAGGAAAAAAAAGTATAGTATCGGCAACACCAACTATACTTTTTATATATGTACATACTATCGCTATAACATAGGTACTATATACTATATATATCGCACAGAATGCTAAACTGCAATAACTCATGTACTGTAAATGGTCGAAAATCAACTTTAATGAATATAAATTTAAAGACGATTTTCAATCATTTGTTATTTCTGAGTTAATACTGTTTAGTATTGTGTGAGATGTATCAACTAGTTTAGCGACTTGATTAGGTATATTCCGAGTTGTACCAATACCTACATACAATCTTTCATCTCTCTTTCAACCCCTTACAACCCTTTTTTCACTTCAAGAAGTAGCCTATGTCCTTTCTTAAGATCTAGACTATGCGTGTATCAAATTTCATTTATATCGGTTTAGTAGTTTTAGCGTGAAAGCGAGACAGACACACAGAGTTACTTTCGTATTTATAATATCAGTAAGGGTTATGTTATCTGTTGTAGGACGCACAGATAACATAGTAGAAGCACAGATAACATAATATTACATAGTAAAAGTGAATATTTGTAATAATATCGACTCGTCTCTAATTACAGCAACACTGTGCATTTAAATTACGCAAATGCCAGTGGATCTAATTCATTTGACCAAATAAAATTTATGCAACGGCACGCCGTATTCAAATTTCGTGTGTGCGTAATTTCAGTGTTATGTGCTCGTATTTGTAAATACGAAACTTTGTTAAATTGTTAGATTTCAACTGTTTACTTTCCACGTTCAGTGTTATGTAGGAAACTTTGATTTGTGTTCATTTTATATAATACGGGCTGTCCTAGCAAACGTTGTTTTGGGATATAAATTAAAATCGCTAATAAAAAATAGGGGTTGATGATAGAGGGGTGAAAATTTTATGTTTGTATCTATTAAAAAATATATATAAAATTTGTCGAAAAAAAAGGAAATAATTTTTTGAGATGTGCCACCCTTAATACTTAGCGGTTAAATAAAAGTTAGTTGTAAAGCTATTCTCAGACTATTGAATATACATTAAAATTTCATCAAAATCGGTCAAGCCGTTTCGGAGGAATATAAACACGAAACCTGTGACATTTGAATTTGATATATCAGACTAGTTGACTCGCGCAACTTCCTCTGCATCATATTTGACATTTATCATTATATTTCGCCCAATTTACATAATATCTTTTAATGAATGAATGAATGAATGAAACTCTTTATTGTTCCTCTCACAGAAAATACAATTACATACACAATTATGTATAAAATGATAAAAAAAATATATAATACAATAAACAAGACAAAGAGGTAACAATGGGCGGCCTTATCGCTAATAAGCGATCTCTTCTAGGCAACCTTAAAATGGAGAGAAGTGATTAGATTTGCGTCTGGTAGAGGTGTAATGACGGTAACAATATTGGAAGAAAAGTTATAAATATACATATAATAATAATAATAATCTCAGGACAATTCACACAGCGCCATCTAGTCCCAAGCTAAGCAGAGCTTGTGTTATGAGTACTAGACAACTGATATAAATACATGGATACATTTTTTTGTAAATAAATACATATTATACTTAGAAAACATCCAGACCGATACAAACAATCATACACATGAATACAAATGTTTGTACCGTGCGAGGAATCGAACCCGCGACCATCGATCGCAAAGCGGTGTGCTAGACCGCTAGACCACCGAGGTCGTCGTATAACATAATACAATACAAAATAATATAATAAACTTACATATACATAAATATATATATTATCACACATACATACGACCGTAATACTACTATTACGACAACTTACGTAAATAGTATTTTTTTATGTGTTATTCTGAAGTATAAGCTATATTACTGTAAAGTTTTATCAAAATCCGTTCCTTATGAGGTCCCTTATCTGCGGAGCTTTATTATCAGCTGCTTACCCAACTTAGTCCGCAAGTATTGTTTTGCAACATCTTGTCAATCTTGGTGAAAGGCTCCCTTTCACCATAATAATGAAAATCCATATCATCATAACATCATATAGATGTTTGTTACATTTTCACGCAAAAACTACTGATGAACAGATTTTGATGAGACTTTACAGTAATGTAGCTTATACATCAAAATAACATACCGGCTATAATGTAAAAAGATATTATGTGATTTGGTCGAAATATAATGTCAAGTAAGTGTGATGGAGATGACGTTGCGCCGGTCAACTAGTCATTACATAGTATAAAACAAAGTCGTTGTCGCTGTCTATCCGTCCCTATGTATGCTTAAATCTTTAAAACTACGCAACGGATTTTGAAGCGGTTTTTTTAACAGATAGAGTGATTCAAGAGGATGGTTTATATATATAATACATGTACACCCGTGAGAAGATGACGTGGGATGGGTAGCTAGTAATAAAATAAACAAGAAAGATAAAAGAAATATTAAAGTAATTGCATAGTGAATTCAAATTCAAATTCAAAAATCATTTATTCATGTAGGACATTTTAGCCGCTTATGAACGTCAAGTTTTTACATTATCATATTTTTTCCCTACCGTGAAGTGCGGACTATTGAGTGTTACCAGTATCAAGCAACTAAAACTACTAATCACAAAAATAATACGCAACGAATGTTCTCAAACAATTCCTCACGCGCACATACCAAAAATAGAAATTATAAATATTTTTAGGCGTCAATAAGTATTCTGCGTCGTGTTTACCTACATGATTTGCAATTTTCAATACACTGCCAAAAAAGTATAATAATAATCTCAGGACAATTCACACAGCGCCATCTAGACCCAAGTTAAGCTAGCTAGAGCTGGTGTTATGGGTATTAGATAACTGATACAAGTACATAGATAATTTTTTTTCGTAAATACATGCATATATACATAGAAAACACCCAGATACTAACAATCATTCTCATGAATACAAATGTTTGTTGCCGTGAGAGGAATCGAACCCGCGACCATCGGACGTAAAGCGGTGTGTCAGACCGCTAGACCACCGAGGTCGTATTATTATTATTTGAACATACATATTTTGATGATTATTTTTGTAATGAACATGGTTCATAACACTTTATAAATCGACAATAAGAATTGGCTCTTTATCCTCCAGAGAGTACGTGCATCTTTCTATGCAATTTTCAACACACTACCAAAAAGAGGTTCTCAATTGGATTTTTTTGTATCTACGCAATATACACGCCGTAATTGAAAGCTAAGTTTGGTAAACAAATACCTCTTTTCCGCAGACATGGGATAGAATGAGACAGCAGTATCTGCCGTCTTGGTTTTTCTCATGCTTTCTGTAGTGATCAATTCCATCTCTATTGATTCATTGGTTACTTCTCTTGGCCATCTGAACACATTATGATGACTATTTTTGCAATGGACAGGGTTTATATTTCATAAATTGACAATATGACTGCAATTGGTTCTGAATCCCTCAGAGAAGACTAATATCCTCAGATAAGATATAAGAATTGGCTCTTTATCCTCCAGAGAGTACGTGCATTTTTTATTCGATTAAAATTCCTATATACCTTTGGATCTTTTCTAAAAACTATAGATTGGCAATTTTAAACATAAGTAACAATTGATGACAATTTTTTTGTCGCTGTTTACTTTTTGTATTGGGAAACTTGTCTGTGGTATTTGAATAGAATAATAAAATGTCTCTTTTGTGTAAGCGATAGGTTGGCGAGAATAGGGCTGCCATCATGAAAGGATTAAAAAGAAATATAGGTGTATGTACCTACAGTTTTTTCTATAAAATAAGTATATTACTCCTATTTTTTTTCATCATATTAATATGACAAACATATCTTTCTGGTTAACTAGACGTCACCTATAAAGACGACTTAAGAAGCACCAAAGATAAAATCTGCTCATACGTCATTTCTATGCGTCTATTTACATTTGGGAACATCGGTAATAAACGAGACGGTCATAGGTACCTTGGTACCAGGGTATACTCCTTGCAACTATGTGCTACATAGGGCTTTGGGCTTTTGCCAGGTAAGACAACCCCACGCGCTCCGCATAACATACACATAATCACATCTATGGGCTGTCCTCAATGAAAATATATTTTATGACTATCCATTTTTGGCTAAACATTTTATTTACCAAGCCTTGGCTTTTATATGGGTCCTCTATCATATCAACTATCCACCTATATATAACAATCATCCAGGTTACAGACCTCTGTCACTATTATTTATATTATTATGATTATTTCACTATGTGATTAATCAAATTCTACTGATTACTATATCAGGACATGCAGTCCTTCTACAAACTAAACATTACCTTCTGGTTGATTCTCTCCAGACATCTATTTTGAGATATGGGACTTATAGTTCTCGCTTATAATATCTCATCAATATAAAGATTACTTCGCCATGCAAGTAATTCTAATTTACATATAATCAATCATATTAGAGCCCAGCTCTTATTCACAAATATCTAATTCTTAATCCCTTGAGTATTCTTGGTATTAAGAAAATTTATAAACTTTACATGCTATGTTTGTAATATAGCAATTATCAACATTATATATTGGATTGACCAATATTGTGGTGTTGACGGCACTATCACACTACTATATTATTATTATTTATCGTACTGCAATTCTGGTTCTCCAATGTCACTTTATATATAGCCGAAGGGTATTCCCCATTAAGTAAGCTACGTGACCGAGTGATGCTGGGATTTAGTTTCGAGATCGGGCAGAACCGAAGGAGTCAATATCCATAAGTAAGCTTCTGTGTCGTGAGTGATCCTGAATTCAGTTTCGATCTGCCTATGGCAACTATATTTTATCTACCTGCTTTAAGCATCGCAAGCTTGGTGAAACCACTTGTAATGTTGAATTAATAATATAAATTAATCTTGTTTTGGTGCTGAGAATACTCATCCCATTTCACTTTCAAATGGTGCATATTGCAACCCTACCTTGCATATCCCACCTTATTTATTAAAATCATAATGGTTCAATGATTCAAATATATACCCGCATAAAATAAATTACGCTCCGCATAACATGCCCATACCAGCTCAATCTGTTACCTCGCAACTTTTCTATATATATAATACTTTTTACTTGTTATCATGTTATGTTATTTAAATAAAATAAATATATATACTCTGCGATATAATTAAGTATGTCAAGTATTACCCCTATGCGGGATTCCCTCTCAAAACGTTAATTATAAATTCCTGGTGTTATGTCATGATGGGTTACTGACCTGACCTCATGGTTATATTATCATCCTCCACTGGTGGTGTAGGTTGACCCTCTATTCGGTAATCTCGGAGAACTGTTTTATTTGTGGTGAATTTACCAGGATGGGCTTATATTGACCTGACTATATGCTCATCTTATTATCATCCACTAGTGCCCCGCCAGCATAAACCATTAGCGCAGGTGGGTGCACCATTCCATTCAAGTTCAAAATTTTAGTCGCTTATGAACGTAGTTTTTTTATATTATAACTACCGTCCAGTATACTTATAAATGCAATTGAGAAGACCTGGCCAGAAACTCAATTGTTTTTTTTAACGGCATTCCTTAAAAAATTGTCGCGACTTAATATGTAATTACATACAACACGTTATTTATGTTTTTCCCCAGATACAAAAATTATACAGGTTTTGTCGTACGGACACTTTACAAATCCCCTTCCGGAGCCGGACATGTCCGAACTTGGACAGGTCTGGACAACACGGACAGGCGGCAGCCCTACACGAGAGTAATTCGGGACGCGGACGGAATAATTGTGTATTTGTATCACGAACAGAACAAATTTCATCTAATGCCGATTCATAAGAATATCTGACAAGAAAAATGTTAACGTTTTGTTTATGAACGGACGTGTTTGTTTAGTGATGTAACTTTCACTGGAAGTTTAATTTCTGTGTGATAACTTTAAGAAGGAGTAATAATATATCTAATATATAAAATTCCCATGTCACAGGTTTCGTGTTTATACTCCTCCAAAACGGCTTGACCAATTTTGATGAAATTTAGTAGGTCCGAGAATAGATTTGTAACTAATTTGTATACCCCTAACTGTTAAAGGTCAGGTCAGTGTTAAGGGTCGATCACACCAAAAAGTTTTTTTCATTTTTTTCGATTTTTTTTTATTTTATTAATCATAATTAAATGCTAAAATAATCATTTTAGCATTGAAAAATACATATAACCATAAATTGTCACTCTTCCATCACCAACCTATATTTAATACCGATTTTAATTTAAAGGCAAAACAACGTTTTCTGGTCAGCTACAATACAACGTCAACTTGTCATACATCATCATCTGCTTCTACCTTATCCCATTTATTTAGGGTTGGCGCAATATGTTTTTCTTTCCATTCATCTGTGTTCGCAGTCATCTCATTATTTACTCCCTTTCTCACCATATCATCTTCACACAGTCCCCCATCTTTTTCGGTCTTCGTCTGCCCTTATATGTAACTATCCACATTCATATGCAACGCCTTCCTTAAAATATTATCTTAAACAATCCTGTCAGCTTATCATTGAATAACGATTAAAGTTTAAAAGTAAATTTAGAAAGAATATTATTATTTTTCAGGCAGATGCAGCTCAATCCCAGGTCACAGGTGGTGGAGAAGGCGCGCCAGTTGTTACTGATGAGGCTAAACAGGTGCATATGAAATTTTACTAGTTGATTATCTTTAACGTATAAAATTTGATCATGACATAGTCTACTAATGACATTTTTGTGTCGAAGTTAGAAGTTAATTAATAACATTAATGTGTTGTCAATATACTCTACCTAATATAGATTCGAATCTGGAGGGTCCGTATTGGTTTTAGCCATTGGACCTAAGGAGCCCAGAAGCTAAATTGTTTTTGACATGTAAGTCGTCTTCGCGGGGGCGCAGCACTTACAAAGGCAAATTCGCTATTACTCCATAACCAAACATAGATATTTTTACAGCCTGAGCAGCCAGTCCTAGAACAGCAGGGTGAAGTGAAGAAAGAAGAACAAGTGGCAGAAGCACCAAAGCCAGAAGGAGTGCCCTCATCAGAGCCTGCGAAACCTGAGGCCGTAGTGTCGGAACAGATAACGAAAGAGGTGGTTGCTCCCGTGTTACCAGTTGAAGAACCAAAAAAAGAAGAAACCGTACCAGCCCAAGAACCTGTCGAAGAGGCAAAAGCAGAACAGAAGCTGCCTCCTGCAGATAATGTGAGTACGATATATCTATACATTGTATATACAATCACTTTTATTATTTCAAAATTTTTAATTTCATTATAAATGTAGTGTTTAATTATCGCGAATAATGAGTTCCTTAACTATTTACTTAATTATATAAAGAGAGATACATTCTTATTTCATTTATTCGAGACGGTGAGGATTCTCGTCAGTATTTTGGACCTTACCCAAAAATGAGTTCAAAAGATGCAATGGTTAACGAAGAATGTGTCATCCACACACATTCGCTAAAAAAATAAAAAAACACCCTTAAGTCATATGAAAATAAAACTGTTTGTTGAATACATTAAAAAAAAGTGCTAATTTCTCCAAAATTGCACGAAGAAGAGATCTTACTAACGTTATAAACGCGGAAGTTTTTCAGTGTGGATGGATGGATGTTTGTTACTCTTTCAAGCCAAAACTCCTCAATGGATGTCAATGAAACTTACAAAATAAATAAAAAAAATAATTCAAAATAAATAAATCGAGAAGGCAAGGATTCTCGTCAGTATTTTGGACCTTACCCAAAAATTTGTTCAAAAGATGCAATGGTTAATGAAGCTGGTGAGGCATTTGCTAAAAAATTAATAAATAGCATACACTGTTTTAAACTTGACGCGGTCAATATTTATACGTATAATTAGTAAAAATCACGGGATCGTGTGAAGGTAGACGCATATGTCTGCCCATAAAAAGATTTCATTTTCCATCTACCCACTGCTCTTCAGTTTACCCGTGATCATGGTGGTTGAAACACTGCCGAAATATCGGGAACTCAGCAAATAAATATGTTAGGGAATATACTCTCTACTACCAAAATGTTAGGGAATTTACTTTATGTGTATATATAGGGAAAAATATGTGTGGAAACGTCTGTCACGTACCTGTATGGTTCTGCGGATTTCTTGGGCTTCAGGGTCTTGAAGATATCTTCGCTAGCTTTCCAGTTTCACAGTAGATTTCACACAGTTCTAATTTATTTCAATTCACAACAAATGCGCGCGCGCGTCAAGGCCGCTGTACGGTCAGTTTAGTACTAGGTAAGGGAGGGGAACCAAAGGCCGCAGGAACACAAACTAACGGACTCTAATATAATAATCTGTGCTTACGATGGTACAGGGTAGATTTTGAACAAAATATAAAACGTGGTAAGATCCCGTGATTGTTACTAATTATACGTATAAATAGCATACATCAGAATAACATATAGACTATCAATTTCATGCGGATGAAACCGCGGTACCAGCTAGTACTATAAATATTCCAAGTTTTGGGCAAAGGTGCACTACACCTAGTGTTTATTGGCCACGAGAGGCTAGTAGGGCTTGCAATATAAATCTTGAAGCAATCGGAACGTTCACTCTTTGTGGTGCGTTATTACGAGCCCGGAGGGAGAACGTAACGGGCCCACCCGAGCATAATAACGATGTCTTTAGCAGTCATTCCCGACATCATCCCAGTTAATGATCTGCGAAATTTTCGTGTTCCACTGGGATTGTGTTTGATGTTTTTTAAAATAAAAAAATATTCGTCGCCGCTTTGAAATACGATTACGTATTTCAAAAGAAAAAGAAACCTTTGTAATCGGACTGACGTTTTCAATTATCCATTCAGGTTATAGTACACGGTAATTACAATGATGTCAAAATTGTAAAATTACAATGAATGATAAAATTTTTTGTTTGTTTGTAACACTTTATTGCACAATAAATACATTTAAATTAACTAAAGATACAACGATCTTAAAAATATATATATAAGATGTACAATGGCTGACTTATCCCAAATGAGGGATTTCTTCCAGTCAACCTTTGAATGACTGAAAGGAATTGTGGAGTGGTGGGACTATATATATACATGACAATAACAAAATTGTTATTGGGTGATACACATAATATGACAGCCTCGGTGGTCTAGTGGTTTAGCACACCGCTTTATATCCGATGGTCGCGGGTACAATTTCTTGCACGGTACAACCATTTGTATTCATGAGTATAATTATTTATATCCTTATGTATTATAGGTGTTTTCTATGTATAATATGTACTAGCTAACCCCCGAAACTTTTTCTGCATCACATTTACTTGATATTTATTGTCATATTTGAGCCAATTTACATCTTTTTTTAAATTGTGCCTGTGTTATTCTGGTGCATAAGCTATATTACTGTAAATCTTCATTAAAATCCGCTCCGTAGTTTTTGCGCGAAAGAGTAACATATAGAAAGAATAACATAACATATCCATCCATGCATATTCACAAACTTTGACGTTTATAATATTACTAGCTACTCGCCCCGGCTTCGCACGGGTGTACATGTATTATATATATAAACCTCCCTCTTGAATCACTCTATCAAATCGTCCGGTGAAGCTGTAAAGGCCAGCTGCAGCCAACAGCATTAGAGTAGTCCGAAAAAAAAAATCACTATCTATTAAAAATAAGCTCTTCAAAATCCGTTGCGTAGTTTTAAAGATTTAAGCACACATAGGGACGGACAGACAGCGAGAGCGACTTTTTATACTATGTAATGATTAAGAGTAAGATAGTAAGATGAAGTTAGAAAGAATTATTTAAGTATAGTTTAGTATAATCGTATATAAGTCTATCAGTTGTCTAATACCCATAACACAAGTTTTGCTTACTTAGCTTGGGACTACATGAATCTGTATCAATGATTATTATTTGGTAGGTATAGAGTCCACTTTTAATAATCATACAAACCTTTTAATTAAGCTCAGTATTATTATATATTTGTATTTATTCTACTGTTTATAGATTTTCATTTTCTTCATAAAGTTTGCCGTCAGAATTAATTTTATTTATAAGTACATTTTCATAATTTGACTTTGTGTTTATGTTAAAACTTGTAAAACAAACGATTACAAGCACTACCCACTTAGTGGATAACATAAAATTGTTCTTAGAATAAAATAACATTGTAAGCAAATAATAAAAACAAAATCTAAGATCTTTCTTAAAATCAGCGTTTTGTTTTTATATATCTATGGTTATATGTTTACTTTTACCACAGATAAGATATGTTTTTATGTGACTGAAATAAACAATGTTCAACATAAATTGAATGAATCAGCATACATAAATATAATTCGTCGAAGCAATAAATTCTATAAAAATACGATCTATTTAAAAAATAACATTGTACAAGTAAAATCATAATACAACGTTACCTCACGTTTTCCTTTAGGATTGGCAAAAGAGAGAGATTGAACTTTTGAAAAAGATTGAAGAACTGGAGAAAGTGAAGAACCAACGGAGCGAAGATGGTCTGAAGCTTGAACTGAAGGTATGTGTTAAAGTAGCGAGTTATTTATTATTTTAGTCGATATCTACATGACTCCAATTCTTCTCGAATTCTTGCTCGATTCTCCACGGAAATAAACTCTACTAAAATCACAGATAATATTACATACTAATATCACAGATAACATAATATTACATACTAACATTATAAACGCGAAAGTTTGTGAGGACGTATGGATGGTAGGATATTTGTTACTCTTTCACATAAAAATTACTGAATGGATTTTAACAAAATTTTCCAATAATATACATTAGAATAACACACCCTATAAAATTCACGCGAGTGGAGCCGGGGCATAGCTAGTAATACATATTTGTTGATGAACGGACGTGTTACTGACATTGTTGTTATATGTTGTTTTTACAACGATGGCAATATCTCTAACTACCCCGTATTTGATTATAGTCGTGATTGTATTTTAGATTCATCTGCCTTAAAGCCATGATTATTTATTGTTGTAACTGGCTAATCAGATATGTATTTTATATTCTAAATTTGTATTTGAATTTATAGTTCTTTTATATTACATTCTTGTTTTTTGATAATTCAATTCATTCTTTCTGTTCCTAATTGTCAGTTCTCTATTATTAATATATTTTCTCTGTTTTTACCTAGTCTTTTTTTCTTATTACTACAACATTTATATTAGCTGTTTGCTTGTTTGGACGGTAGGGAAAAAAAATTCTAATGTAAAAACTTGACGTTCATAAGCGGCTAAAATGTCCTACATGAATAAATGGTTTTTGAATTTGAATTTGCTGATGCTATTTTGGCATAAATCTTATTAATATTATAAACGCGGATTGTGACTATATTTAGATGTATGTTAATCTTTCACTCAAAAACTAATTAATGGATTTTAATGAAACTTTACAATCATATATCTGATACAGCAGAATAACATATAGGACATAAATTTTACGCGGTTAAAAACTCGGACACAGCTACTTGTTTATATATCAGTCTGTAATACAAATAAATGACTGACATACTTGTTATTAATCTATAATTAAAATCAACGGTATACCAGGTCCGTGAAGAAGAGATCGATCTTCTCAAGGCAAGGGTTAGGAATTTGGAGACTGAACTGCAAGCAGCACTTTCAAAGCCCAGTGGAAAGAACCACGAGATGATCGAGAAAATCAAGCAACAACACGAAGAGGTAATGCTTTTAAAAACTATATACATTTATAAATCATTGCAAAGTTTTAAAGGTTCACAGGGACTCGCAATTATAAATGATTGATGAAATATCATATTATTATTATAATGATTTATAAATGTATAAATGTGTATTTAATATCTAGTCCATATTTTATCTGCAAATCAATTTCGTTATTTACCTAAATGGTAAATAACAAAACTGAATTTTGGGGTAAACTCATTATAACCAGATTTATCTGAAAAATGTTATAGATATTATTATTATATGTATATTGACGGCATGTAATTAGGTGCATCATCAAACAAAAGCTTAATTTTAAAATACCCGTAGACGTCACTCTTCTGCTGAAATATTAACAACATAGATAGGTAAATTCAAGAGTTTATAATTATTATTTCAAACAAGCTGTCTCCCGCGAACTCTTACCTCCTCAAAATTAAATATGTCAAAGATTTTTTTAAGTTACGCAATAAATTTCTGAATGCACCCTTTTTGACAGGTATCAGTCGTTTGTATGGGCAAATATAATTGTTATTTTTACTAATTTATATGCAATTTCTTTATATTTTATCACCGTGTAAACCTTCTCTGGACTTCCACGAATATTTCAAGACTAAAATTAGCCAAATCGGTTCAGCCGTTCTCGTGCTTTAGCGAGACAAACGAACAGCAATTAATTTTTAAACATATAGATAGTTACTACGTTACAGATTGAACTTCATTAAAAGATCCCTGATTTTCTAAATATCCTAAGTTATACAGCAATCAGAAAATTTCAAAAGCAATAAAATGAAGTTTTCACAATGAGGTCCCTCACTCGGAATATTGATAGCTCTTCTAAGAAGTTCACAAGTAAGATAATAAAAGCTAACGAAATAGATAAATTAGTGTCCTGAAAAGTTGGAAAGGCCTCGGAGGATCGTGTCAGGTTTTTATGATCAACGCTCAAGATTGGCTCAAGATTGCCGTGACGCCCCCAAGTTTTCTCGGAAACTATTTAGAAATTTGATTGAAAAGTTTTCTTTTTATATCGCGCTCTGGGATTCACGGTCTTTGACACCCCGTAGTTTTGCCTTATTTGAATAAAATAGTCCTCTGTTATTATCGATGGGAGCTAACATCTAATAATATACGTCCCTCAAAGCATCTAAAAGGTTAAGGCTATAAAAACGTTGGCTATATCGAAGCAGGGGTACGTAGAGTGTAGTACTTCCTGTGCACCTACTTTCTACTAGCCTACACAGGAGGCTATCTAGGAAGTGGTCTAGAAAAAAGAAACTGTCAAAGAGATAAGAGATAATAATAACAGTGTATGTTTAGCATTCCATTTTATAAATATTGAAAAAATAATTTTCCAGCTTTTAAGCAAAGCACGTGGCATGATATTTGACAAGACAAAGATGGTGAAGAATCAAGAGTTGCAAATCGAAGCTCTGACCACGCAGGTACAGTCGCTGAAGGATATCAATCTCATCACCAAGGACTTGCTCGAGATCAGGAACTCTGAAATTAAAGCTATGGAGGTATGCACATTTGTTTGCTTCTTTTCTTCTATCAAGTGTAATAAGATAAAACTCTTTATGCAAACATAAAAAAAATCTGTATAAACAATATAAGATTTAGCTTTTCTCAAACATTATTGTTGTTTTAAATTAATATTTGTGAGTAACCTACTAATAAGACCTTATAGAGAAGCCATAATTTATGTATGTATTGTTGTACTGCCAGAGTGTAATCGTATCGTAGATCTACCAGAAAAAAGATTCAAATGCCTTATAAAACATTTTCTTTGTTATTATAAAATTGAAGAGTTTTTAAATGACAATGTTTTTATAGAGAAAATCTAACTTAAAGATCTGACAATACTCTTTCAACACGATTTATCGTCTACCCTCTCAAACCAATGGTAACGCTTTTTCGTGACCGAAAAATCCTAATACAAATGAAGACCTTAAAAATATTTTAAACAGTATAGCAGAGCTATATTAATATTTAATTATCATTTGATAATTTAGGATCGTCTCCAAGCGATGGAGGCACGTTTCAAAGCCGAGAAGGACAGGTACGGACTGGTGCTGCAGCGGGCTCAGACTAGCAGCAATATTAATGATGACCTCCGCAAGGAATACGAGACCCAGCTTGTTATATTCAAGGTAAGAGAGAAATAAAGATACAAGGAGGAAGTATGGGAAGGAGTTTTAAAGCATAGGTTTGTTGCACTGCATAAGCCATGATTTTGGGGCTCACCGAGAAATACAAATTATTATTTAAGATATATTTACAAAACAAAATTATCCTAGTTGTCTAGGACCCACTAAGCTCTGCTTACCTTGGGACTAAATGGCGCTGTGTAAATTGTTCTGAGATATTATTGTTATTATGTAGGCTATCACTGGCTTTATATATTTACCATTTATGAAAGTAAAGGCAAGTATAGAGGAAGCTCCAAATCCGAGAAAGACTTGTGGAGCGGCATAAGACCAACTATTGTCTGAGATGCATCTGATAGAACGAGAGCCACTTATAAAAGTCAGAATCTTTATTATTCCAGTTATACGAAAAAATAATGTTACGTACGTGAATTTACAGGAGCTGAGGGAAAAATACGAGCTAAGGGTCCAAGCATTAGTGGCAGAGAACACGAGGCTCAAAGAATCGGCCAAGGGAAGCACGTCCTAATGAGATAATATATATAATAAATGCCTAATATGTATACGTATAAAGACTGTCGCGAAATATGGTTGATACATTACTATTTTGTATGATATTATTTTCTAGTAAACACACAAATAAATAAAAAATATAAATGGTTTTTCTTAATTTTATGGGAGTTTTTTTATACTACGGTGGCAAACCAGCATACGGACCATGCGAAGGTAAACGGAAACCGTAGCCTATAGACACTTGAAACACTACGGTCGCCAAACCTTAAGAAATCTTAATATAACCCTACTTGAAAAACCCTATGCTGTAGTCTCGCCAGAAAACCTCGGGAAGTAGTTCATACCAAAATGAGTGCACTCGGGAGGAAGCTCCTCTAAGACCGCACTGTCAGAGACCACTTAGGTTAGACCAACGTGTAGGGATGAATTCAAAGGCATCATGTCGAACATTTCTGTTGGTTGGTTGGTTACCAGCATATATTTTACATTAGATCTACAATTAAACTATATGAACTCTGATACAAAATGGATTAAAGACTGAGAAAGACTACTTTTTAAGAGTTAAACTAATGAGAAAGAAATCTAACTTTAATCTAAGCACATGTGGTTGTATAGTGAATACTTTTACTGTATTTAGCCTCGAACTTGGGCTATTGTGCATGTAGAATCAAGACTACTAAATCAATCAACTAAGCTCCCTTGAGAAGCTCAGAAGCCTTTTGATATCTTCACAGATCTCTCCAAAAACCTGTAGATATAACACATTATTCGAAAAAATAGTGGTGGTATAGTTATAAAAGGTTTGGTAAAAAATAATAAAAATTGCAAACAAAACTAGATAAAAGAGTCAAAATTAACTCTTTCTACAAAATTAAGTCTAATTGCAAATTGATACTGGTTAAAAATGGATCTGCAAAAATTGTTTTAAGTGACGCGCAGTTTATGCTAGTAAATATTCAATGTCTAAAAACCTTTATGCACAGTTTTATTAGTTTACAATTTACAAATTTGTCCGGCAGTCGTGAAAGGTTTCAGAGAATGTTAATATTTACTATTGAAACCGCCATTTTGTTTGCACGTCCGCCATTTTGGCGACGCAGGACATGTTGAAGCTGTTATTTATTGCCTGTTAGGGCGGTCCGTTTGCGCTTCCGTTACGTCGCAACCGTACTGTCCTGCGTATTAATTTCTCGCATGAACAAACGATTTATGACGCAAAATAAAACATCGTATATCATATGCTTCTGATATAGGGATATAATTAAAAAAATATTAAAAATGATAAGGGATTTTTTGCTTACAATATTGTTTTAAGTATTGTTGTTTAATCAGAAATGTTCAGATTCTCATTATTGATGACTCTAGCGTAATGATTTATGGCGCTGCTTCTGGCTAACCCGTTATCACAAGATCGATTTCCGCACACTACAATTAATTATATACTTTCCTTTCTCTTCTTGAATGATTTTTTATTACATAATTTTTATTTGGATTACAATTGTATAATAAAAAAATTGTGGATTTATTATCAATAGATTTGATGTCAACCCTATATTGTCTAATCTATTAACACAAAATTAGTTTGTATGTCCTTTTATGCCAGTTTTGCATTAAATAAATAGCTAATAGTTATATTACTGTAAAGTTTCATCGAAATCCATTCATTACTTTTTGGGTGAAAGAGTAACAAACTTCCATACTTAAAACTTTTGCATTTATAATAGTAGTAAGATATTACTATTTTCAATAGTTTTTTTAATTGCATTCATATACCATCCACCACTTCTGTCTTTTCTCCTCTACCCAAAGTTTATTTAGAAGAGATCGCTTAAACGATAAGATCGCCTTTTGGAAATATGTAGGTATATTATCCTAATCCTATTCATTATTATTACATAGTATAAAACAAAGTCGCTGTGGTCGTCTGTCATGCTTAAATCTTTAAAACTACGCAACGGATTTTGAAGCGGTTTTTTTTAATAGATAGAGTGATTCTAGAGGAAGGTGTATATATACATATAATACGTGTGAAGCCGGGGCGAGTAGCTAGTAATATTATCGTATTTATAATATTACTAGCTACTCAACCCGGCTAAAAAAGTAGGAATGTTTGTTACTCTTTCACGCAAAAACTATTGAACGGATTTCGATGAAACTTTACAGTAATGTAGCTTATGCATCAAAATAACATAGGCTATATTTTACATTTAAATTTATGTGGTACATTGAAATTTAATGCGGATGAAACCGCGGGAACTGCTAGTACTCCATATATTCTGTATTTTGTAGGTATATTTTTAAGTTGGAATAAATTTTAATAAAAAGAATACATAGATCGCTATTAGATAAGCAAATATTCCTTAAGAGGTGTTTTTGCGTCTTCCATAAAAAAAAAAAACAAAAAAAAAGTTTGAGAGCCTCCACACTGCTTCTTCCCGCTTCCTTCCTCTGCATAATATGGACAATCATTATTCGCCGCCATCTAACAAGTGAAACAACCAACGCATGCATCAATTTTAAACAAGGAGCTCCTTAAATATTATAACAAACTGTATTTGTGTCGCAAGTGTGGTGTATTGTTATTGAAAACCTCAAGTGCTTCAAGTCGCCGACGCAGATCATCTATATACTGTAATTTTGTGCAATTTAGGTGAGTTCCTCATTTCCCTTTTCCTACGATCACTGCAGTGTGGCTAAAAAATACATCAAGAGGCTTTCATGATTGGCAATAATAGTGCAGAATTAATCAGATTTTTAATAACAGCGTAGCAGAAGCTGTGTTTTAATTTGCAAATCCAATTAGTTCGATCCAATATCTAGATAATATGAACAGCGTTCCAACAATGTCTAAATCACGTTCGAATTTTAAAGGGAACTTATTTGAGAGGATGGTCCATGCAAGTTGGTAGCGGAATTGGGTTAATTTACATATGCAAAAGGAACGGTTCTGTGCAGCCTTTGTGGAAGACGTAGTAATGTATAACATATTATGTATGTACATATTTGTACATACAGTAGTCTAATTGTGTTTATGGCGTAGGGAACAAACGAGATTGCGGATCACCTGATGGTAGGTGATTACCGCCGCCCATGAGCACTAGCAACAACAGAGGAATTACAGGTTGCCGGCCTTTTATGAAGGGATAAGTTCTCTTCTTGAAGGTTTCAATATTGTATCGGTTCGGAAATGCCATTGCTGTTGATTCCACATTGTGGGTCAAAGGGGAAATCACATTCCAAAAATAAAGTTTCTTAATAAATCGCACCGTTACTTACGTAAACCAAATAATATAATGTTGCAGATGTAATATTCGCTATGACAGCTTGAAGATATTAACTTTAAAAAAATCAGTTGAGTTTCTTGACAGGTCTTCTTAATTGAATCTATACTGATCTGGTTGGTAGGGGGTAAAAATAATACAAAAGACGTTGTTAAGCGGTTAAAATGTCCTACATGAGTAAATATTTTTTGATTTGATTTGGAGCATCAAATTCGAGTAGTAATTTAAAAAATGATCATATGTAGGTTTGATCCCTCTTCGTCTTTCATGAGCACATTTTGTTACATCTGCTTAAGGCAATTTTTTAAATTAAATTATTTGTAGAGTATAGTGTAGAGATATTATGTAGAGATAGTTTATAGAGACCATAAACTACATATATAGAAACGTTATATATAGTGCCGAGTTTCCAACCTTAAGGGCGTTTAACTATTATTGCTATTTTATAATTTCCTTTAAGCTTGTGGCCTTTGGTAGCTTGGTGGTCACTTATGGCTTATACAGAACAACAGTACTGCGCTGTCACATGTGAGCTTCAATACATAAAGAATACTCAATTGACTAATGTGACTCGTGACATGACGTGACTCACTATGGTTCCAAATTTGAAATGTAATCATCAACATTTCAAATTTGGAACCATAGTGAGTCACGTGATGTTGGTGTCGTCACGATTATGATGCCACCAATAGTAGTAGATATAGAGAATCCCGGGAACAAGGAGTGAGCGGGCTGCTCTCTCTCTGTTCGAGGCGACCGAGACGACCAGACATGAATGTACGGCGACGCAATTTATGTGGAGTGTAATTTGAAAAAGGAATAAAATAAAAGTACTGCTGCATCGACTTATCATTTCTGAAACTTCCCAATACACAGCATATGCTGAGTGTGGAATTAAAAACGTATATTATTATAATCTTATCTTATATATAAAATTCTCGTGTCACAGCACAGGCACTGATGAGACAGCTTTCTGAATGAGCGGTAGATTAAAAAAATGTAATGACTATTCAAAAGTGCTTCAATGTAAGTTTATTTGAATAAATGATTTTCTATTCTATTCTATACTACACAAACTTTTGCGTTTATAATATTAATAAGATGTTATTAATATTATAAACGCAAAAGTTTTGTGTTTAAATATGTCCAGTAAATTTCGTTACTTTCTTTCTCAACAAACATTTCTTGTCTCTATGTGGGCGGTTTCGAGACCTTTTCTTTACAAATAACTATTGTCTAATAAAGGTCGAGGTAATTAACTAATTACCTCCGTCTGTCTCAACTTGACACGAAGGAAGTATTAAGCCAATTTTATATATATCTTTTACATATACCTACAGATGTCACGCAACTTTGTGAATGGACATTACGGGGTTACCCACGCAGTTGTTAGGGGAAAAAGGACGTATTGTACGGAGGAGGTATAAAATAATAAAAATTTTGGTGATAGACAAAACGTCACCGATGTAAAAAAACACACACAATAATCTGTACTGAATACAGATATAACTATAAAATACATACATACAACAGGCGTGTTTAACAAACTATGTTTTAAGCAAATAAATAAATAAATAAATAATAACAATCGCATAAATTGTCTGGTCTACAAAATTTTGACAGTGATATTATGAGAAACCACATTTCGAGGTGAGACGTCAGCTTGTCTGCGGGTTTAGTGAGATGGGTAGAGAAATTAAAGTTGTATCACCGTTGATAACTTATTAACAAGTTACTAGTTTCGTACATATATACCCGGTATTACACTTACAAGTGTTAGTTATGTAATTGAGTAAAACTTTCCTAATTAATTTACGGTCAATTTCTTTATTGCCTACTAGCTATGACCGC